GCAATCGCGGGGTTGGAGTGCCCCCGGGGATGTTCCCAGGGTAGCCACTAGCGGGACCGTTGGAGGGCAAAATTGCCTTTCGGGCAGTTAAAGTTCACCCCTGAACGCCGAGTCGCGGCTCCGTTGGAGTTGCTCTTAGCCCGGGTTTTGGGAGCAGGGGCTTGAGCTCGTACCAAATCACAGAATCTGTGGATTCCCATTTTTCTGATTTCCCGCACTCAGACCAGCTTGGGGTAAGTCTTGCAAGAGATATTGTCTTCTGGAAGCATCACCCATCAATTCTTGCTCTGGAAAATCAGAACAAGTGTTAACAAATTTCCAATGGCAGAGTTCTTCAACTCATTTCCAAAGAAAGAATATCTCAAAATCAACATTGAAAATGTTTACTTGGAACATCATTTTGTTACCAGGAATATGGAAATCCATCGGAAGCATGAAATTGGCGATTTTGGAATGTTTTGAGTAATGTCTTGGGTGAACTGGAAACTATCAAGGCTGATCGCTTTCTCAGAAGTTGGTAAAAAAGATTTTCTTCAGATGGGCTTTCCCAGGGCAATTTGAATGTGTATGATTGAAATGAGAGAGATAGAGAGAGATAAAGGGGAAAGATGGTGCGGTTCCAGTGGATTTTGTTGGAATCTTCACTCTTTACAACGGTGGGCCAGCTACGCTAACTGTAGCGTTAGCGTAGCGTAGTGTAGCGATTTTTTGCTACAATTTAGCGTAGTGTTAGCGCTTTTTTCATTTTTTGCGCTAACGCTACGCGCATGGGGCAAAAACTTGCGTTAACGTTTAGCATAGCGTTAGCGCAATTCCCCCCATCTGCGCTAACGCTACACGCACAGGCCGCCAAAAACTGCCCGCTACGCTGCGTTACAGCAATTTTTAGCGGTTTTGAGGTGTTTTTTGCCGCTAAAAACGCTGTAGCGTAGCGTGACGCAGCGTAGCGGCGCGCTAACACTACACCAAAAAATGGCTAGTGTTAGCGCCACTACAAATTAGCGTAGCGCAGCGGCCATAGCGGCGCACTAACACTACACAAAAAAAAAGAAAATGGTGCCGCTACGCTAATGCTACATGGGCCCGTAGCGGCCCACCGCTGCTCTTTATACTCAGCCCTGTTTTATTTTTTCTTAACCATCCCCATTTCTCACTCTTAAGTTCTCTAATTCAAAGTCCTAGAAGGAGTAGGAATTTGGGGGTGGTTTGAGTGAGCAACCCCTTCTAAAATATTATGAAAAGTTCATTTATAAAATAATATCCTAGGCTTTCTTATTATTGAAAGGTATTATTACAAGTAATTTATTATCAATCTGCATACTCTTGAGGATCTCTAAGGCTGACAGTGCAGGAGAAAACTGGATGTCATTTTTTGTGAGGATGTGGTCTTGGCTGGTGTGCAGATGTTGAAAAACAGCCCTACTAGGCTACTAGTGGATCTCAATCCTGAGCCTTTGGAAATCATTGTACTTCATCCCTTACTCTTGAGAATGCTCAGGCACCTGGCTAATGGGCAGCTCACCAGACCTGTTGTGGTAAGAGTAATCAAACCCATAGTTCATAATTAAAATCACCTTATTATACATAAATAGTAATTTAAACATAAGAGGAGAGGGGTTAAAACTACAGAATGAATTGCACATTTATTATTGGGCTAAATCATAGTTAAATTAAATCACAAATCCGGCTTAAATTGTTCAATTTTTCATAATTAATAATTATACAAATAGCCTGTAGAAACATGTAAAAGACACTACATCCATCTTAGACTGGTAAATCAAACTACTAATCAAAAAGTATCTCACAGACTAGATCTAGAAAATAACTCTTATACTAGTTAGTCCTAGAATACCTATCCTATAGTCATTAATATAAAATTAGGCATCTTATAGAAGAGTTACAACCTCTTGTATTAGAAGGCCACTTAGATATTAATTCATATCAGATTAGCCCATCTCAGAGCAGTAAAATCCACTCTAGAAGTACCCTTCTCAGACGCATTTTTGTTCAGGCCAAAATCTCATGTACTGCAGAACCATTTGTCTATAAATAGAGGCTCTTCTGCACATGTTTTTGTCCCTCCTCATGCTAGCTTCAGAATAGTAATCAGAGATATTACTTAGCTTTCATCAACCCTTAATTAAGAAATACAGAGAATATTAGAGCCCTTTGAACCTCCCTTATCTCATATTTTGGTCATAGAAAAGTAATTCAGAAATATTACTTAGTCATTCTCACCTCTTTGAAATATATTAGAGAAATAAGTGTACCATTTATCAGAGCCCAGAGAAACCAGAGAGTCTTATTGGATCAGAGAACCAGAGAGAATTTATAAGAGATTTAACAGAGATACCCTTCAGAAACCCTTACTCCTCAGAAAACCCCACAATCTCCTTACCTCTTAAAACAGGTATTCTTAAGCAACAATATTAGTAGTATCAACACTAAGATAAATTTAGAAATAAGTCACACTCTTATTTTTCATAGTGTAACTTTCCCGCAAGAGGGCAGTCTCACCCACACACATACTAATTCTACTCTTTTATAGTCTTATTAGCTATTTTGTCCCCTCCAAGCTCTTTACTCACTTGCTGAGCAGTTCCACACCGTCAGCAATTGTAATTGGGCCTTGATAAAAAACTTCCCCAAAAAGATGGCCCACAAATCAAATTTGGGTGGGATGGTGGGGAGAGCACAACTGGGACCAATGCTTTGGCCCAGCTATTTGACAGCTTAAAAAAACATGCAGAAGCTGCAGAAAGAATGTGGAGCTTACAAAAAGCATTCAGGATGAGGAATGTGGGACAACTGGTAGAAATTCAAGCTTTCTAAGTTTGCGGAAAGGACAGAGGTAATAGGGATCAAATTCACAAGGTTCTTAGGTAGAAAAAATGGGGACCTGGAGGCTGGCCCAACAAGCTGGTGTACATACCAGCTCGCCGGGAGGCGTCGGGAGGGATTCCTTCCTACAAGCTGGTATAAGAACCAGCTTGTTGTCCTTCCCACAAGCTGGTATAAGAACCAGCTTGTTGTCCTTCCCACAAGCTGGTATAAGAACCAGCTTGTTGGAAGAGATTCCTTCCAACAAGCTGGAATAAAAACCAGCTCACCGGGAGGAGCCCCTCCCAACAAGCTGGCATGTAGACGCTTTCCAGGAGGGGTTCCTCACCGCGGTGTGACCTTGGCCTCTCTAGGCCAAGAGGGGCCAGTTTTTTTTTCTTTTTTTTTTTTTTGAAAAAGAAAACAATTGATGGGGCTGTCCCTTGAATTTTTACACATTCAGGTACCACACCATCAAGCAAGTTACCCAAGACAACAAGTTGGAGGAAGTTAGTATTATGGAGCGGAAACAGCCAATAAATCTCTACAGGTGTGCCTTTCTTTCCACAGCGGCCTGGAAGAAACCCAGCCCAGTTCTCATCCTCAGAACATCACCAATGGTCTGGGGGTGGATTGACTCACCTCTGGCTGCCTTGAGTCAGATTTCCCAATCTTTCACATTAGTCCACCCCCATGTTGTTCAGCATCTGCTTGGCATTTCTACTAGAGGCCAAAAGAGCCTTGTAGCCCACTGAAGTTGGTCCCAGGTACCCCATCAGCACAACCATTGGAGATGCTCTTGGAAGAATCTCACATGAGATCACAATTCTAAATTGCCATTTTAGAGCCTGTGCCATAGCATCCCAACCAAAATCATTTCATTTTTGATCTTTTTATTTTTCACCAACCAAAATTCATTTTGGGGTTGAAAATCTGGCTTCTGTAATGTGGGAAATTGGGTGTGCAATTGCATGCACTGCCAACATAATGTGCCAGGGTGAGGGTATCCCAGTTTAACTGGGATGCACTCAACCAATCTAAACTTTGCTGGACTCCAACCAATGAAATATGAATTGAAGGGAGATACCTTGGATTTATATTTCATTGGTTGAGATGCAATCAAGTTTAACTTGTTTGAGTGCATCCCAGTTGAACTGGGAACCCTCAACCTTGCCAATTATGCTGGCAGTAATGATACACCATTTCTGGTGGTATCAATTTCCAGCTTGAAAATGGAAATTGACCTGGTAATTGGGGCTGTCATACAGGCACTAAATTTGGGAGGAAAGAACAAATTTCAGAAATTGCATGGACAAAAAGTATTTTTTGTTTTATTTTGTTGTAGTTATGCTTTCAAAACAATATGGTTCATTGTTGAGTATCAATAATTTTGCTGCAAGATGCTATGTGAGGTTTGCTCAAATGAGGGCATTGGGTCAAGCTAGATGGCCTGTCTACATGCCCCCGAAGGGTGCGAGATTGGCGAGGCAACGGGTCGGAACCCTACTTCGTACAGACGGTGCCGGGGAAATACATAAATAGAGTCGCGAAAAACAAAATAGTAAATATGAACGCGAAAGACCCAGAATCATTTGCGGAAAACCGCACGCAAAAAAGCTTTGCTGCATCAACAAGCGATGCTCTTACAATCCCATGCAAGCTTCTGGGAAAGAAATTGTGATTAGATGTGATTACGCTTGAAGTCTCACCTGTTGCTCTCAGAGTGTGCTTAATTAGCTCTAATGTCATGGTTATGCACACAATGATGTGAATACATGCACTGACATCATCATACATGGCCTCTGGCAAGCACTGGGGCTGGCGAATGACGATGTATTTGGATCACATGTCACCCACTGAGCAGTGCTTGACTTGAGCTCCGTGAACCAGCCTGAACCATTTCGACGACTGGGAATGACCGCGCCACTGAGCAGATGTGGTTTGGCGTATCGGACATCGAAGATGTTTCGCTTGGAAGTGGACCGCAGTCCCCGTTCAGGGCTGAGCGTGACTGAGGATCGTTGCGAGCAGTGCTAGTTATTTCCGCAGACCTAAACAGTTTGTAGAGACTGGTTTGCGAATGTTTCCCGAAGCTACTTTGTATTGATGTAACAGCACTCGTGCAACATATTTCCTTTATATTGCGCTACATATTCAAATTCCAAAAGTTATATATTCCAGGCTCAGTCAGCGGTCAGACTTTTGCCGATTTGTTTGGACCAGGACATCAGCTGTAGACAGGCCCGATACCCTTGAATCCTTTCACCACCTCGTCCGATTGGCAACGGACCTACCAGAGATTTGTGCAACAAAGTCATTCCAGTCACAACTTAAAGCCAAAGCCCCATTGACATCCTTTTCGGATTCCTCTTAACACTCAAAACCCACAAGGCCCCGTCCCAATCATCACCTTCATTTTTCCACACCTACAAACTAGCAATTTTGTTTATTCAATCAGCCATGTGCTTTCTTTCTCAATTTTCCCGACTCTTCACCTTCGTCGTTCTAGGTTCTTCTTTAATTTGTACGTTGGCTTCAGACCCGGGTCAGGCGCCGAACCTATCCAATTTCAAGCTGCTGCCGAGAGGGAACGACGACATGGTTACGGACCATCTCAAAACCTTCCGCAAGGCCACGAAGCACAAGATGAAAAACATTCATCGCTTAAATACACAACATCACAAGAAACAAAAAGCGAAGAAGTCATGCAAGATAAGTCATCACGCCAAAAAATCCAAGTCTGAAAAAGCGAAGAAAAAAGACAATGTCTATCACGAGAAGCAGGAATATCTACTCCCTCATCAGTCGCAAGCTGTTGGCTCAATCTTGCACGCTACTTCGGCTTGTGGAAACGCGCAGCCTACTCGGGCGATCACAGAAGGCTCAGGCCCCAATGGAAATGAATCGTAAGTGGCTTCGGAGTGAGATATCGGATTGTGGAAGGACTGGGGATTATCCAATTCAGCGTTGCTTCAGTCTAACTCATTGATTTGAACTGACATACGGAAACACAGGTTCTTGAACTGTGGCATAACCGAAGGTGGTTGGAAACCGCCTCATGTCACCATGTCGATGATAACACACTCATCGCTAGATCAAGAACCCGCCAAGAGCACGTTTGCCCCCTGTCAAAAGTTCCGTCCCTTGTTTGAAAAACATGGAAGCAAGCACGGCAGTGAGTTTCTTATGTTTTCAAGCTCATCATCACTTTCCCTTCTCAGCGCACCGAAATTCTGAGTGTTTTCTGTGGGGATCAAGTACCATCAATCTTTTTGGCCGCTTTCGCGATGCAGGAGTCCAATTGTAGACCCGACGTCGTCGGTGATCAAGGTGGAGCCTTCGGACTTATGCAAATAACGAAGGACAAGTGCGGTAACGCGCCCGGTGGCAACTGTGTAAGCGTTTGATCAGATTTTGCTTGACCCGGATGGTAGAGATCGTTAGAAACCCGTGTGTTGATGCGGTGCGTTTTTCAGGCTGATCCTGACTACAACATCGAAATGGCTGCCAAAACCTTCTCCGATGGTCTCTCCGAGGCTAATGGAAATGTGTAAGCCATGGTATGAGTGCTAAATCAATGAAGCCACTCTTACTAATTATCTGGTCTATTTTAACTCTTTGGGTATCAGCTTGTTAGCTGTCGGAGGTTACAATGGTGAGTCCAGACCCTGGAATTCATAATTCCTAGCTCTCGCCATGGCTCATTTCAATTTCCTTTCGATATTTTTTCTTTCAGGTTGGATGCCGGGCCTCACCAAGGATAAGGCAATGGAGGCTAAACAACAAGGATGTTGTGTCTGCCAGCAAAACTTGGTACGCCGCCATTCTCCTCCCATCACCCAAATCAAGCTATGTAACCAACTGATGTATAAGCCCTACAGGATTACTTGCAACATTTTTTCAATGCCTGGATTCAAGGTGTTGACCCCCAAAGTCGCCGACTTGGTACGTTCCGCAACTTGGAAGCTTGTGGCTAGTCCGTTTCGAAGAGTTAAACCATTCTTCAACACTATTGAGGACACCGGATACGGATCCTCCTGGAATTTCCCCTTTCTCTGTCAGCTGACACTATGCGCCCTGGATGGAAAAGATACTCTTTCTTCTACTTCGTTCTACTTCCAATTTTATTTTCTCGTACATTTCTTTAACCGAAGAAAACCCAATTCTTTCGGACATGTGATGTATCAGTCAGGAACCTCATACAGTTGAACTGCTGCTCCAGAATCATGCATGATTCTCATTTTCTCAGCTTCTCCCTTCAGTATTGAGTACTATCAATTTTGAATTGAATTTTTGTTTTCCTATCATATCATCACCAGTCCACACTTTTTGCAATCGTTTTATCGTTTTATGAATACTCGGCAGAAAATAAATCCTGCTTGCATGCAGGATCCATCGGTTTACAGTTTCAATCCAAATGCCTGCCACTCAAAGTAGCCAAATGAGGTTTTTACAACACCACAAATCCAACTTTGGCTGTGCCACAGTCACCTTTTTGGCTTGACTCAATTGGTGTTTAATCGCACCCAATCAGAGATGTTTGAACACATCCTGTTGGTAGGTACAGTTTAGTTCCTGAATTCGGAAACTTGTCAAAACGACGATCAAGATACACGTCTTGAATCTCTGACCAAAGTCAGCATAGGCTGTATCCACTACTGAGGACAGATGATATGATAGAGGATCACAGTGTGATAACTCAAATGGAACAATATTCAGTTCTTTGACAAAATGTTTGGGTCCACTAAGTGAGGGGGGATACAATGTAAAATGTTGACTAAAATCAATGAAGTAATCATTGGAAATATTTTGCGGATGCTGGCCAGGTCAAGTTGGACATTGATGTTGAAGAAAATCATATTGTACTTCCGGTAACCGACGGGCTTTGGCCAGTGAAAGAAAGGAGCTGCGTGCAACGGGGGCTGGTGTCAGTGTCGGGTGTGGGCTCTAGAATCTGGAGATCATACTTTGTCAAAGTCAGGCTTTGAGATCTTATTTACCTTCTCCGGCTTGGTGCCCCGGGCACACTGAAGGCTACAGACTGCGGTTGCAAAGAATTAAAAATGAGTCAGCGGTTGATAAACTCCTTGCAAGAGGCACAGCTTCACTGACAGAAAGAGTTGAGGTAAATCCTTGGAAGAATACCATTCAAAATGAATGATGCGCGGCGACACATTTCTTGTCCACCGATGGACATGCTGGGCATCAAATGTGGTACTGAAGTGGAGCCGAATTTCATCATCCTTCTTCGAGTTGGTCATCTCTTATCGACAACCAAATTCAAAGAACTAACAGGCTTGGACTATGAGGGATAGTAGGGCCACAATGAATGTAAGACCAAATGTACTGTTGAAGAAAGGGCAAATCAAAATTCGTCAGACTCTGCCAGGATCTTTATTAATCATGGACTCTGCATACCTGATGGTCAGAAACAACAACCGACGTAAAGTAGTGGCCAGCGATTCATGTCGAATAGGGCTTCGACTATGATGGAGAGCTATGATCATTGCAACACTGATTGTACCATCCGTCAGACAATTAGAAATCAACCACATGTTATAGAATGCGAAGAAGGCAATGCTAAACACGGGTGGCCCTGCAGTTGGAGAGGATATGTGACTCATCATCCCGAACTCCGCACCTGCTCCCAAGCCACCAACGCAACTTGCAATAGCTAAAAATCCAATTACAATAGTCCACCATCTAGACAGCGCTGGCATGACTTGGATGAGCCTAAAATAATGATATCTATTTGGTACCGTAGAGGGGCAGTCAGAGGGGAAAATCGTCGTTTCGGTCACAAATAAATTGTCGAGTTCTTACTGAACGGTTGCTGCTACGCCTACCGCCATAGACACCTCCAAAGAGGTGAAGATGAAAACCATAGTATCTTGCCCCTGGCCACTCAGGTAAGATTGAAAGGAGTGGCACATATACTAGAGATAGATGGCAACCTCTTCAATTTTTTTTCCAGTATCATTTCGAGCTGTGCCGTCTGTAAGTTTGACTCACCCATAAGTCCAACGCTATTTGAACCAAGTGGATTGAAATCCCAAACGTTGCCAAGTAGAACGATTGTCGTGAGCGTTCGGAAGCCGGCCTCAAGCAAAAGTCAGCGTACTGCAAGAGTGCTACACAGCTCAAGAGAGTCAAAGCCGGCTTCAGAGGGCAGACACGAGGGGCATGTCAGCTTATGTATCTTTTTCTTGAAAGCGATTTGTCAAGCATTCTAAAGGACGTTACTCACAACAACGTAGATCGACGAGTCGAGAGTTGTTCGAGGATTTATCATATGAGGACCAGGATCAGATGAGCCAGAAGCGAAGGAGGTAGGATCACTCGAGGAAGGCATCGGTTGTTGGTTGTGCTACTATTAGTAAATCACTCAGAAGCTGTTGAGAGACGAAAAAGAATACTGGGGCTGTTGATGGTCCAAGTCAGTCGAAAGGTTTGTCTCCACAGGCTCATGATTCGAGCCCAGCTGTTCTCTCTCAAGTATACTTTGTGGGAAGAGGAATCATCAGGAGTTACGAGGCATAAACTGGTTTATAATGACATCTGAATCGCTCATTGCGATTCGCCGGAACAAGAACTTCTGGGAAAGCAACCTCCCGTCTTGATGCCAGTCCCCCCTCAGCTGGGGTAACAATCTTCCAGCGAATTTCCACTACCGAGCTTGGACACCCGTATGTGATGAATCAAGCGCAACGTACCATTCCACAGTGGCGGAAGCGATGGATGTCATGCAACTAACACTTGGCTCTCTACAGATGTCGATATCTGCTTCTGGACCATCGCTGAGTGGGTCAAACAGACAAACGGTTCGAAAAAAAAAATATATATATATATATTAAATTAGTACACACGAGACAGCATACGCATTCTTTTGTTCATCATTCCAATTCTTCATTTTCTTATGAGAGGGATCAAAAGAGTGGATCTAAAAAGCCAAGGGGATGTTGAAAAAACAAAGCTAAAAACATCAATAGACTGAGAAGAAAAAGAAAAGGGGGGAAACAGGAACAGAGGATGGTAAGATGGGGAAAATGAATTGAAGACACAAAAATGCAAAGAGAATATCTGGAATTTCTGCCTGGTATATTCTTTAGAAGAGTTCATCAGAGTGCAATGAATGTACCTTGTCATGTTATTAATTTTTTTCAAGGAAATCCAAGCTTAAAGATGCAACACTTAACTGTTCTTCAGTTGTTCATTTCTTTCAGACTCTCTATCCATTAAGATGTCTTCCCCAAAGTAATCTTGAATAAATTCCAAAATTAATGATGACAAAACAGTTTCTGAAAATGTATATTTCAAATGTATCTGGTTACCAAGTGAGTAAATGGTTTCCTTGAGTTCATTTTTCAGTTTATCTTTTCTTGATGAAATTATTCCAATCCACCAAGGTTAATAAATTGAATTGGTCATTCCAAAACCACCTAGGAGTTTTTTGTCAGATAATTTCCAATCCATAACGTTGAAGTAAAAGTGATCCTAGAGACAAATATTCAAACTTGTTTTTTTTCTGCACTCAAGATCTGTAAAAAAAACTTGATTCAATCAGTCATTAAAACAACTCAAGAAATTCTAGAGAGCTTTCAGGAAAGATTCACAAATATGAAGAATTTGAGGCTCTGAAAAAAATGACTGGTGTAATATTTATCAAATTAAAATTCAAAAACTCTCTCATTGTTCATTCCAAAAGTTGTGACCATTTTGATTGTAGAAATCTCCAGTTTATTTTCATTCCTATATATAGAAATGTCCAAGATGTTCTTTGTAATCAATATTTACTGTGATTTCCTGAAGTTATGACAATGTCCTAATGAATTCAATTTTCAATAAAAAATTCAGCAGGGAGCAAAAAGGGAGTATCATGAAGAATTCTTTTGAGAAACTTGGCCAATACATCCTGGAATTCATTATCCACAATTTTTTTGTCTTGGCTTGGAAGTTGGGCTTATAGGTCAGGTGGAGTTATGACTGTCATACCCAAGCTTCATACTTTTTGTGAGATACTGGCCAGATAATTGGCATTCTGTTATGAAGGAGTTTTCTATGAATATGGCTTGAAAAATAAAGCTCAGCAAAGCCTCGCAACATCAATTGATTGACAGAAATCAATGAGCTGAAATTGTACTAGCTTGGAGAATGGAAAGATTAATAATGATTGAGCTCTTGGAAAAATGGTCACATTTCTGCCCCAGAATGTGGGATGGGGACAAAGAATTTCATACACTTGAACAAAACCCCTTACTCAATTATTAAGTATGATATAGGAAATGTTGATTAAAGTTATTTGTAAAGTTAGAAATTCCGATTGGGAGATTGTAAATCCTCAAGGGATTATCCCTGTAAAATCAATTGGATCAGGAAAGTTCAAACTTAAAAATGTTTCAAATTTGGATCCAGCGGGACACAACTTTTCCCATTTGTTTTGTCATTGGCACCAAGTTGCGTCAGTATGTTAAACATGAAAGACGCTCATTAAAGTTTAATGCTTGGATGTCCCATTGGATTAGAAAGAGAAAAGAAGCATTGAGAGGTGCAAAACGACTGTTGCGGTCTCCAAACATGAAAGGAAGGGAATTGAAAAAAAGGAAAATGCGTAGGCAAAGGTAAAGCAGTGATGCGGAGATTACTAATAATGAGGAGGGGTTCTCATATGAGAAGAGAGAGTGAGACGATAAAGTAAAGTGAAAAAGAATAGACTAGACATCAGTTGGGCTCTACCCTCTTTCATAACAAGCAAGTATTGAAAACGACAACAGGAATCAGAAGGAAAAGGATAGTCCCACGTGGGTAGATAGCCACCTTGGCGTAGGATTACTAAAATTTGTGGGCGAGGGCATGTTTCTTGTATGGAGATCCAGGGCGAGAGTGTCTTGTGTTCTGCTGATGGTGATTGAAGTGTTTAGCGTTGTTGTCGGACCTCTTCTCTGTGCCGTTTGTCAGACGCAGGTCTGGTGAATGGGTGTAGCTGCTGCAAATCCAAAGAAGCGGAACGACGACTATGGCCAGCAAAAAGAAACACACCGTGACGCCAGCGAGGAAGAAGATGCACTCGGACGAGATCCGCAGGGCTTGCTCGAGACGAGGATATTGATGCATAAGCAAGTCGATATGGACGTGAATGTAAACAAATGTGGTGTATGAGATCAGGAGATGCAAAGCGGCGGTGGATTTGAAGTAGCTGAAAGCTGCATTCGGCCGTTTAGAGGTACGGAGGAGCAGATAGCCAAAGGTCAACTTGAGGGTAATCGCACAAGCCACAATCAAAGGGATGAGCCCCGCCAGAGATTGAGATTGTCCGATTTTAACGATAAGTTGAGGTAGGAAGACGCAATTAGCTGGAAGCTCTTTCAAGCTGAGGGCCGACTGTCCTGGGGCCAATACTGGATAGTCTCTCGGATTGTGATAGCTATGGTTTGAGTTACAGAATAGAATCGTTCCAGGCTGGTTGAAGGGAGGTGGAATGGCAGCAAGGAGGAATCGTAGCGTCAAAAAGTTGTCCATTGCGACCCGACATAGCCAAACGGACATTAAAGCGTCCACAACCAGGCTCAAGCCGATCTGTGTGCTGCTTGCTCGCCGGGTGATGTTCAACTCCTCGACCAGGCTAGCAGCTGATTTATCAGATATAGGCCATTTCTCATCGAGGCTTGCGAAAGTCACCTCGCTAGTAAGAGGCGAGGAGACTCTGGGACGCCAATTGAAGAGAGGTGATGTGGGAGATTGGTTGCGGTGTCGGCGTGACTGAGATGATGGTCGAGGCATGACTTTTAGAATTGAAAGCGGTAATAAGTTGGCCTGTAGGGAGTATTTACAGAATGCTCGAAAAATTAGGGATAGTTGTGCGGGTGGGCCTGCTATAAAAGGTAAGTTGACTTACGGTCCGTATCTGCTGCCACAAAGAGGGAATAAATAAGGAGCACAATGAGGAGATTGAACAAAAGAGCTTCCCGATATAGGATTCACAACGAAACGCTCCTGCGTGAATAGACAATAGCGTTAGCAAATGTACACTTATAAAGGACGGATGATGTCAGGGACAAACTGTTATATGTCCTCAAGGTTTGAGAGCAATTGGCACGGATTGATGAGTTGGTGGTCACTCAGATACCAAAATAGAAAGGATGAGCGGTCAAGAAAGGTTTGATGGATTGATATCGATTGATGAAGTCAAGTAGCTTGTGTGATAAGGAGTGGGATTTGATAAAATAACTTGTGGGAGGAAGATACTGGAATTAGAAGCACATTGATGAATGCAGCAGGTGTTTATCTCTCTTTACAACGTAGCTCCACGAAATTTTGAATAAGCTTAATACGGGTGAGGGGATGGGATGGTAGCTGTGCGGCATACTCGCTTTGGCCGCTAAGAAATCTGCCTCAAGCCTGCGCTGTCAAAGATGCATTCAGAGGGCTCATAACTAATCAGGACAGACCAGCCCTCATCCCCTGAGGCTCGAGAGCGGAAGGTCTAGGAGATCCAGGGGATGGAATGTAAGGTCAGGCCGTCAAGGACCAGATGCCAGACAGAACCAGTTAAGATTGCTTGCTTGGGGAGTCCACCGTTATCATCTGGACTGCTGTCCGGATGTACCGCTAGCAACACCGAGCGGAACTTCGACCCCGTCCGTATCATCGCCCAGTCGCTGTGAACCGAGAAGACTTTCTTCCCAACGCTGTGAGTCCCGGAGGTGCAGATTACAGGCTGTATCGCTATTGTAATGCTTGTCGCGTCCGGCTTCGTGGCGGTACATCACGGGACTGGGACCCTCGTAAAGCTGAACTGTCAATGTAACATTTAGTGATCAACTGCTCATAACGTTAAAAATAAAATAGGTTAAAATGAGAAGTGAGCGGCATGATTCCTTTGGCTGACATTACTGAGAAAGCCCTTGGAATATTGCATCGGTGGTTTTCTTGAATCAGTACAATGCATGTACATAGAGCATACATTAATATAGCTTCCTCATAGTTATCCGAGGAAGGTTAAAGAGAATCCAGAAGTGTTCTTATCTTCCATTGCTTCGGCTAACTAAACCAGGAGTTGTGTCATTAGGAAGTTGGTCGCGTGCGGCTCTGAAGGTAACAAGTATCGCAAGAGGGGCAGGAGCGCCAAAGCCAACTATCAGGCTGCAAAAGGGAGAAAAAAGCGGTGATTTATGGATTGGCTTGCAACCCGAACAGACGAGCATCCGCTGCAAAATGTTATCTCAAAGACAAGCAGTTGAACGGGAAGCGCCCAGTCGACTACCGATGACTTGCCACTTGAGCCAATCAGCATTCTTGAAAAGACAAACGAGATGCGATTTGACTCTTGCACGTTTGTCTTTTTTCGTTTTCTTTCCATCAAAAAGAAAGAAAGAAAAAAAATAAGCCAGCCTTTCGAAGTCATTTGAGCCTTAGGTCCTACTCCCCTTTTAAGCAATTCCGCCCCCGCTCCCAAACGCTACGGGCTTCCGTAGCACTGCAAGCAATACCTGGTGGGAAAATGAAATGCGGGTTCAAAGGTATCCATCCTCAAGTCTCCGTTAGCAAAATTCCAGTCTCTTCTTGGAACTTTGCACCAGCATCTATCCTTCCTCGATCCAACCTGTTAGAGGATCAGACAGATCCTTTGGAGTCACCCGAGCTAGGCATCGGGATACTGGGCCGTTTAAGGACGTAGTACAAAGCAAGTGTTGCATCGTATAGCTTGAAATGTCCCGGCCGATTGTCGGCGTGCCCTGCAAAACAACTTTCAATTCCTGATTTGACATCCAGCAACAACGTAGCCTTGCTCGACCCAACGCGTGACCTAGCCATATTGCAGGACATGGATCCTTTGAAGTTAGAGCTCGCATTCCTAACCGTCATCTGGATCCGAGTACATAACTCCTTGGAGTTCCCACCGAGTCGCTTTGATCCCGGAAATGTTCCATCGTCTCTGAACAACACATTGTAATATCACTTCTTGAAATGCCGGCCCATAACATTTCGAACTCAGCTGGCGATCAACGAAACATGTCTCTTTTCTTGCTATCCCGCTCACTACATAACCCTTCACCCTTGGTAGAACTTGTGGCACCACCCTATAAATACACATCTTGCCATATGGTTTCCGGGTGTGCTACCGAGCGAGCAACGGCACTGCTGCGATTGCAAGATATGCGCCCCAGCGCTGCATCATGGAATGTACAGAACTCTGCGGAACGCACCGTCGATACTCGAGTTAGGTTTCACTCGGGACCTCTGGTAGCAAAGTCTCTGAGGATCTCACCAAAGCCAGCACTGTAGGTCTAGGGTTGACCGGTATCAGTTGTCTCTCTGACGCGCCAGTGCGGAGACTTGGGTAAGTTTTGAGCTGCGTGAAAAGATAGACCTGTATACAGGTTCTCACATCCAAACTGGCGTGAATATTTCGGTAGGCTGATTGATTTTTATTCCATGAGCAAGTTACAGAAATTTGCCGCCGGAGCTTCAGTTCCCATCTATAAATAAGCTCTCAAATAGGGCACTTCCTCACTACTCAACCGGCCGCTGCTTATCATCCCCAATTCTTAGAGACCCTTGAAACCCGACAAATTTAATCATTTGTCTCAACACACACTATGGCAATTGGCCTGGGCTTCCGAAAAATTGGATTACTAATAGTACTTTTCTTACACAAATGGCAATGTATGGAATCAGGAGGTGATTTCTTTTCACATGAGACTGTTTCCCTGTATCTTACAAGTACCACAACTAATTTTAATATATTTATGTGGCCTTTTCCCCTCAACAAATCACCACAACCTTTCGGCAGTAAATGAGGTACAAACAGCATACAAAATGTCTGGAGCTTTGCCAGATGAGTGCATCCCTCTATTGGAACGGAATTCTCAAGGTGAAAAATTGCGTGATGAAAGCACCTCAGGTGATGCAGAAAGCCTCAAAGATGGTGTGGTTCCTAGAATTGATATATCAGAGGATTCCATGAGGAATTTGGCAATTCATGTAGATGTTATAGCCCCGCAAAATACCCTGTCGGAAGATGAGGCAAGCATTGCAAGACACTTGGGAAATTTCTTTCGCTTTTACAAAGAAGAAACTTCGATACCAATTTGTAAGCTGCCGCTTCTGCACAAGTTTAATTATACTGAACTAACCCATCATGTTCCCTTCCTGCTACCTGTAAAAATGACTATTGTCTTTGAATAATGATCGAAATTGCTGATTCTCCATGTGTTTTCAAAGACAACGATAATGCAATCTTGAATGATAACAAATTCATCAAAAAAAACCTGGAAAGTTGGAGATTTTCTTTCTGGAAGATTGGGTGGAATAAAGATGAAAAGAAAGCCGCAAAGAAGCTATCAGAGCAGCATGAGAAATTGGTAGATTTTCGCTCGGCAACTTCGCCCTACAGATTCTTCAAGGTGGAACAGAAGAAGTCTTACGATGGGGCTATAGAGAGCATAGGATTCCACAAACATGGTATCTACATTTATTTTTCAGACTTGGATTATCCATGGTTTGGATTCAAAAGCTTCTGTAAAAACAATCCAATTGGAGACAATGAATTCCAGTATAGCTTGGTCAAGTTTCTGGACAGAATGCTTCATGACACTCCCTCCTTTTTCATTGATAGAAAAATTGATTTGAAAAATGAAGTCAATAGGAAATCACTGAAACTTCAAAGGATCATATTTCAATTGGTGGATTACATGCTCAAGTACCAGTTAATTAAGATGGATCATTACAATGATTTCTTTAGGGATGAAAAAAGATTGGAATTGGCTGCAATCAACATGGTTGCAACCTTTGGACTGGACAATCAAAAAGATTTGGAATTCAAATTTAACAAATACTACAGCAGTAAAATTTTTCTCAGAACTTGGAATTGTTCGCATCTAAAGAGCTTGCCTGAAAGTTAGTTGGAACTCCTTTTATCCTTCCAATGACTGATTAAATTGATTATGATCCTCTTTTTGTAAAGATCTTGAGCGCAGAAAGAAAATCAAGTTTGAATATTTGTCTCTAAAAGCACTCTTATTTCAACATTATGGATTGGCCCCTGACACACAAAATACTCTCCAGTTTGTTTCACCCAAGGAATTCAATTTATTCCTTGATGAGAAAACCTTTCTTGGTGGATTGGAAGAATGTTATGAAGAGGGTTTTGTAGACAAGAGCAAACTGAATAATGAACTCAATGAAGCCATTCACTCCCTTGGTCAACATTTATTGAGTGATTTGGAGTATGCATTTACACAAAGGATTGTATCATCATTAATTTTGGAATTTGTTCAAGATAACTATGGTGTAGAAATCTTATTGACTGAAGATTCTACAAGAAATGACAAGCTGAAAAACAGATTGAGTGTGACATCTTCAAGTTTGGAATTACTTGAAGAAATGAATAACATCACTAGGTTTCTTAATTCTGATGAATTCTTGATGCACTTTCGTAAAAGAAAAATGCTTTCAATCCTCAAGAAATATTTTGACATCGTACATGAGAAAATTGAGAATCTTTCAAAAGATAGTGGGCAAGCTTTTTTCCTGCATAATGCATTGAAGGAGTCTAAAGAAGAATTTGAAAAAGCAATGCAAAAAGTCAAAAAGGAGTACTCTATAAAATCATGAGATAACGATGTTGAAAAGGATCAAGAAAAACAAATTCCAACAACACACCAGAAAATAAAGTATACCATCTGTTTCAGTCAGAAATTTCAGACACCACGTTGCATTTTGGTCTCTTTCCAATTCAGGTTCTCCATCTTGCCACCTAGATTTGGTGTCGACTAAACTATACCTGGTCTTTCTACTACGACAATGTCCACGTCACTGTTCGACGGTGCACCCACGTTTTCGCGATGGCCGGGTACGTTTATCAAGGTCAAATTTTAAGTGCTAATGTCTTGTCGTCTTGTCAATTTCTCCAGATTTCTCTTACTTCTCTCTGTCTTGCTATCTTTTCACATTTGTCCATGCTCCCTCTTGTTTTCCTTCGGTTCTCAATTGGATGGTACTTTGCGCTTTGCCTTACCAACATCTGACTGTTGCAATCTTCAAACTGCTTCAGCTTGTCAACCATATATCCATCACAAAAAAAATGAAATGTCGAAAAAGAAAAGATTGCGGTATACTGCTTGTTTTGTTCTGAAATCATTAGTTTGTTTGCCCCAATCAGCGATGGCGTGGAAGCAGACTTCGTCATCTGCAATGAGTCTAGTTTTCGTAGCATGTCATCCATGGCTTCCGCTACTACGGAATCAAAAGCCAACGTATCACGCTTGATTCATTACATGTGCGGGTGCCCAAGCTCGGCCAGGTTAGGGCGGGACTAGCATCGAGAAGGGAAGCTTTTTCCCCAGCTAAGCTCTTGTTCCGGCGAATTGCAATGAGCGGATTGGATGATCGTATTTGCAAGCGGGTTTATGCCTAGTAACTCCAGGTGATTTTTTTTCCCTCCAAGCATATTACTTGAGAAGGTCAAGTTGGGCTTGAATTGCTAGCCTATGGAAAAAAAAAGGATTGTGGCATATTTCAACCAACCACCAACAGCGCCAGCTTTCTTTTTCGTCTCACAACAGCTTCTGGGCCATTCACTAATAATCATACCAACATCGGAATAAGCACCGCAATCAACCAGCGATGTCTTCCTCCAGTGACCCCAGCTTCTCTGCTCCTGGGTCCTCTGATCCTGGTCCGCACATGATGAATCCTCGATTAAACCTCGACTCGTCGGTCTATGTTGTTGTGAGCAACGTCCTTCCAAGCGCTTGATGGATGGTTCGCAGGCAAAACACACGCATTAAACTGACATCCCTCTCGCTGTCGGCCGTATGCAGCCGGCTTTGACTTTCTTGAGCTGTGTAGCAATCATGCAGTACGGTAATTTTTGTTTGACGCCAGCTTCCGAACGCTCCCGACAATCTTTTTACTTGGCAACGATTGGGATTTCAATTCATTTGGTTCAAATTGCTTTGGACCTTTGGGTGTGTCAAACATACTGACGGTATAGCCTTAGAGATGTCTCCGAATGATGCTGAAAAAATACACAAATCTGTGATACTTCTGTAGTACATGTGCTATTCTTTCCAATCTTACTTGACCGGCCAGACAAAGGACCCTGTAATTTTCCTCTACACCACTTTGGAAGTTTGTACGGCGGTGGGCATAGCAGTAACGGTTCAGTAAGAGCTCCCAAACTGTCCTATCTCAACCTCGAGGATTTTGTGCAACCAGAAACGACGGCTTATCAATCTGACCATCACTATTTAACAGGTATCATTATTTTCGGCTCGTTCAAGCCATGCCAGCGCTTTCTAAATGGTGGACTGTTGCAATCGGATTCTTCGCGGTTGCAACTTGCGTAGGTGGCTTAGGAACAGGCGCCGAGTTCCAGGTGATGGGTCGCACACCCCCTCCAACTGCAGGGCCACCCGTGATCAGCATTGTCTTTTTGGCATTCTACAACATGTGGTTAATTTCGAATTGTCTGACGGATGGTACAATCAGTATCGCAATGATCTTAGCCCTGCGTCATAGTCGAAGTCCTATCCGGCATCAATCGCTGGCCACCACTTTACGCCGGTTGTTGTTTTTAACCGTCAGGTAGGCAAATGCCATATCTCACGAGGATCTTGCTAGATTGCTCAAGAACTTGCATTGTCCTGTCTTTAACAGCACATTTGGCCTCACATTTATTGTAGCCCTACTATCCCTCATCGTCCCAGCATGTGAGTTCTTTAAAGAATTTGCTTGCTGATAGGTCATAGCCAGCTCGAAGAGGACTGATGAAATCACGCCCCGCTCCAGTACCCCACATGATACCTAGCATGTCTATTCGTGGGCAAGAGATATGTCGCGTCGGATCGTTCGTTTTGAATGGGATCCTTCCTAGGATTTACCTCAACTCATTTTGTAAGTGGCAGTGCCTTTTGCCAGGAGCTTGGCAACCGCTTATTCTTTTTTTTTATCATTATTTGACATCCGAAGTCTGTAGCCTTCAGTGTGCCCGGGGCACCAAGTCGGCGAAGCACGATACGAAAACGATAACAGACTCAGAGCCTGATTATGAAAAAGTCTGATGTCTCGATTTTATAAGAGCCCACACCCGACGGTTATACCAAATTCGAATTTGACCTGGCGCGCTTCCATAAAATATCGCCACTCAGTCTTTGCTGCATTCAACGGCGCAACCGCTACGTTACACTTAGCGTAGCGCAGCGATAGCGTAGCGTTTTTGGGCTAGCTACGCTACAGCTCCTTTTTAGCGGGGCACCGCTGCAGCTACAGCTACGCATGAGGCTCAAGTTTTTTTTTGGTTTTTAGCGCGCTCAATTTAGCAGGATTTAGCGCGCACTCGCTAAGCTACAGCTCACTTTAGCGCCGCTACGCTATATCTAGCGAATGATTAGCGGGCGGTGCCGCTACATTAGCGGGGGGTTGGGTTCAAAAATTATTATTTTTCAGATGTGGAATAAGTAGTCAAGTTGGCCACAATGTATAAGAATCAGGGGGTGTGGTAAGTAAGACGAGTAGGAGAGTGTGGATAAGGATAAGGAAACTATTATTATGAGTAAGAGCAAAGCATTATTTGGTTTTACCAACATGCTTGATCTTGTGGGCCTTGTATTTCTTTGATTGATTCGCCACTTGAGTTGCAAACTTTGGATTGGCTGTGGCGGTGTCAACCACAGACTGACAATCAGCAAATTCACCCTTTGCCTTGATACCTTCTTGCAACCAAATATGGCTGCTGACACATCGCTCAATGGTAGCAGCAGCCAGACTCTTCCTACCAGGGGCGCACACATCAGCAGCTGCTGAAAATGTCCGTTCAACTGTGGCCGACGTTCCTGCACACGCTAACACGTCGCGAGCTACCGTTGCCAGTCGGGGGAACTCAGACTCGTGATTCTAGAAGATAGGCTCATGATCAGTTCAATGTAATACTAATGGCAATATGAGAGCGTGATCACATACCATCCACCATTGAAGAGGATCACCCTTTTTCCCAAGTGGCCATGCGCCATCAAGATATTTCTTAATCTCGTTGTCTTCCTGCGACACCCGGTTCTTTGCAGGATAATAGTTGAACCCGTCTGCATCAGAATCGTCCGCGTTTGAATCTGGGGTAGTCAATTCGGGGGTCAATAGATTGTGAGCTTCTTGTTTGGCCTTGAATGCCGCTTGAAGGAGATTGAATGCAATATCGGCGTGACCAGGGTATTTGTCTTTAATAAGGCATAGCCTCCACGCTGGGTGAAGCATTGAAGCAAGTAATAAGGCAGAACAACCAATGGCGATGTCTTGATATTTTTTGGCTATCTTGATCATCGGATCAAACATCGGTTTTAACACGGCGAATTCGGGAGCAGCCTTTTTTTTCTCAAGGGATTCGATTAGGCGGCAGTACTCGTACAATACCATTGAAGCGTTGGGCCCGTCCCCCTCCATGTGTAACGTTAACGCCACAAATTCCTGGGTTTGAACAATTGAGATGTTAGTTGTGTAAATACTACAGCAAGGGCCAAGGATCGAATTGGAGAAATCAGAAATGGGATTTACCTCTAATACTATGGTGAGGGAGTTGAGGTTCTCCCATTCTCTCTTGGAGATTTCATAACCTTTGTAGTAATGTACAATACCCGACTTCCCTGCGCACTTATCGGTTTCGTCTTCTAAAAGTTGGTCAATCACTTTTTTGGCCGCATATGCACGTTGCCAACAATCGTAAGCAATGTTCCAGCGAATGCCATACCCGGGAATTAGTGAGCCTTTGTGCTTTAAATCGTCGGCGACTAGTTTGAAGTCGGCTCGCCTAGCTGAAGATGATGAGACCCTTTGACAAATTTAATCAACCTGCTTTGGAACATTAGTATTCAGTTTCTGAGTGGGAGTGATCAGTTTGATAAAAACTTACCTTGACTAAGGTGTGGCCGATTCCACCATTGTGGACGGTCTGACCTTCCATCTTGTCCAAGTCGTTATCAGAATCCTGACCAGCGTTTGATACATCATCAGGATCGACATCGTCAGGGTCTTCAACATCGTCTAGTTGGAGGATCTCCAAGTCGATTTCCTTGTCCACCTCAGCTTCTTCTTCACCTTCCACAATAGCATCGAGGGTAGGAAAGTAGTCAGGGGTCTTGCGCGGTGCCTTCAGAGGTTTGGAAAGCTTCAAACTCCTCAGCCCAGCACCCAGCACCAGTGCTAGCACGTGGCAGAAACATCGAGGATGATAATCTGCATGATGATCGAAGTTGCCACTCTTGCTTCTGAGGATCCTCGCCAATTCGGTCGCCATGGTAAAATTGTTGCTGCCTGAGTCAGTCGTCAATGCTGCAATGTATAGGGTTGGAGACAGGTGTCAGCAAGAGCAGCCTATAAACATGAGAGAAATGAAATACCACTTATTTGGTTATGCAATCCATGCTTGGCAATAACGTTGGCAAAAGGAGCCGCCAAGTATTTGCCATTGTGGTGCCAGGAAACATACTTCAACGCCAGGTGCTGAGAAACATATCGCCACTTCTTGTTGATGTAGCAAACCGAGATGCCAATGAACGCTTTGTGATTACCTTTAGTTGTCCAGACATCGGCAATCAAGCCAATCTTCGAGTCAGATTCCTAGACAAAAGAGGTCAAGAGAATGTATCAGCTGCGGGTCGTACATACTATATAAGGATTGAAGAAGAATAATGATATTATAACTTACCTTGATGTCCGAAATCACCTGGTGCTGCAGGGATAAATATAACTTATGTGCATTATGAGCAGCCCAAGTGCGTGAGAAGACCTTTGTATTTGTGTTGCAGTAGTCAAAAGCCACCCGGAGTAGAAAGTCTTCAAACCGAGCCCATGGAAGCGACTGTCGGATGATCCAGAAGAGTAGTACTTTGTTCATGGTGTTGGTATCGAACCTTCCTTTTGTAACGTAAGCGGTCAGTGTACCACTCGCAGGTTGAGCATCCTTTTTCTCCTTAGAGATAGCCGCAAACTTATCGTCGGCACTAGTCGGAAGCTTGGCCCCATGTGCAATGGCCTTTGCTCGTCCAGCACACGCTTTTCGTAAGTGAGAGCGATTGATGGCCCCATCACGGTGAGTCTTGAGGTTTGAATCGGTGGAATCATTCACCCGGACAGACTTAGGGCACCATCGACATTTGTAGGTAAGGGCTCCTTCCTTGAACTGATCAGTAACCAAATAAACGTACGATGTCAGTAAGCCTTTGTTATAAGTAAATCCACTTGCAAAAATTGAGAACGAGGGGAAATCAAACCTGATCTTCAGCCTGGAATCCTGTGTGATAATACAACTTTGGATGTGTAAATCCGTCCCGGTCGACTTTGGGCTTTTCTTTGGCCTTCAAATTCTCTTCGTCAGAATCTTGAACAATGTCAATTGCGGTTTCAACGTCGATGACGTGTTCAGTGGAACTCCTGTTAACAGACTGTAATTGAAGGAGAGCAGGTAAGCAATCCGCTTGACAGAGGGGGTGATTGTTTTTGGAGTTGGGCAAGGAAAGGGCTTACTTCAGGTCCTTTCTTGTGTGCCTTAGATTTGGTGTTGCCCAGACGGCCCCGTGTGGCTGGGCCTGTGGTCGCTTCCTCCGTGGGGTCAGCTGGATCAATAGCCAAGGGTGATTTGGGTGGGGCCTCGAGGGCTCGTCGGGAATCTGGATTAGTTTGAATGAATCCAGGGTGTGAAAGAGGGGTGCGGACCCGAGTTGATTGACGGGGGTGAGTGCTCATTTGGTCAGGCGGGGTGGTCTCTCTTGGAGTCGGAGCCATTGCGGTTGGATGGGATGGGAACAGTGGAGTGAGGTCTGTTCGTTGGTGGTGGTTGGATGGGGTGGGGTTAGGGTTGACGGCGCCATAGGGTGGGGCGCGCCAAAGTGCGCCCGCCCCCCGTGCGCGCACCCGGGTCCCCGAAGATCCTGAAAATGGGGGTCGGCGCGCACCTGACTTTTAACCCTACTTTTGAAGGGCCCCTGGGATATCTTGGACCGGATCCAGCCGGATCACACCGGATTCAATTTTTTATGGATTTAAAATTTCCCATCTCAGTCTCTCACCACTTGGGATTATGCAGTTATGGCCTCTGACACAAGCACTATGCATTGTAGCAGAGATCTTGCCTCTACAAAAAAAATAAAAAATAAAAAAAACCACTTTGAACCTGATTTTTCAGCTTTTTTGACGGCGCCCAGCTCGCCGGGGCGCCGCCAGCCAAAGGCGCCATGCTCTGGCAGTTTGACAGGCGCCCCTAGGCGCGCACCTCTTGTAAAGGTGGCGCCGTCAACCCTAGGTGGGGTACGTTCGGATGGGATGTGCGATGGGTGGCAGTCGGCGGCTGGATGGGGTGAGGTCTGTGCGTTGGTCAGGTGGTGGTTGGATGGGGTGGGGTATGTTTGGATGGGATGTACGATGGGTGGGTGAAGTCTGTGCGGCTGCGGCTGCGCTACAGTGCGTTACCCTGCGCTCCCTTGCGCTACACGGAAATTAGGGTGTAGCGGTCTTGTAGCGCGTAACGGGGGAAATTAGCGTGTTTGTGCGCTACACCGCTAGAGCTACCGTTTATTTTAGCGTTAGCTGTCCTGACCCGCTAAGCTACAGAGGGGGACAAGGCTGTGTAGCGGAGCCCTCGCTAAGCTACAGTTGCATTTAGCGTCTGACAGCTACAGCTACAGCTAACCTCATGGAGCCGTTAGACCATCTCCACCCGGGGAGGTAAACTGCGGTTGTAAACCAAATTTACCTCCCCAAGCCCAAAATTCCCCTGCCACCGGGGGTGCTAAAGGGGAGGTAAATTTAGTTTTTCCCCCCTCGGGAGGTATAGCGTTGCTAGATGTGCAATCGCTATACCAACCCAAGTACCTCCCCAACCCAGCGGTTTCACAGGGTCATCCTGGTGAAATCCGGACTTCCCCCCCACCGTGGGAGGGCCTTTCACAAACCAGGAGTGTGGATAGCACCCTGCGGTGGAAAATAATTTTTCCGCGGGTTGCTATCTGTCCGCCGCAGTCCCCAAATTGGTAAATTTACCAACTCAGATGACTCGGTGCGGTGGAGATCGTCTTAGCGGGGTCCGCTACGCTACCAGGGTAGCGCCGCTAAACGTAGTTTAGCGTAGCGTTGCGCCGTTGCTGCATTTACCTCAGTTGGCATTTTTCTTCACATACACCCTCACTTAGTAGACCCCACAATCTTGTCAAAACACTGAGTGTTGTTTCACTTAACTTATCGCACTGTGATCCTCCATGATCTCACCTTGAATCAGTACACATGATACATAGTTATCATCTGAAAGAATCCACTCATTTTTCTCACCTTTACCCAGATATTTCCAATGTACCCGTCCTTACATAGTGCATTACTTAAATTTAAAATTCATAAAGCCAGATTTTTTTTTCTTTTTTCAAGGATGATTCTTTATTCCCTCGATTGGCTATCGATTATCGGGTGAAATTGAAAACATGACTCACAAATGGATTTATTGCGAAGACCTCGATCAGGGGTCAATTTTTTTGTCTTGCAAAAGGTGTCTTCTGAATTTTTTTTGGTAGGTAGTAAGTAGTAGCCTGAATGTAATCCGGAAATAGTTGAAAAGGGAAAACAAAACTGGAGGAGTACAACTACATACTGCTTTTTTCACAAATGGGGTGATGATGATGATGACGAGAAGAGAAGAGAAAAAGAACACAACCGGGCGGGAGTGTATTGATCTGCTTGTTAACAATTGGTAGAATGACATTGAAGATGGACATGGCTGTTCGGCGGAGTTATCTTCCCCATACAGTGCCATGAGCGGAGTAAATGTGCATGTGTGTGTAGATATGAAGAAGTGTTCAATCAGGAATGTAAACTGGGCATGATGCGGACGGTTTTGCTGGAGTTCGAAGTATGGATGCGTAATTGATCGAGCAAGTCAGACTTGAAGAACTCAGAGTCCGACGGAGGCTCTTGTTTCTTGACCAGATAATAGTATAGATCCCAATCAGGTAACATCAACAACTAGAATCAATCCCCCCCCCCAAAAAAAAAAAAAAAAACATCGTTGATGGTCGTCAGTACCATGTTCTTCATTCCGAGAAGAATATGCATCTTTAAATAGTAGTTGGGCGGTCACTCACCCGACTGTATTGTGTTAATTGTTTCAAATCCCAATCCTTTAACCATCGTTGAGCCTCGATGAAAGTCGACAGAAGGAGCTCGATTTCGACGATTCCACGTTTCCGAGATTGATAGACCAATCTAGATCGGAGTTTATCGATAGTAGATGCAGAAAGAGCATCGTCATAGGACTCAGCATGTTTGTCCTCGACCTGTTTCAATTGATCGATTTGGTGATAAATCTCCTGGTTGACGCTATAACTCTGGGTAGTATCAGTTTGAGTGGTAGGATGGGCTGGGTTTTGGAGTGGGATCGGATAGGGATCCGTCTTGAAGGAGGGCAAGGGTGCCGTTTTATTCGTCGAGAATATCGGGTGAAGTTTTTCGTCCTGTTCTGCCGGTTTCCCATCAGAGGATGATGATGCTCCAGATTTCATCCGGTAGAATCCGACTGGCGGCTTGAAGAGATGAGTTCGGCCTACGCAGGTCGATGGGAATGGTTGGCAAACCAATCGATCTACGCGTTTTACGACTTGAATTCTGTGCATGTTTTCGGAGTAAGTTGGTTGTTCGCGGTAGGTTTTCAGAGAAGAGTTGGATGAGCCGATGATGTGCTGGCGCAGTGGATGAGCCAAAACAATTCGGGATCGGGTAAACAGTTTCGGGCTCGGGGGCTGTCACCCCGAATCATCGGATTCGGTCATTGGCTTGCCATTGTGATCCGGTGGTGAAATCCGCTTGAGAAACTCCCCAAAGAAGCTCCATGATCTTTCCCTCATCCTGGACAGGCTGTTCTTCTTTTCATTGAACTGAGATCTTCGCCCAATGGCCTCAGCAAACAACAAATCTGATCATGGAGTCAAGGAAATTGCTTGTAATCATACATAATCGACACCGACGAGCCCCTGCTGGACATAAGGCCTACTGAGCATGAGAGAGATACAACACTTTTCTTGAACTTTTTCTTTTTCTACTCCGTTGAATGTTTAATGTAGCTACATAACACTGAGAAAAAAGCAACCGCAAACCTCCATCCGGGTCAAAATTTGATTAATCACAAGCTGACCCGGTCCGTCTTCATCTTGATCACATACCCCGCATCAGGCTTTCTTGAAGGGGTTTTAATAATCTTGTGGATTGAAAAACACGTGTTCATGAATGACAGCCGCAAAAAAATGCATAAAAGGTTCAAGCAGGTAACTTTTTTTTTCATTGGGTCCATAGAAAGAGTGTAAGTATTTATTTATAATTCCGATTGATGCATTAATACTGGAGTGTTGGATAGATTATAGAAGGATCAAATAGAAACCATTCTGCGATTGATTTTTTCTTGACTCGTTAACAAATTAAAATGACCTTGTGGGTTTGGTGAAGGGAGTGGATAGAGATGGGCGGGATCCACAAGGAGAAAAAGGAATGAAATGAAACGAGAATGTAGGATGGGTGAAGCCGATCGAAGTCATCCAAATGTTGGTTCCATCCACCATCCTCCACCGTACATTATTGAACGAGTCCCCGTCTGAGATTTCCCCGGAGCTACGTGGCCTCCTTTCACCCGTCCAACATGCACGACCTTCCCACCTGAGCCTGATTTACCACCCAACGTTTTGATCACTAATCCTGCTTTAACACCCTCCACTGACACCAAAGATTTTGGCAAGAAACGAGACGAAAAAGTTGTCGATTCTTATTAACATCAACTTAATCAAGAAGCCCCTTATGATGCAGTTCACTACTCGATCACTTACAAAGAGAAGCAAAAGCGATCAAAGCGACTCCAATAAATATAAGTTTCATTTTTGCTGATCCGGTTGCCAAAATTCCTGGGTTAAATCAATAAAGAAAATAAAAGGGATTACGAGATGCGTCGGAGTTACGATCGGTCAGCTTTGATGACTCTACCGAAGACTGCAAGGACATAAACAAGACCCGAAGTGACTTACGAGTTCGAGTTATGTAGACGATGAGTGAGGAGTTTGCTCTTCAAGGGGGGGGGATAATGATAAAATAAATAAGGTTGATTGCACCAGCTGACTGAAGGTGGGTCCAGCGACAGTTTATGTATCCAATGCTGCTGAGTCCTATGTACAGATTTTCTAATGACCGCTTTGATATAGAATCTAATGATCATTTTGCCACCAAGCCACCCACATGCAACCGGACCGTGAATGAAGAGGCGACAAAATTATCATCGCTTCGGAGGGCCTGTATTGTGTTTCCTGTATTTAATTGTTGGACACAATCCGATTCTTCTGGTATTGATTATGCATTTGAAAAGGGCCTAATTAATAAAAAAACCCGCGGTTTTTCCGCGTTTAGACGCGGTTTTCGCTGCCGGTTTCCACCTTTGGACGCGTTTATTACCTACACTTTAGACTTCGTAGCAATTTATGCTAAAACCCATTTTGCATGAAATTCAACTGTTTTCTTTGAATAATGCAATCAGTCATATTGTTTCACTTAATTTTTTGGAGCTTAATTTCATATTTTTTGACATTTCAAGCTTTTTTCCTACACTTTAAGAGGTGTGAAAATCTATGGTAATAATCATTATGCTTAAAATTGAAAGGTTGGTTGTGAATATTGTGTTAGACAGGTTTTTTCAATGTTTTTAATTAATTTTTACCAGCTTCATTTTTGTCTTTTTTTGAAATTTTAAGGCCCCGTTTGGCCACAAATCATGATTTGTGATTTGGCTAAGGTTTGGCATGGATTTGGACCGTGCAATGTAAAACAATATAAAATTTTCACACAAAATCCCGCCAAATGGAGGACTTCCTGTCAACATCTGCGGGTCTCCCAGAGTTGGTTTAGAGCTGTGAAATTCAAATTTCTCTGCAAGAATTAAGAGTTTTCGGGTCTAGATTGGCTTCTGTGAGGGTCCCAGATCCGACAGGAAGTCCTCCAATCTTGACTCAAAATTACAAATTATGGACGGCCAAACGGGGCCTAAATTTATTTCCTACACTATGAGAGGTTTAAAATTTTATGGTATGATTCATTTTGCCCAAAAATCAAAGCTTCAATCTTAATATATGAGCTTACCCCATTTCTAGCATAATTTGTACCATATACCAATGTCATTTGTATGCAAAATACATAGATATAACCATCAATTTTAAAACCTTTCAAAATGTAGAAAATGAATTTAAAATTTGAAAAAATTATGAAAATTAAGCCTGTAAAAATTAATTAAAAAAAATAGGTCAAATGTAATATTGAAGGAAGAGTTTTCATTTTTATTCAAAATGAATATTAGCATGATCTTGAGAAACTCTTAAATTGTATGAAAAGAATTCATAATGTCAAAAAATCATAAGAATTAAGCTCCAAAAAATTAATTGAAAAAATATGACCAACTGCATTATTCAAAGAATACCGTTCTACCTCTGGCCTTGCAGGAGGTGACCCACAGGTCCAGGAAAACAGGAAAAAGATAGATAAATCGGTAAAGTCTCCCATTTTTTCCTTGTCCATTCATCCCTGAGTCCATCCTATTGCTATGTTTGGTCCACCGTGATTACCTGTGACCACCACCCAACAGCTCAATTTTTGTATTGCCTCAATTTAAACTTCTTACATCCATGATACATCAAACTTAACCCGCAAGCCCCTTTTCCCATCTCTCCTGGTATGGCCTCGGAGTTGTCTACGCCGACCGAAGGGAGGGACTTGGGTGCAAAGTCTGCCTACTGGCACACAAGAAATCTTCCAAAAGCCTTGAAACAGTTGTTTTTGGACTGCTCTAGGTTTTCCTCCCACTTACCCCTTTTACATTGCCATGCCTTTTAGATTTTCAGAATCCCTGGCTTCTGCCCTTCAATTTGATCCAAAAATTAGTCGCTTACCTGGGATGAGTCAAAAGGAATGCTAAATTCCATTGGCCCAAGTCCAATCGGACTTGTTGAGGGAAATCTTGGTGGTATGACTACTGGGCATGCCATACAGCTGGAGACCAATGGCAAGTGCCAATTACATGTCAATACTATAAACAACGGTGGGCCGCTACGCTACACTACGCTATTTGACCACTAACTGTTAGTGTAGCGGCCTTTTTTTTCTCTAGAATATCTGTAGTGTTAGCGCACGCTAAACACCGCTGAGCTAACTGCCAGCGTAGCGTGAAATTTTTATCTCAAATTTTCTGTAGTGTTAGCTTCAAATAATCACCGCTAAACTAACAGTTAGTGTAACTTTTTTTTCACTAACAAAATTTTGACTAACAGATAGCGTAACTGAGTTGACGCTAACATTTAGCGTAACTGGTCCCACACTACGCTACACTATATTTTAAGCTACACTACACAATGGTGGACAAATGAAAAATTTCAAGTGAGAAAATAACACAAATGCATGCCTTGAGGTGGAATTGAACACTTGACATGACAGGTTAGTAGCATCTCCAGACATCCTCCTTGTCCACATGACTAGCAGTACATGAGGAATGGGTTGGTGAGTTGAGGTTCAGTCAGAAAGAGGATGTCATGGACATGCCTGTGACATGTTCACTCCCTGGGCTCTGAGTTTGAACTTGAAGTTCAAGCAAGGGGAGATGGATGTCGGACCTCCAATCTCTTCCGATCCAAGCAAGACCCCATCAAGATTTTTCATCCTCATCCTCATCATCAACTTCATCAAAGCTCAATCTGATCTTCATCTCAATTAAATACTCATCACAACCACCTCCATTACATCCTCCAATCCAAAAGTCTCTTCAGCTTACTCCCTCTTCTGAAACTTAGGTCTCTCATTGGATTGCATTGGACTAACTTCAATCGATTCGATCTCAGAAACCATTCGCTTTTAGTCAACACAATGGCTGACAAAGTTGTAGCCCTTGAAGCTAGCTTTCCAACGAACCAAAAAATTAAGGAAATCAGACCTTTTTTGCAAAAGGTATCGCCACTCAAAGTCAGCCAGCAAAAATCAATCGCTTCCCCAAAAGGCAACAAACTAGAAGACTGCTACCCTGGCTCTGATGCTTGCTAACCTCCCCCCTCTTTGATTTAGGTACCCCCACACACATTTTCTTGACCATTGACTGTGGATTACAAACAGGACGGGCCAAAAAAGTGGTATGATTTCAAATTTGTGTTAAGCTTCCGCAGGTTGCTGATCTAATTTTTTGCTTCTTCTTACTCTTCCTGTTTCCCTTTCCTGCATCTGGCTACTAAATGATGGAATAAATGGATCTTGGGGTGATTCAAACCCTTGGGACTAATTTATCTCTTGATAGTAATAATAATGCCAGTATGAAAGCAGCAAAGAAACGGTGCCAAGCCAAAAAAAACAGGAGCTTCGAAACCAGATTCTCAAACAAACTCTCACCCCTAGTGATACCACCTACTTTTTTCAATTGGAGGAGCGTAATCAGTTATGCTAACTGTTAGTGTAACTCAGTAATCAGTTATGCTTACAGTTAGTGTAACTTTTTGATCAGTTACACTAACAGTTAGTGTAACTGAGGGGATCACTACGCTAACAGTTGGTGTAACTTATCAAGAAGTTACACTAACAGTTAGTGTAACTTTTTAGCCCACTAACCACGCTAAAATTCCACTAACAAGGGATTTGGTTAGTGTTAGCTGTTGTTTTTTTTAGTCAGCTAACACTACGCTAAAGTTTTTTTTTGTTTTTTCAGAAATCCTGTAGTGTTAGTGGGCCAAATTTTTCGCTAACAGTAACTTTTGTGTAGCGTAGCTTAAAAAGCTAACACTACGCTGCACTAACACTACGGTTAGCGTAACTGGCCCACCGTTGCTATAAAGTAGGCTGATTTGGCCGGTTCATTCCCAGGCTCCTGTTGTAGGTGTACACTGATTGGTCATCTTTGGGGTTTTCAATCTTTGAATCAACCGCTGGAGGTGATCTCCAGGGGGATATGAGTGGTGAGGATGGCAAAAGATGCACATCTTTGCCCTCATATTTTTTATCATATTTTACTCTTGTTGGTTCTTCTAGGAGAGCATGAATAGTTCCAAAAAGCCACTATTCTTGCTGGCCTGTATTTCTCACCTGCGCCAGCAGAGCAACTTCCCACCCAGGCCTCTCTGTGAGACAGAGACCCTTGCCAGCTGCCTTTTGGGCTCTCACTCGCAAGCCCTGTTGTTAGGCTTGATGATACATCCACCAGCCATTCCAAAAAAACAACCCAATCCCCTGTCAGCCACCCTAATTGTAACTGTCTGCCATGATGACTAATTCTAGCTACTCCAAATCCTTTGATTGCAAGTTAAAGGTAAGACAACAGGGAGAGAAATTGATGGTTGGGAACCTTGAAATTTTTGATCATCTCAGTTGCCACACCAAGCTCCTAGCATTGCTATAACTCTTATGAATTGTGTTTTGGTACAATTGACTTCAAACAACTGTACATACCCAAGCAGGTGTTGGTAAAAATCCAAATAATGGCATTCATTTGATTGAAAACTACAAATTGGTTGAACAAGTGGTGACTACAATCAAGTACCAAGGTAGGTAGCCAAGGATTGTTAATGTACTGATGGTTAATGAAAGAGCAATTAACAACTATCATGTATCCCTTGCTACTGATGAGGTTGGCTTTCTGGATCAACTCACTGTTGAAGGGAACTCTCAGCAATGGTGAGGCCATGCCAAGACCACTTCAACTAAGGCTGTCACAGCCATGCAGTTAACCATGGGCCTCCCAATGGTGGATCCAATGCTCTCCCATCTCCGGGATGATCTTGGCACTTTGTCAGCCACTGAGACACTAGCCCAGGTGTCTACAAAAGAATGTAACCCCCTTGGGTTACATGATAAATATTGTTGTTAAAGTGAATAAGTATTCTGTAATGTTATTTGAAATTTATGTTAATAAATATTCTGTAAATTAATAAAGATTCACCTCTTTATTAATTCACCTCTTCCATTAAAATAATAATCAAGTTGAAAATGGGTGTATCCAAGAGATGATTATCCTGTTTATCTCTCTTGTGTGAATATTTTATTCTTTTTATCTTTCTTATGTGCAGTTTCTGAAATAAAAGATATTCAAAACATGCATATTTAGCATGCTTTGAATATCTTGAAACTTTCCCCCAAGGAATAGTGTAACAATAAGGGGACTGCACTGGTCCCAGCAGCAGTTTGACCCCTGCTCTGTAAGATTTAAGGAGATGACTCTTTCCCTGAGATTCATTCCCCAGACAATACTACCATACATATTACTAGATATTAGATCATAATAAATAGTGAGTGGGGTTTTTACAGTAGTCTATTATTACATTAAATTATCACACTTTCCTCCATCTTCTTTACTAGTCTATAAAAGTTACTTATTTAACTTATAAGACTACACCCCAGGGGCAGTTTTGACCGCGTGGGATTGTGGAACCAACAAAACTTGGCCAATCCGTGGAACCGACAAGATCAGCTCTGTAAGTCTTTGGTAAGGACTGAGTTTGTTGTTGGTTCTAGGAACCAAACCTTTTTTTTGTCGTTGATTCCACAAACCCAAGTCCAAGCCAATGTGGAGCAGGTGGGCTTGTTGCTCACATCAATTCCACATCAGTGAAAATTTGCTTTGGCTCCATTTGGGACCCACTGATGTGGGTCCTGATGTTCTGAAAAGTTGTTGAAAAAAAAAACATTTTTTTTGTGGTTTAAAAAACAGGTCAGGTTGAGTTGCTGTGTTGCTGAAAAGGGAAGGTCACCCAGATTGTCCTTCACCAAGTGGTGGAGCACTGGTGCCTGGCTCCAGCATCCGGTCAGGTGTTTGATCTGCCCTGGGGCCGTACTTTTGCCAGGCCGGCCGGCGGCACCCCAACTTACAGATTGGTAGCTGCAGGCTCCACGGGACTCCACATTGTGTCCATTGGGTGCCCACATGGATGCAGGGGTGGGGTCCACAGAAAACTCTGGACCGTCAGGTCCTGGTCCAACCCCCTGCAGTGGTCACTTGTGGGATCCACATGCAAAAGTGGTGTCGGACCACGTCAAACTGCACCCCAGGTGTAGTACTACTCTATTTCTCTGATAATAATTCAGCTCAGGCATTGTGAAGCTCATTCCACAGTTGTCCCTTATTTCTATAAGGAGCTAGCCCCTCCACTGTACAAGTGTTGAGGAGAGGCTTATTTTGCACTGGCCACTCTTTGGCTATACTATAGTGTGACCCATTATCCCATCAACTCTTGGTCACATAAGAGACCAGAGCTGAAACACTTAGTAACCTCCTGGATTCTCCTGCTCACCATCAGTGATATTGGTTGTCAGTTGCAAGCCAACTGAGGAAGACAGCCATACTAGAATGGATATGATTGGTGTCCCAGGGTGTTCTACAGCTTTGACAAGCCATTATTTGAAGGATAAAAAGTGCTCAATCAGTGTTGGGTCAATGGGCTAAAAAATTGGGAGAGGAAGTTACCCTTTTGGGGCCCTTGCAGAGGAGCTAAAACTTGGAATTAGTTTAAAAAGGTTCCAGGTTGTGGACTTCTGGGGATGGTGACAAGAGTCTTTCTGTTTTTGGGGGCTTCAAACTTGAACACCCAGGAGTGACTCTTTTGCAGGGCTTTTTTTTCCTGGACTTTTGCACCTGTGCAAGCTCCTGGAACCTGGGATTTCTATTTTGAAACCCCCTATTAAGCCTACACACTGCAAATGGGAGATACTTATTTTTTCCCCTCATTAGGGGGTTTCAAAATTGCCCCAGGAACTCACGCAGGTTCCAAATCCCAGGAAAAAAATTCCTCCTGGACGGATTCCTGTCGGCCTGGGTTCCTGCCTAGGAAGACCCTCCAGGACAGTCAGTCCAGGAGCAGGAATCTGCAGGAATTGAGTCCAAAACCCACCCACCCTTGGTTTTAATTTCACCCATGGGTCATATTCTGTAACCCCTACAAGCCCCCCACCCGCCCACATCCACGTGCCCACCAGTATCACCCCCACCTCGCAACTCAAAATATTCTACCCGCCCACTAACTTCTTTACCACCCAAACTCACCGCTACAGCCATGCCACCCAAGAAAAATAAGTCAATAGCTTCTACTCCAAAAAACAAGGGTCTAACTTCTACTCCGTGTCCATCCGAAGGGACACCATCAATGTCAGCTCCGGTCTCTTATGTGACCAGGAGTTGATGGGGTATAGGGTCACACTATAGCCACAGAGGTGGCCAGTGGAAATAAACCTCACCTCAATGCTAGAAAGCAGAGGGGTTAGCTCCCTGGGTTAGAGGGGACAATGGTGGAATGAGCATCACCATACCGAGCTTAGAGCAGATCAAAAGAGGCTCTCTTCTAGACTACATTAGTGACTTAAAAGTTAACTGTAGTCTAGGCTAGTAGAATAAGTATAAAGATGGAAGTTAAAGAGAAAAGGGAGAGTTTACTGCTAAAGCACCACTCACTAATATTAAGTAAGGTACACGGGTTTGTATGGCAATAATCCCTGGGGGAAGGAAACTTAGAGGGAAAGCCTTCCCCTTAAGTATTGCAAGGCAGGTCTCAGGCTGCCTGTTGGACCAGTGCAGTCCCCTTATTGTTACACTATTCCTTTAGGGGAAAGTGTCAAGATATTCAAACATGCAAATGTACATGTGTTGACTATCTCTCTTATTTCAGAAAATAGAATTACATATTTAGAATATATCTCTTATTTCAGAAGATACACAAGAGAGATACACAAGAGAGATAAACAGGATGATAATCACTTGGATAAACACAAGAGATAATTATCCTTTGCATTTTGATCATTATTTTCATGAGAGAGGTACATTAATTATCCAGAGAGAGAGATAAATAAGTACAGAGGTGAATCATTATTAATTTAAAGAATAACATTAAATAAATACTTATTAATTTGAGGAATATATATAATGATATTTATTATTATGTAACCTGGAGGGGTTAAATCTCATGTAGACACATGGACTAGTGTCTCAGTGTCTGAAAATCAAGCACTCAAACCAAAAAGAAGAAAGCCCCAATTGTTTGGGACAAAGACAGTGTGGAACTGCTCAGCAAGTGAGTGAAGAGCTTGGAGGGGATAAAATAGCTAATAAGACTATGAAATAGTAGAATTAGTATCTGTGTGTGGGTGAGACTGCCCTCCTGTCTAGCTTGCGGGAAAGTTACACTAAGAAAAAAATAAGATTGTGGCTAGTTTCTAAATTTATCTTAGTGTTGATACTACAAGTATTGTTGCTTAAGAATACCTGTTTAAGAGGTAAGGAAGGGGATTGTGGGGTTTTTCTGAGGAAGAAGGGTTTCTGAAGGGTTTCTCTGTTAAATCTGTTATAAATTCTCTCTGGTTCTCTGATCTAATAAGACTGTCTGGTTTCTCTGGTCTCTGATAAATGGTACGCTTATCTCTCTAATATCTTTCAAAGAGGTGAGAATGGCTAAGCAATATTTCTGAATCACTTTTCTATGGCCAAAATATGAGATAAGGGATGTTCAAAGGGGCTCTAATATTCTCTGGATTTCTCAATCAAGGGGTGATGAAAGCTAAGTAATATCTCTGATTAATATTCTGAAGCTAGCATCTGGTTTTGATGAGTGCTAAGTAATATCTCTAATTACTTCTCTGGTGCAAACATGAGGAGGGCAAAGGAAAACACGGGCCAGAAGAGCCTCTATTTATAGACAAATGGTTCTGCAGTACATGAGATTTTGGCCTGAACACAAGTGCGTCTGAGAAGGGCACTTCTAGAGTGGTTTGTACTACTCTGAGATGGTCTAATCTGATATGAGCTAATCTATAAGTGCCCTTCTAATACAAGAGATTGTAATCCTTCTATCAGATGCCTAGTTTTAGTTTAATTACTATGAGATGGGTATTCTAAGACTAACTAGTATCAGAATTATTTTCTAGAACTAGTCTTTGAGGTTCTTTCTGATTAGTAGCTTGAATTATTCAGTCTAAGATAAAAGTAGTGTCTTTTATATATTATACAGACTATTTGTTTTATTTATTATTCATGTGGAATTAAATATCTTAGGCCTGATTTGCGATTTGTTTTAGCTATGATTTAACCCAGTAATAATTATACACTTTATTCTGTAATTTATCCCTTCTCCTCTAGTATTTTAGTTACTATTTATGTGTAATAAAATGTTTTTATTAATGGGCTATGGGTTTGATTGTTCTTACCACAACGGCGAAGGCCCAACTTCAAGTTTGTGGTGTGCCATCATTCGTAGTTGTTGTTGGTTGCAAGCCAGTTGAGGAGGACAGTGATACTGCTGGGGCCACCATCGACCCCATCAGTGTCCCAAGAGGGCGCACAAACAAGCATTAGGATTGATGGCGGTACGATTGAGTGTTCCAAAAATCATCGGCGGGCCACGGCACAAGCAAAGGCAAGTGGGCCACTAGGCAGACTTGTGGTTAGACAAATATGTTGGGGGGTCCATATATTATATTTGGGGCATTTGGGACCCTGTTTGGCAAGGGATGAAACTTGCACCGAGTATCAGACATTCTCCTGGACTTGGACTTCTGGGGGAAAGTCTGGGGTTTTCACAAGGCGGGGCTTCAAATTAGAACCCACAGGAGATCCTTTTTGGCAGGGGATTTTTTTTCCTGGAATTTGGACCTGCGGGAGGTCCTGGGGCTATTTTGAAACCCCCTATTGTAGGGGAACACTGAGACAAAAGCCACTGCAAACCTCCATCCGGGTCAAAATTTGATCAATCACAAGCTGACCCGGTCCATCTTCATCTTGATCACATACCCCGCATCAGTCTTTCTTGTAGGGGTTTTAGTAATCCTGTGGATTGAAAAACAAGTGTTCATAAATGAAAGCCGCAAAAAAAATCAATAAAGGGTTCAAGCAGATAACTTTTTTTTCGAGTGGGTCCATAGAAAGAGTGTTTGTTGTAAGCATTTATTTTTTAATACGATTGATGGATGCATCTAACACAAGAGGATAGATTATAGAAGGATTAAATAGAAACCATTCTACGCTTGATTTGTTTCTTGACTCGTTAACAAAACAAAATCACCTTGTGGGTTTGGTGAAGGGAGTGGATAGAGATGAGCGGGATCCACAACGAGAAAAAGAAAAGAACAAAACGAGAATGTTTGATGGCTGAAGCCGATCGAAGTCATCCAAATGTTGGATCCGAGTACCATCCTCCACCGTACATTGTTGAACGAGTCCCCGTCGGGACTTTCCCCGAAACTAAGGGGATTCGTTTTCGCCCAACTTTCTCGACCTCCGACCCAGCTGATCCTGCTCTACCACCCTCCACTGACGCTAAAGGTTTTTGCAAGAAACGAGACGAAAAGTTTGCAATTCTTGTTAACATCAACTTCATCAAGAATCCCATTATGATGTAGTTCACCCCTCGATCACTCACAAAGAGAAGCGAAAGCGATCAAAGCGACTCCAATAAATATAAGTTTCATCTTTGCTGATCCGGTTGCCAAAATTCCTGGGTTACATCAATAAATAAAAATAAAAAGGATTACAAGATGCATGAGAATTTCGGTCGGTCAGCTTCGATGAAAGGATTACAAGATGCATGAGAATTTCGGTCGGTCAGCTTCGATGACTCTACTGAAGACTGTAAGGACATAAACAAGACCCGAAGTGACTTACGAGACGATGAGTGAGGAGTTTGCTCTTCAAGGGGGGAATAATGATAATATAAATATGGTTGGTTGCACCAGCTGACTGAGGTGGCGGTCAAGCTAATTGTGGGATGAAGAAGAATCGTGAGGATGGAAGCAAGGTGGAATATGTATGTACTACACATTTCTTGTTCTTGTTCTGCTGAGTCCTACCGATTTATATTGAATCTAATGATCATTTTGCCACCAAGCCACCCACATGCAACCGGACCATGAATGAGAAGGGGACGAAATTATCATCGCTTCAGAGGGCCTGTACATCAATCGTGCAACATATTAGCCTTGGCTGGCGTACCCCCATTTATGTAGGTTGGTGTGGGCCTCGTTTTCCATTAGACATACATACATACGATAAGGTTAAAATCTGCCAGCATGGTTCAATTGAAGGCGGTCGGTCGGAGCTGATCAGAGCTGGTCGGTTAAAGTGACCTCCGCTGACGCACGAGGACGAGGTTACAACATTATGATAGGTTTACCCGTAGTGTGCATTCAGAATTTGAACTCTGCCTTAGAATAGATCAGTGCCAGGCGAAGTCTTTATTCATCATGAGGTGTTGACTGCTCCCATGAAATTAATTTTTGGGAAGACTTATCTCACTGAAATATCTGAATGGGATGATGCCCTGACTTGAGGACCCGACTCCGGGCGACCAAGATCACGCTGGGTCCGGCGCAGCTCAGCTCGTTCCTTACTCACGCACACCAGGCGGCTCAAGATGCAGGAGCGCGGAAAGAAGTGGTAGATGAAAGAGAAGAGCTTCACGGTAGAAGGCGGCAACCCCATCTGCGCTCAGTGTAAATCTATCTCCCTCACCGATCCTGATTCACTCAATATTCACAAGAAAACAGAATGGACGATTGAAGAATTTGGCACCAAGAGATCAATAAAATTTCAAAGTGTTTAGAATGCTGCCAGTAACTGTAAGACTATATACAAGATAATAAAAGAACTCGGATAAGATGGAATGAGCGATTTTCAAGTTCAACACACTAGAAGATGTAACAGTGAGTGGGCAAAAAAGAGTGACTTGTAAAGGATGATGACGAATGTGTGAGAAATGAATGACTTGTAACGAATGTAAAAAAGAATGACTTGAATGAATGATGAGTAGAAAAAGAGTGTATTCACATTTTAGATCCAATCAGAAAAAAAAAACAGGGCAAAACAAATAACCATAGTGTAAGAGTAGAAAAACAGATATAGTGAGTTTTGAAAGTGTTTCCTCGAGATGACCAAAGAGAGGCAACTAGGATTTTCTACTTGGCCAATTTAAATAGCTGAGTTTGAATATTGTTGTAGATGGTTTGACCAGGATAGTCATAAGCTTGGAATTCGAAGAGTTTTCCAAACGATTTATGGCCCTTCTTTGATAGAGCCTTCGGGGACAATCGGTCGGCTTTCGTGGAGGTGACACCGTAAAACAAGTAAAGTTCTCTGAGTCTTCTGGTTTGTTCCACATCGTTTTGGGAGTCAAAATCCCTCAACCTGTGCCTCATTAGTTGACCGACACGGGCCTCATACATCGAAACTTGAGGGCTTCCTGCATCGCGATATTTGGTCAATGCCTCGACGTTCAAGGCATTTTGTCTGAGTTGTCTATCCTTGCCCAAGTAGAGAATCGTGGTGATATCCTTAGTGATTTCTTCCGCCTCAACTCCATTGAGCTGGAGTGCAGGGCTGGGATCGAAGAATTTGAGTCGATCACCTATTTGAACTAATTGGATAAATTGATTGTTTGGTTTATTGCCATCGATCAGAGACTGTTTCCACCAGACCGCAGTTGGTCTCGAGGTCGTTCGGACAGATTCTTGTAGAGACCAGACATAAGCACTGATCTCATTCCAGTCTTCCGTGCTGGGGTGGGTGTTGAGAAACCATTGTCCGAGCCAGAAATTTACCTCTTGTCGATCATCCTTGTTAAGAGCTCGATAACTTTCGCCCTGTCGTTTCCACGTCTGTCGAGTTTCGCTAGATAACGGGGTCCTGCGGCCCGTTGTAATAGCTGAACTGTGTTCGATGGCCACCCGCTCGAGGGAAGGGCGGCCGTGAAAATGGTCGTGGGCGTTCTTAATTGAATTTGGAGCGCCAGGGTGGACGTGAGAGCCACCAAACTTAATCCAGGGTTGGGGGCTGTGGATTGGAGGAACCTGTTGAAATGGAAAAGGTAGGCGCGGAGGGTTGCCGCTAGACTGGCCGTTAGCTGGTTTGGAAGGAAGCCAAGTGATCAGAAAGTGGTTAATAGGCTTGAGTATTGTTGAAATTGATTTGACTCACTATAGTGAGATCTCCGGAAACCGTCGGGGTCTTCGCGGTCTCTATTATAATAATAATTGTGGGGAGCTTGAGAAGGTGAGGGCGCCAAGTGTTCAGGAAAGTCCTCGACTGGAAACCGAGGTACAACGTTGTTTAAGTGGTGACCTGGAGCTAGGTTACCGTACTCTATTGGAAGGCCGATACCGTTATAGAATGGCCCCGGCCCTTGGGCAAAGGTGTGTCCGACGCCACCTTCACCCGCGAAGGGATTTAAGGGCGGGGGTGCTTGGCATAACGTGCAGGAATAGACTGCGATAGTGATGAAGGAGAGTAAGGTGGATGGCATTTTTTCTGTTTTAATTATTCAAGGCAAGTTTGATGTAGTAGACTATGGTATGGCTATGTATGAGGATGGGTGAGGGAGCATCCAATCCCACCAAACCTAGAGTCCTTTTATATTCGGCACTCCTACCAGCATTCAGCGGTACATACATACATAGGTCCATGAGAGAAGCTCAATCGTTGCACTCTGGAAAGAAGGCTAACCAGGGCTAACCTACGAGATTGTTTTTGGAGTGAATGGGATACCGTATTGGAAAAGTTTTACACTATTTATCTGGGTCTGAGACCGGTTTCAAAGAACTGACGCTGCTTCAAGGATCAATAGTGGTCAAACATATATACAATTTGTAGATTCCGACGGAGCCGTTATGATGGTGCGAATTGAGGAGCCGGGCCGTTACCCCGATACTTGACTTCTCGCACCAGCGAAGTGGGTGGGTAAGCTTGAGTACTTATTTTTGCTTATTTGTGTATTTGTTGATTTGTTTATAATCTGCAGAATTCTTTGTTTCTTCAGGTCGCAGGAAGTCGTTTCACTTTTGGGCTGAACTAAACAACCAGGTGTGTATAAATATCTCGAAGGGGTGGGGTTTGATCAAGCCTTCTGAATTTCTGAGCCATTGAAGGCCCAATGTATAGAGAATCACTCGATGGGCATGCATACTTCATTAGTACTAGTAGGTGTTGAGAATTTCACTCCTTGAGTTTTCTTGCTGGCTTGTAACTGCTCAACCGGGTCAGACGGGTTTGGGTCAGGCGACACTTTCTCGTATGTGCAATAGATCCCCTCGGTGGATCCAAGCAATATGTGGGATTGAAACAGGCTTGGATCCCGACACATGTCTGTAGTTCGGCCTGGGTCCCCAAAATGTGCAGGGCTCCAAGTCCCATGAGCGTGAAGGGCGTATGCCGAGCCGGCGAGGGCCGATCCGATTCCTGAGGCAAACAAGGCTCGGGCGTGAGGCGCCATTTTATGGTGCATTGGAGATAACCAATGGCAATGGAGGGAACCAACGGCATTGGAGGGAACCAAAGGCGCTACATACGCCAGGTGGCTATTCCCAATCAAGATTGGAAAAAGGACTTCCCTCGGATACAACTTTGCTCTCTGCTTGATGCGGTGGTGTCAGGTGGGCTTGTGGATTGCCTCCTTCAGGTTGCTTGAACGATTTGTAGACAAGTCATTAAGTTTGGGGCTGTCTCCCTGGAGGCAACCCGGTCCCAGGGGATGCAAGGGTCCACCTCGATCAGCTCGATTGGTCAGGGATGTCTACATATTAGTCGATGGACTCCGCTTGGCAATCCTATCAATGCCCTTCGGACATTCTATTTTAACCTCGGCTATCCGATCTCATCTCATGACGATGAATCCTTGAATGTTTCATCTTCATCCCCATAAAGTTATAAAATACGTACTAGCTGCACATAATCTCTTGAAAGCGGTGTGATTTTTACCGTTTCCCTGTTCCTACTTGCCGATTTCGTATAAGAAAGCAGGAGAAGAACAAAGCACCCGAGCCAATAGTTATCAACAACCAGCTTCCCGCCGAATCTCCTCCCCCCCCCCAAAAAAAAAGATGGGCGTTGGACCGAGATCACTGACGATTGCTCTATTCAGGAATGACCTACGACTGCACGACAATCCGATCCTGACCCATTCCCATCTGGCGACGGTGAAAGAGGGAGACGCGGTTCGAAGAAACAAAGTGTCGGAGTACGTCTTGCCGCTCTACGTCTTTGACGAGCGGCAGATCGAGCTCTCTGGCTTGGAGGGATATCGTCAACATGGGGGGCCTGCCCGTACCGAGGTCTGCGGGTTTTGGAGGACCGGTTCTCATCGATTAAAGTATGTATCTCAAATTCAACTGATCCTTACCCTCGGAGGATTGTAAACATAAGAATCGTGGCATTGACTTATTGTGTAGTTTTTTATGTCAGTCAGTCTACGAACTCAAGCACCAACTCAAGAAGAGCGGAAGTGATCTTCTGGTCAGGTTCGGTGTGGTCGAAGCCACGACGCTCAAGATCATCGAAGAGCTCCAAAGGAACGGCTTCAGTGTCGATCATGTCTACATGGCCAAGGAAGTCGCATTCGAAGAAGTCGGGACCGAGAAAAGATTGGCCAAGCTCTTGGGCGAGTTGGCCCACAAAGTTCCACTCACCCTGTTCCACTCAAGATCCTTAGGTGCGTATCTATCTACACATTCCACGTCCCCTAAAACTTCTATTTATTTTTGTTGCGTGGGATTGAGAGTCGAAGTCGAATTCTGTTGGCTTGTTGCTTCAGTTCATCCGGATGATCTGCCTTTTACGATCAACAAGACGCCCGACGTGTATACGCCCTTCCGATCGAAGGTGGAGTCGTTACCGGCGGACCAGCTCTGTCGGCCATTGCTGCCACTGCCAGAAAAACTGCAGCCGTTCCCGGCGCTCCCGGAGACGATTCTGAAAGCTGCACCGGAGCCTGGATACTCCGGATCGCTGTGTGAAGGGCAGGGCTTTGACGAAGTCTTCGCAAGACTTGTCAAGCCGTTACTCTCCAATCCTGATATCCCACACGACCCCAAGGAAGCCAATACGCAGGATTACAAGCCCGATCCTAGATCCGCTTTCCCCTATCAAGGCGGCGAATCCGAGGCCTTGAGAAGACTCGATGATTATTTCTTTAAAGGTAATCAGCCCCCAGTCAGGTCCTATAAAACTACCCGAAACGGCTTGCTCGGTCATCAATACAGCACCAAGTTTTCTCCCTTCCTCGCCTTCGGCTGTATCTCTCCCAGGAAGATCATTCATTCTTTGTGGGATCATGAGGCTAAGTTCGGCTCCAACAAGGACACCTATTGGGTCTTGTTCGAAATCTTATGGCGAGATTATTTCATCTTCATCAGTCAAAAGTTTGTCGTTAATTTCTCTTGGATTCATCGGTCGGAGAACCACCGACACTGATTTATGTACGCTTGATTTCGCAGGTTCGGGAGAAGACTATTTCTTATAAAAGGATTCGAAGGCCGAATAGATCCCAAAGGCGCGACCAAGAAGTTATCATATTGGAAGCCATTTAAGGACGAGAAGATGAATCAACAAAGCAAAGGGAAGGAGACGCCGGTGGACCGGAATGCGCTAGCCTGGTTGAGGGGGAAGACTGGCGTGCCCTTCATCGATGCCAACATGATCGAGCTACGCGAGTCCGGATTCATGAGCAACAGGGGCCGCCAGAATGTCGCCTCGTTCTTGGCCAAAGACTTGGAACTCGATTGGAGAATTGGCGCCGAATGGTTCGAGTCCGCATTACTCGACTATGATCCTTGTTCCAACTACGGCAATTGGCAGTATGGTCAGCCCTCCCTCTCTCTTGCTTCCTCATATCCTCCTTTTGCTTAACTATCAACATTTTATTTGTTTTCACAGTCGCCGGTGTCGGCAACGACCCTCGAACTTCAAGACAATTTAATCCAATTAAACAGGCAAAGGATTATGACTCTCAGGGCGACTACGTCAAACATTGGATCCCAGATTTGAAGAGCTTTCCAACAAACAGAATTCAATGTTGAGTCATCATCTCATTCTCACTGATTAACTTTTCACCCTTGTTGTCTTGTTTTTTTCCTTGCTTACCACTATTTACACCACCTTTGCTTTTTTCTTCTTCCTATCCAAATACAAAAAACCGTTTTTTTTGTTGTAGCTCCATGGCTCATGAACAGTCAAGAGTGGGACAAACATTTAGGCAGTTCTACCAAGGAAGATAAGGAAAACAAGACTGGACAGAAGGACGATTATCCTAGACGTCCGATATTGGAACAACAGGCATGGAAAAAGCACTACCAAAGACGTTAATCCACTCTGGCCTTGTCAGATTTCATTCCCGCAGATTTAGCTCCGTTTCTTTTTTTCACACATTTCAATTTTTTTTGGTGGCCTTGTGTAACTTTTCTCAATACTGAGAACATCAATAGAGCTTTTCTTTTTCTCCAAAACATTGCCCAATGAAGAGTATCACAACTCACATGTATGTATCAGTAATAATGAGTTGGTAGTTTTCCTTTGCTGGATGTGTATGGCCAGATTGATTGCAAAGCAAAACATTGTTAGACTTGGGTAAACTATGTATGTGCCCACATTTACAGAAGATTAGGCAGTATGTGTGTTCAATCTAGAACTGAGCTTTATGTAGCGGACTTGTATGGTTATCTGGGTAAAACTATGTAGGTTACCAATTTGTTATGCACACATGCTTCACATTAGACTCAAGAGATAAACAAATCAAGTACATAATGTTACATAGACCAGCAAAAGCGCATAGAGGAAATAAAACTACAACATGCAAAATACAAAGCATAATCTGTCATTTAAGATTGATTGTGTAGGGTTAAAGTATTGGAAGATGATGGATGGGTGTAGCTGATCTAAAACATTAAGCCTCAAGAAAGGTGTCTTTGTTGCGCTCTTTGATGTAATCCTTCATCCAATTGACGTCTTGTTCAATTTTCTCGGAATGTTGTTTGATGTCATTGTGGTGTTGCTTATATTCATTTTGTGTATGGCGTGCACGTTGCGTGATCCTGTCTGTGATTGCTTCACTATTTTGACAATGAGTAAAAGCTTAATGAGCATCAAATCAATTACTTGTTTGAAAGAAGTTGGTGAAAAAAAATAGTAGTTGCTTGACCTTTGGCTGTCAAATTCTTTCACAAGATTGTCGGTTGAGTTAAGGACACCTAATTGATTGGTGGCAGCGGCACCTTGGATCTTGACTTGTTTATTTTTGATACCGGCAACCACCATCTGTTATAACAGTGAATCAAGTGTTTAATGCTGCAGAACAAAACCCCAAATTGAACAGATCAAAAGATGTGATCAAACGTGCTATCTCACCTCTGATAACTGATTCATACAGCTTGATACATCTCTTTCCCATGGTTTATCTGTTTCATTCCTAAGGTCTGAACGTTTTGAAGGGGACCCATCCGTTTCTTTTTTTGGCCGATCTAATAGCTATTGAGGTATGGCAAGTTAGGATGGAACTTTCAAAGAGGAAAATTGTTTGAGTCAAAATCATGTGCTTAACTTTTTCAGACACAGATGGACTTCGATATAATCCATCAGGAACCTCTTGTTCAACTTCAACCATGGACGAGCTGCCAATCCTTTTCTTTTCTGACTTCTGAAAATTCTTGAGGTCAAACCTAGGGGTCGGTCGAGAGGGTGTACTAGTTTTTAGAGCGGACTTTAACAGATCTTTGTTATCGCTCAGGATGTCGGGTTGAAATTTCCTTTGTTTGATGGATTGCAAAATTTCATCTTCACTAATGTGATCCTCTTCAACCGGAGATGGGTAATCCCTCTTCGAAAGGCCCCTTTTGTGTGATCTTGTTTTGCTAGTATTTTGCGGTGCAAGAGCATTGCGAGGCGACTCGAACCTAAGTTGTTTTGCTTTGAGCGGATCCTCACACTTCCTCATAAATTTCTTTCTCCTCTCAGCGCCCTCCAATTGCATTCTAGATAAAGGAGTGCTTGAAGCCACACCCATGTCTGACACCCCTCCCAAGCCCTTTGAGCCGCTAGCCTCAGATATCTTCACAGGTTTTAGGCTATCTTTGAATGGATTGAATGTTTTTCGGGTGGTCAGGTCGACAGAAGATGGGGTTTGGAGTGTCTTTTTGAAGCCAGCAAAGATGGACGGGATCGAGTATTTGGTTGGTTTTTTTGTTTTCGAATCTGAAACCATTCTGGCAGTGTTTTCATCCTTCTGTAAGGCGTATTGCGAGTGCGTGTTAGAGATTTGGCTTTCGTATTGAGGCTTTTTTCTGTTTGGCTCTTTGCGGTTGGTGACGTTTTTGCAATGCTCGGCTCGGATATCCGAGTCATAAGTAGGACTCTGGAAGGATGCATGGGCTTTCTCAATGATTTCGACTTCAGGTGAAAAGGTGTCACGCTCCAGCCGATGTTTCGTGGGTGAGATTTTCTTTGGCTTAAACTCTGATGCGATTTTTGGATTCCAACCTTCAAGAGGCCCGGTCTGCGCTTCATTGGAATGTTTCCAAAATTTTGTTTGAGTTTTTCGGATCCTGCCTACTTCCTCTTTTCGAGTCGCTGAGCGAAACCCACTCGCCAAGTCCATAACACTGAGGTGACCGACTTCCTTAAATTTCCTTCCTGGTTGCGTTTTTGCTATCTTCATTTCCATAGTGTGATCAGAAGATTGGGAAGATCGTATAATTTCGTCCTCCACGTCAGACTCATGGCGCGAGGTGGGTTCAGGTTCAAGGCCGGTCATGATTTGCCCGTAATCATCAGGGATCAAGTCAATACTCTCTGATCGGATTGAAGCTTCTTTCTCTTCAGCTTCAGAGTACGATTCGATAATATCTTCCGAGGCTGCTCGAGCAGGTTTCTTCAATTGTTTTCGCGAGAGAATCGAATCTTCAATATGGTTCATATCATATTTTGTTTCACGCGTATCTGATTTTTGTCGAATGTTCTCGTCAGAATTCATAGGCTTAAGCAATGGGATTTTGACTTTGGTGCCACGTGTCTGGCGCAAGACTGAATGTGGAAATGTCTTGGATTTGTTTTCTGAATCCTTTCTGGACCGGTACGCTGGTGGCGAATGAATTGAATCATTTGGCGACTCGATGATTCGAATACGTTTTGATTTCTGTTCTTGACCGAGTTGTTGCCTTGTGCACGAGTCTACAACAGGAGAAGATACCATCGGGCGACCCTTTCTTTTGAGCGACATTGGAGTCCGAGTGTGAACGACAGTTGGCGAGGATATTAAATTTGGTTCTTCAGTAACGGAAGAACTTCGACATTGCCTTTTCCCAGAATCAATTATTTGCTCGGAGCCACTGTTTGAATCTTCTTCTCGTGAGGAGTTGATCCCAGCTTCTCTCTGGACTGACTCGACCCTTTGATGCGAATTCGGATGTGGTGGAGCTTGTAAGGGATTTTCAGCTTCCCAAGAGCAAACCGGTTCCTTGGAAATTGATATTTTCGATGTTTCACGTTTTATCTTTTCGATAGTTTGGGGGGGATCTCGGTCGGATTCTACGTCCACAATCTTCGTGTCCTTGTCATCATCCGTCAGTGGCGATTGGCCGCAACTTGCGGCATAGGAGAATTGCTACAATGAGTGAATAATAAGCATGTCGTGAACCAAATAATTCACAAGGATGTATAGTGCTAAGGCCCTCACGATTTGTCGTTCCCTCAAGATGCTTAGAATTGCATCGGCATACTGAGACTGCAATTTTAATACCAGTGTTGCTCCTATGGCATCGCTATCTGGTGCGTAATGGATCATTGGTGCACAGTTGTGGACAGGAAAGTTACCACTGAACTCTATAGATAAAGTCAATTCATTGTATTCTTTTTCATATCCCCAAAGGAATAAAAAATACCACACAGAGACATATGTTAGAATCGACACCGCAAAAGATAATTAAAAATGAATTTTTGGGAACCTACGGGGCATTGATTCACTAGAGTTCGATATCCCACTAAGCTGGGCTGCCAAGATCGCGTTGTAACATATTTCGGCAGTTATTTCTTCACTTTCGTTGACAAGATCATCTCCCTGCCAAATAAACCATGTCAGCAACTGTTCCTGACACTTTCAAGACAGATGCAATATTACCGGCTTTGCAACCAAGCAACTCCAAGTCAAGGAGTGCTTGTTGAATTGAACAGTTCCGTTAAAAATCGGCGCCACACAAGTGTTAAATCGAATCTTATTATCCAAGATAGATCCACTTTGGATTCGCATGGCGCAAGCTCTGAACAGAAAGATTAAAGGGGGAACATTAACCTTTCGACTTTGCTCAAAGCGTAAATTGAGTCAGCTTCTAAAATTTAATTGTCAAACTAACCTGGAATGATCATTCTGGAAAATTTTGTCCTGAATGTCACCAAGACCAACCCAAAACTGCTTGCTGGACATGGAAACTAACTGAGATACCATTTCTTCTTGAAAGGGTTTACCAAATTTTTCGGCTGGGAAAATCTGAATGAACCAATTTCGCCGAGCTGTCTTCGTATCTATTGGGGCCTTCACACCTTTGGGTAATCCTTTACCCATTTTGAGCGGTGGTGCAACGACGAAAGCTAGTTGTAACGCTGTGTTGGCGGTAATAAAGTCTTTGAAACAAAAGGAATTCCAATTAGAACCTTATCTATCTCTCCAGAGTCCAGTGAACGCCCAGCAAAACTTACCGGAGTGGTTGAAGATAATGTGGGATAGTATCGCACTTGAAAAAAAGCAAGATACAACTCTTTAGTTTGCTCCCCTCTAAAATCAGTGTATTTCTTGAAGCTCACGGGCCGAATATGGTAGGGTCTCGTATTAACTCCTTATTTTCAGCCGATCCCCCGCTCAAGGCTTCCCCAGCGTCCAAAAGCTTATCGTTCGGATTGAATGTCAGTTTAACCTGGGATTTGACATTTAATTTAACAGAATAGCAGAATAAATCACTTACGGATCTCTTCACATATTCGCTCAGCCTGTGTGGGTTCGTTGAGTTTTGGAAGCCTGCCACGTGAGCCAGAAATGGGTAAAAAACGTTTCCAACCAAGATTTGGAATTGACTGGTTTTTGTGCCATGTTGCGCATTGTTCATGAAAATCTGATAAGAAAGTAAAACACAAACGGAGATCATTTTAGCATGTGTTTTTTATTAGAGCAAGATTTCCAGAAGTCATCATCAAACAGAAATTCTTACTCTGATTCCCTCTCCAAAGGCGGCCAAAATACGCTCCCAGCATTGGCCGATATGTTCCGAATCGTCCTTGAAGCGAGTCTCCCGAACAAGTGAGAATGGGGCTCGACATCGTTCAAGTTTGGCCTCGTAAATGTAGCTCATGAGACCCAAGATTGGTGAGCTCGTGACCGGGAACGCAGGTTTGATTGGCGCGAAGATATTTTTGAGTGGTAGTGCGCTACAAAAGAGATAATTGGTTAACATTACATAGGTATTTCGATCGATCGGAATGAGGGCGATAATTACTATAAGGATGCGACTTGATGCCTGAAAAAATCACACAACCGGGAGCACTCCTTGACCAATCGGGCATCGTCTTTTTGATTGCCTGTCTACAAGTTTTAAAAAATCTAATCAGTCATTTGCGATTGGCTTATGTCCGAAGAGGAGTGGTTGACTTACCTGATGGTCGATGATCGTTTTGAAGTGTTCCAAAAGCTGCTGGAAAATAGAAAGGTTATTGGCACCTGCGAATCGATTGGGCGAGACGCCTTGGGCCTTTTCAGTGACGGTTTGATGGAATTCTTGAAGAGCTTGATAGGATTCCTTCAAGAGTTCTAGGCTAGCAGGGGGTTGATCATTAGCAGCTGGCGTCTTCTTCTTCCGGGGAGCCATTTCGAGTCAAACGATTCGATAGAGATCAATGTAGCTCTCGGCAGAGTGGTCTGCAACCGGATATTTAGTACCGGGTGTGATGGCGGTATGTACCGTCCGGGTTAAGAGAGTTAATCAGTGTTGGAAATCGGGATCGATGAAAGGCTGGAGAGGCTGTCTAATCCTGTTGACCGCTGGACCTTTCGAGTCTGAGATGAAATATGGTAGGATGTGGTAGGGTTCGGTGTCAGATGGGGGCGGTGATCAACAGGCGCATACACCCAGCCTCGTCATCAAAACTTTAGTCCTCTTGATCTCTGCTCCAATTACGATGGCAAATTGGCAATGCTAGTCGAGATCAACCAACGTTCATGTGGGCATAACACCGAGAGGCTTGAATTACCCAGTGCAACAACTTGGACAAGTGCTCTGAATTAAACCACTGCCACAGTTCAGACATTGCAAAATATGCCCATCTCCTCTTAAATGTTACTACCATGGAGAACTTTTATAAGACTCATCGGAGAACTACTTACCGGTTTAAAATCTCAACTCAAGCTCAAGCTGGAGGCTATCCAAGCTCACTCAACTGTCATGTCACTCACCACCTCTGGATCCCGAAAGGAAAGAGACTAGACTCTCGCCGAATAATTGGTCCCCTGACCGGCGAAGTCGAGTTGAATGTGTTCTTCAAGCTGGGTAGGAAATCTCTAGAGCCAGAGGCATTCATCAAAAGCAGTCTATTCGCTGAGATCATTAACTCTCTCAATACGGTAATCGTTATTTTTCAAATGTATTTATACGAGGGATTGTTGCATCCACTAAACATATTTTGCACTTCGATTATCAACAGCTTGCTACCGATGAGGCCGTTTCTATACAGAGAGTCGGGGAGACCAAGGTCGTTTCAGACAGCCCTAAAGCACATGCTTGTGGTAAGTAGAACCAGCTTCCTTTCCGAACAGGTGATATTCGAAATTGTTTTGAGCAGGAAAGATGTGAGAAGCTGATAATACCTGATCAACAGTTCAGTTGAAGTTAACACCTCTAGAAGAAATTTTGGAAACGTCCTTGACTCGGCGACCGATAGCAAGACTATCATCGATTGACTTGGAGTGGCAATACACCCCAGCCAAAAAGAACTCGACAATCGATGCCCCAGCGACTCCGTGTGGTGAGACTATCGACTTCGACTCGCTCATTCACGTCCAACCTTTGGTGCTTCCATTGAAATCATCGCTTCAGCAGTTCATGAAGCGCTTCGTGAGCCGTAACCTACTCCATCAACTTCCTTTGGTTTTCAATTCCCAATGGCAAAAAGTGAGATTTGACCTATGGCTTCGTTCCTTTTTTTAAGACTGACACGACCATCTTCCTTTCATGAAAAAAGAAGTTACAGGACAGCATGCTTAACCAAAAGATATTTGGACGTATCTTAACACGGTTTTCTGAACAGTGTATCTCGAACGACATCAGAGCTGAGCTGAGGAACATGTGCGAAGTAAGAGATCATATTTCATAGCTTTCGAAACAAGACTTCTCTTTCAGAAAAAATGAGCATTGCGAGAAGCTGATTGAAGGATTGTATAATGGTTTCTTTAGCATGAGGATGAAATACAAACGGCGAAGGCGGATGAAGAAGAATGTTCAGGAGACAAAATAGCGAGCAGATTATCCACTCTTCAAATTAACATTAGCAAGCTCCCGAATACGAGAATTGCACGCTCGCGACGATGTAGAAACTCTTCATACTGCTCTAGTCTCGATATCGAAGCCGTCCCTTCAGATCATGAGGCGGCTAGTGATCATGGGGATGTGTGGATGGATGAAGAGGAGGATCAAAATATCATGGCAGACAAAGAGAATAACTCTGATGTTTCTTTGTACTTGACTGGAGGGTCTGATAACGACATAGCGATGAGCTCATCCTGAATAATTATAAAAGGAGTTTTTTAGGTCGCCTGGGGCTCACAACACCTGCCATTTATTGTAGAAAAAAAGTATTACAAGTCGTTTATCGAGTATTCCTCCAGCTTTCTGGTCAAGTTCTGAACGAATTTATGACTATCTCATCAATACACCCAAAGCAACATATTTAGGGAGAGATGATTAGGGTTGTGATACTTGCAATAGATCATGATAGATCGCATCAATAAGGATTTTTTTGAGGCACAAGGAGGTCTTCCATATGGGTTCTTGGACAATAGCGGGCACAGATATGAAATGAAAATAGGTGTTTTTGGTCATACAGATATCACGTTTGAAGTGTGTCTGGGCACAGGGGGGAATCCCGCTTGGCATAGATTTTTCCATGACCTCAAACTTCTTGAGGCTGATAAAATTTTTATTTTATTTTATCATGAGTATCTCCACCTCTTCAGGTACCTCATTCATGATTTTCTACAATGTTTATCCCAATAATTTCTTTTTTTGTCATTATCACAGTGACCAACAACTGAAATGAAATGATTGTTTTTTCTTCTTCTTTTCATAATACTTCCAACAACATGTATTCTCATTATCTCACAAATTTTCATTCTTTTCAGTGGACTGATTTTGTAGATGTTTTTTTTCTATAAACAAAAGTTGTTTTTCTCCTGTGGAAATGGAATTTCAACAAATCCTGGCTAAGTATCTTGATTATAGAACAATGGGGAAGGTTCCCTACATTTCAAAAAACACCAAATCATGTAACATCTTTTAGAAAGGCTTATTAAATATTGTTGAAATTTATAAGCGGAGAGGGGGGATTTTGTGCATCCGAAAGCAGACAATGTCTGCAGTAGGTAACCAATGTCTTTGTTGAGTAGGCTTAAGTGTCCTCACAATAAGACTTTTCGGAGGCTTAATTGTCACTAATCAAAGGAAAATTCCGGTCAGGACATATGGTTTTTCTTTCATTGGGCTATGATCTAGATGTGTTAAATAATCTAGATACATGAGGTCCAGGCTGTGGGTCTCAGAACAAAGGTATAATGAATAAAAAAGAAAACAAATAATGACCAGTGAAATGAGAGTGACAGGTGAGTGAGAAGGAAGAGAAGATTGACAAGCAAAATTTCAACAAATATCCAATGGGAAAGGAGAAAGAACATTCCAGAAAGTTTTATCTGTATTTTTGTATTTCTTACAGGTATTCTATCTCTTTTATGGCTTGACTGCTATCTATATAATTCTTGTAATAGTGTGTAAAATTCTATAATCATTAAATACAGGAATTTCCAATTCTTTCCAAATATTTATTCCCCTTGAAATTGTGGAAAAATTTGTAGTTGAATAACTTACAAACATCCACATTTTAGAATTTTCATTTCCAGGGATATCATTCAATTGGATGTTTTTTTCTGAACTGCACCAATTGCACTAAACAATGACATACCAATGCGGCGCATTACACCCATATGTGAATTTGTTTCTAGCCAAATGTATAAAGGGTCTTCAGGTGCTCTTTTCAAAACTTCATCGTATATGTTTTCAAATTCTGGAATTGTTTTACCAAGCATTCCTTCTTTATAATAATCCAGGACTATCCCAGGATCAGTGTAACACTTTCGCAAGACTTTGCATCCATCACTGAGAAAATAGTGATAACTATTTACCAATTTGTTGAATTCAAAAATACGTGAATAAAGTGATATCAACTTCAACTTAATGACAGTATCTTCAGAAACACCTAATCTTGAATATTGTTTACTGAGACCTTCTGGAAAAAAAGCATATTGAAGGAATTCCAGGACTTGACAAATTGCAGTGCTCAAATCTCTTTCAGGAGAATCAATCAATATAGGACTCAATGGATCAGATTTCCACAGAAGAAGCTTGAAAATTTTGTCAATATCAGATTCACTATCTTTCAAAGTCAACTGGTTTAAGTATCCAGGATAAAATCTCATTTCTTTGGCTTCTTGATAAAATTCTAGTTTCTTGATGTATTTTCTGATTGTGAATGAATTCAAAATCTCCTCAAATTCTTCAGATTGATTCAATTTTAGCCACTCATTCCCAAGAAACTTCATCTTTTCAATCAAGAATGAAAAATTCAAAATATTTGTTTCTAGAACACCAATGACTATTGGTAGTTCAAGAAAATAAACCATTGAATCAGTTATTGAGTGTCACTATATATTTTTGAATGATTCATTTCATAGTTGAAGAAATTGAAAGCTGATTTACCCTTAGGATCAATGAAATAATTCAAAACTTTCAAGTACCAATGCTCACTCAAAAGTATATGCTTTTTCAAGAGGTCCTCTCCAATTTCAATCTTGAAGCAATTTATGATGTATAGAATTAGTTGGCTGACAATTTCTTCCTCATGGAAGATTGTTCTGACTGATTTTTCAGAGATCCGGTCATTCAGCCACAAGTTGTCAATGGTTTCAAATGCATACTTCCAACCTAATACATTGTTGAATGAAGCAGAATGTGCATCAAATTTCAAATTATTCAACTGCAACTTATACTTGATCATCATATTTTTTATGTCTTTCACAATGGAATACCCCTCTGATTTTTTCAACATTTTCCTTTGAATGTTGTCAATCAATTGAATTGCCATAGAAAATTCATTTTCATCTCTACCATCAGAATGATTCTTCATATTTTCTCTCAGCTGATCCTTCAGCCTTGAGCCCAAGGCATCCTGAATCCCCAAATTGGTAGACACTAGAGAATTCCCATCTTGGGAAAATTTAATTTATTTAATCTTAGAATTAATTGACTGTTTTAGAAAATAAAAACCAGGCAAACTTACTTGAATTTTTAACCCTTTCATGCTGACTTTCAAAAAACTCTTTCTTCCAATTATGGTAAGGCAAATTGCGCCTCTTGGACTTCACCACATAGATTTCAAAACAGGTGCAATCATAATCTTCTATTGATTCAATCATTTAACAGCAATGAAAAATTGAGAACTCCAATCAATGATCAGTACTCAATTCTAAACAAATCATACCTTTACGACACTCAGGACAGTACATCTCATACCCAGGGACTAATATGTTTGCAGCATGAGTAGCTGAGGTGAACCACAAACAAGCGAGTATGATTGTTGGCTTCATTTTATGGAATGGATGAGGGAAAAAGCATATAGAAATAACTAATCTGGATGGAAGACTGAGAAAATCAACATGAAGGAGACCCAGTTTTATATCTTTGAAGTTTCATTGAGTTTATTTTGGTTGAGTGAGCTTACTTTTGAACTTGAAACTTCCCCACAGTGGTCCAATTCCATGCTGGAGTCTTCTCATAGCTGAGACAAGTCACACATTTACTCAAATGCTCCAAGGTGCTACTCAATACTCAGATTTCTCCACAATCAAGATGTGTCTCAGATCATTATCTCTGGTATGTGTATCTTACTTCTGAAAAACTACAGAGCCCTTTTCACTTTTTTCTGTTCAACTGAGATTACATAATCTTTTCCCCGTAAACACATTTTCAGGGTGGTGAAATATCTTGTAAGAATAATTACTGGAGGACTTCCTGTCGACCAGATGGCTCATTTTAGACAGACCAGCTAAACTTTGTTTGTGGGGGAAATCTTGAGGCCAAACAATTTTCACCAGCCAATAAGCTTTAGCCCTTCCTTCTAAATTTACAATTTTAGACAATGGGAAGTCCTCCACTTCTAGGCATGATGGGAAAAGGTGTTTATCTAAACCATCTCACCACAGATTTTATACAGAAAAATTGACGCAAGTAATACAAAAGCTGTCATTTTTATACGGAAGCAGTTTGGCCAAAGATTAGAGTGTGTCAAGCACATTATCAGAGCTAGAGATGGCCCCTTTGCATCCAGATATCCAGCTGCTTTTTCTAGGGAAACAGGCATCTGCACCCACATCCGCATGTGCCGGCGGGTATCTTTGGATACCTGCCCTTTAAACCAAGGGTGTTTGGAGGGGACGGCCAACAATTGACTGGAAGGGTTTCCTTCCGGTCAGCAAGGTACATGTGACTGGTTGACCAGAAGTTTTTCCTTCCAGTCAACAAGGTACATGTGCCTTGTCGACCAGAAGGTTTTCCTTCCAGCCAACAAGTTACTTGTGCCTCATTGACTGAAAGGTTTTCCTTCCTTTCAACGAGGCACATGTACCTTGTTGGCTGGAGGGTTTTCCTTCCAGTTAACAAGGCACATGTACAGTGCCTAGACAATGAAAAATGGTGTCCCATTTCTTTCTTTCTTTTTTTTTTTGGAAGGCAAGGAGCCACTTTTCAACACCAATCTTTTTGTCACAGCCTACAGGGGAACAGTGGGTCAGGGAAAAAGAATATAGAAACAAATCAATTACACATGCAATCAAAAAAAGATAAAAATTGTTGAAAAAAATCAAATTTTGTAGTTTTTTCAATATTGATGTTAAAAATACACAAAATTGGGGGGGGGGATGCACTGAGAGCGGAGAAGAAAGAATATGAAAAAATTTAAAAATGTTTTTTGATTATTGTTTTTTTAATTTTTAATTTTTCCTTTTTCTGTCTGTGAACAGCGTTGATGTATAGCAATGTTGAGTGGGAATTGGAGTTGCCTCAACAAGCAAGAATTTATAGGAATGTTGCCTCAACAAGTGGGAATCAAGGCTGTATGTGAACAGTTTCAATTAACAGCAATGTTGCCTCAACGAGTGGGAATTGGAGCTGCCTCAACAAGCAATCCTTGTGTGAACAATGTCAGAGCAGGCTGTCTGTCAACGGTGTCAATGTATAGCAACATTGCCAGGCGGAATTGGAGTTGCCTCAACAAGCGAGCCTTGCGTGAAAAATGTTTTAGGTCAGTCTAATAGTTGACTGAGAGGACAAGTCAAGTAAGAGGAGAGGCCAAGTCGAGTTGGAAAAAAATTACTTACTGAAAAAACTCGTGGCAGCCAATAGTGCTAGTGTGGCTGGCGGGTATGGCAAGAGGTGAGCTTTGTGAATCAATAGGGAGGTAGTGAGGTGGCGACTGGCTGGATGGGGAGGTGGCACACTACAGAGCTACGGTGCACTGACTCTGTAGCTGCAAGGTGCACTTGCATAAAATATGCAAAATCACCCTTTTCACTGTCTAGACACTGTACCTTGTTGGCCAAAAGGTTTCCCCTCCAGTCAACAAGGCACATGTAACTCTTTGGCCAGAAGGAAAAACTTCTGGTTGACAAGGTACATGTACCTTTTTGGCCTGAAGGAAACCCTTCCAGTTGACAAGGCACATGTACCTCATCACCCTCAAGACAGTACAGTCTCCAGGCCAAGAGGAACCCCTCTCAGCCTTGAGACTGTACAAGCTCTCCAGGCTGAGAGGGTCTGTCTCATGGGTATCTCTCTGGATACCCGGACATACTCTAAGATCTTGGGGGAAATGAGACATCCGCAGCCAAATACACATCTTCTGGCAGGTATCTGTTGGCTGGCGGGTATCCGCCAGCAGATAACGGGTATCCAAAACTGATAACGGGTATCCAAAACTGATAACCCAAGGCCATCTCTAATCAGAGCAGATGATAAATAGAGACTTCCAAATACACAGAGATTTACCCTTGGAGCCAGTCCTTTATCTGCAGAGGTAGAGGTAGCCTACGGTGAAGAACCACAGATAAAAGTGTCAGCCTACACCTGGAGGACTCACCTCACCAAGATGCATGTATCACTCAGAAGTGGGAGCATGTAGGATAAAAAAAAACAGCCAAAAAAGTTCAGTAAACACAATGCATTAATTTTTCAGTCTAGAAAAATAGCAATCCCCCAAAAAATCCTCATGTCCACTTTTGGAAGTGGGGCTAGTTGTCAGGTATGTATGATTTTTCTCTGAATTTAAGAATTTAAAAGAGTCACAAGGTTTTTGAATCATGATCTCCTTAACATCCCCTCTCCCTCCCATCCTCAAAAAAAGGTTCAAAGTTTTCAAAAATTGAATGCTGGTGGTAATGGACAACTTCACGTTAACATCTGCGGGTCTCCAAAACCCGGTTTAGAGCCTCAGAATTCAAATTTCTCTGGGGTAATCAAGAAGTTTTGGGTCTATATTGACTTCTACAAGGGCCCCAGATCCAATGGGAAGTCCTCCAATAGGTGTTCAAACAACTGGTCCTCCTTATACTTTTTTCAATAATGAAAATTTGCTAGATTTGTTTTTTTCTTCACATTTACCAATCTCTATCTATCAGAGATTTCTAGATTGACTCCCACAGGCTCAGCTCATTTATGAGCTATCTAAATGTCTCATCTTCTTAAATTCTGTAGGTTAGATGAGCAGGTCAAGATTCATGCAATCAGAGATAGCTAAGATTCAACAAGTCAGCTGTGTTGTCAGCTTCTGCTAGCTCACCAAAGTTTCTCCCAGGGAATCCCTGTGGGATTATCTCAATAGGAGAGGATTATGAATAAATTCAAAAATTTGGCTGGGACAGGAAATATTTTCAAGCCTGAAATCCACAAAATACTTTTTCAAAAAAGAACTGCCCAATTTGAAGAAGAACCAAATAGAAAATTTTTTGCACTGTCCTGGCAAGCAATTTTGGTGAAGATTTTGAAGGTAAATTATACAAAATGACTGAAGAAATGAATTTTAAGGAATGAGTGAATCAAGAATAATTACCAAACTCAGCTTGGAGATTGCTCTAGTGAGAGAGTTTCCAAAAATTTGTCAATTCATTTGCTAAACTTGTCAAGGCTCTCATTTTTGAAGGGTACTGAGAGTGTAAGTTTTAATGTATATTCCAAATCTTGCTTTTTGAATCTGCAAGGTGACATGCTAGAAATTCTTTGGCGGATTGATTACCTTGCTGGTCTTGGTGGATCTGTTTTGAGTTTTGAAGGAGAATGATTTTTTATTATTTTCAAAAATTCATTGAGGGAGAACCATCAAAAATGAGTGGATGAGATCAACTCCAAATGAAATACCATCCATGAAATATCCATCTGGCTCTAGGGAAGGGTTGTGGAGCATTGGGAGAAGTAGTGAGAAGCTTAACAAAATTCACTCCAGCCACTCATGTAACCATGTTTCCTATCCCAGCCAAAACTTCAACATAATGCACAAGTCCCTCCCTGCGGCAGGGACCGCTTCTCAAGCAGAAAGACTGACTTGAAGCGGAGGGACTTGTGATAAGTCAGAGCTTCTGGGACAATATCCTCTAAAATCAAAATTTGGCCATACACAGGTGATGGATAGATGTGACATGTGGATCCGCGGACTCTGGAGTGAGTGAGCTTGGTGACAGGGCTGTGATAGGTTTGGGGGGAGATTTGATGGTCGATGGTCAAGATTCAAGAACGAAGCACAGCAACAACTACTCAAGATCCCTTCCTTTTACCATCCTCTTCCCTCTCGTCAAGATGACCACCAGCCATCCTTCGACTTCATCGTCTCACCACTTTGGCCTAGCCACCTACGCCAGCCTGATCATCCCGATCATCTCGATCTACAAATACAGAGCATCGATCAGCTCCTTCATCACTCCCAACAAGAAGCACAACAGCAGCAACAACCATCTGCCACCACAAACCCCGGGATATCTGACAACCCCTCAGTATGAAATCGCACAACGAGAGATGTTCAAGTTCCGGAGCGACGGCCAACGTGAACTGTTGATCCCTCATCGTGGTAAACTCAGGAAAGTCGTCCTCAGACCTACCGCCCAATCGACTATCAAGTTACATGCCAAACATTTCATTCCACCCAAAACCTCGATTCGGACCAATGGAAAGAAATCTGTCGGGGTGAATCGTGAATTCTTCAGACGTCAGTAGTTGTTCTGGTATTCTTCCTGATTATTTTGATAGAGTTGCTGAGATTCTTTTTTTTTCTTTGTGGGTGCGGTCCTTAGAGTTGAAATGCTTGTTCATGATCATCATTCCGAGGTCAACTTCCAAAGAAGTCTTCATGGTTCTAGTTCACACCTTCTTCCTCCTAATGAGAACTTATCTCTCTTTTCTGGTTGCCAAGTTGGACGGGATTATTGTCAGAGATTTGGTCTCTGCTGATCTCAAAGGGTTTGCAAAAGGGCTTCTGTACTGGTACTTGCTGGCGATTCCTAGTACTTACACCAATTCAATGGTCAGGAAATCATTCTCAAATTAGTGGATTGAAGAAATTTAACTTACTTACATGGACTAACTTTAATAGATTCGATTCTTACAATCCAAATTGGCACTCTCATTTCGAACTCGATTGACGAGATATGCACACGACTTATATCTCTCCCCCAACCAGAACTTTTACAAATTAACCAACCTCGATACAAGAATCACCGCAGCAGATCAATTTCTTACGGCAGACATAGCCAAGTTCTGTGATTCGTTATCGTCACTATACTCCAACATCTCTAAACCGGCGCTAGATCTGATCCTTTTTAACTATCAACTTGGGAAGAGTATCGGGAAAGTGGGCTCGATGGGCTTGATAATCAATTACTTGATCACCGGATGGATCTTAAGACAAATCACACCAGCATTCGGCAAACTGAGTGCTGTGGAAACCAAACTCGAAGGCGATTTCCGACTGACTCATGCGAGATTGATCACGAATTCCGAAGAGATCTCGTTCTATAATGGGTCTCGCTTGGAGAAGGATATCCTGAATCGCACCTACCTCCGATTAATCAGACACGTCAACTCGATCTTCAAGATCAGGATCGCGTATAGTATGGCCGAGGACCTAGTGATCAAGTATGCATGGAGTGCTGTGGGATATATGCTTGTCAGTATCCCTGTATTCTTCCCAAACCAAACTAGCCCGGCTGCCCCATCCCGAGGCCCGATCGCCGCTCTCGAGAGCTCCTCAACCCATTCTTCAGTCGCTAAGCGTACCGAATGTAAGCCCTCGCTATTTTGTCCCAGGTTATTAGACTGAGGCAGGAGCCTTTTTGAGGCGTAACAACCAATCTAATGAAATATGTTTGCATGACCGCCCCGTTGTGTAGCTTACATCGCCAATAGACGGTTGATGCTCTCTCTAGCAGATGCGGGAGGTAGAATGATGACGTCGGGAAAGGATCTTGCAGAACTAGCAGGCTACACTTCGCAAGTGTATACGCTTTTAGCCACCTTACACGATCTCAATCAGGACCGTTTCCAATCGATCCAAACCGAATCAGCCAGCTGTCGGTTTGATATGGGAATGGTCAACAGCCGGATAATCGAGGGCGAGGAAGATGTTGTCGAATTCTCTCACGTGCCGATCGTTGTTCCTAGCTTAATCCCAGGCAGGGATGGGGAGCTCCTGGTTGATGACTTGTCCGTCAAAATCAGGCGGGGCGAACACTGCTTAATCACTGGGCCAAACGGAGGTAAGCCGGCTCTCGCTTGGTGCATTGCCCCGTCCATCTTACTGCATCTAACCTATTTGCCTGAAAACTAGTGGGGAAGACTGCTATTGCTAGAATCTTGGCAGGCCTTTGGCCGTGTTTTGAAGGTGTGATCAAGAAGCCTCGATCCGACCAAATCATGTATCTCCCACAGAGGCCATACTTGAGTTTAGGAAGCTTGCGTGATCAGTTAAGTTTTTCATGAACTTTGCATGGTTTGGTTCAATTTAATGATTGTGAAAATATATTAACATCTCATATTACATTCTTATCCATCGATTTTGGGGGTTTAAATAGGGTGATCTATCCCCACAGCTTTCCGCAATTCGAAGGCTTAGGGGGGACGGATGAGGAGTTGATGAAGATTTTGGAACAAGCTCATTTGGGTTACATTCCTGCTCGAGAAGGAGGATTTGATACTATCAAAGAATGGAAAGATGTCTTGAGTGGGGGTGAGAAACAAAGGGTAAGTTTTTTTCGCCTCCCACTAGCTGCTTGAGTGTGTGTGACACCAAACCCTGACGATTGACAACCTTTCTTTACTGGAAAAACTATCAAGGTTGCGATTGCTAGATTGTTTTATCATTCACCAAGGTTTGGGGTGATGGATGAATGCACCTCAGCGGTCTCGACGGACGTGGAGGGATTGATGTACCAACACGCCAAGGAGCTCGGGATCACGTTGATCACGATCAGTCATAAGCCATCCTTACTGAAGTACCATGACTATCTGTTGAAGTTAGGCACGACACCGACGGACTCGGAGGCTCAGAATGGCTGGGAGTTGAGCAAGATCGGCTCGGAGGCTGAGAAGCTTGGGACGGTCGAGAAAGAGGTGGAGGAGCTCAAAAATCGGTTGGCTGAGGTCGACCAATGGAAAGATCGCTTGCATCAGATCGCAGTCGAATTGGCTTTCCAAAAATAATGCCGTTCTTCCTTTATTCATGTCCTCCCCGCCAAAAATATTTTCTAACTTAATAGTCAGTGTCATTATGCAAATCTCGAAAAATTCATCCGCAAGTCGATTTTTTCTCTTTGTATTCAGTCTGATCTATCAATAAATTAGTTTCAACATTATGTGTGATATGGGCTGCATTCATTTCATTTTCAGTTTTTCCCTTTCCTCTAGCTCAATAGTGTGCTCTCCATCCATTTACATAGACGTCTGCATGTGTTGTATTCCTATTACTCTGCTTTCTCATTTTCTTCGATCATCACCCAATCTTTCTGGGTGGCGTGTTTTCCTGTAAGATGTGGTATCATCATCCTCATCCTCATCTACATCGTTTTTCTTCTCCCTTCAATAGTAAATTTTAGTCTGTTTCTTCAATATTAATAGATCCTTAGAAAGAAAGAAAAACTGAAGTTTATAGTATGTTTTGTTTATTTTTATCAACTTTTTATATAGAAGTACCAGTCATACATATTTACATAGATAGATTGCCAACAGCAACAAGAATTGTTTGGTTCAAGAGTTGCCATGGTTGTAATCAATGCAACAAGGTTTTGGGGTCCCCACTGCCACTGCCCCCAGGCCTAATAACAAAGCCTTATTATATAGGGCAGATAAGGACATGTTTATAAGTTTGCCCCAGACCTTGGACTTCAAACAAGTCCCTCATGCTTGGGAGCTCTAATATGCTTCACTCTTAGAAACCTTATGGCCACACAGATCTAGTGGGTATCTTCTCAATTATCCAGAAACAGAGGGACAAATCCTCAGAAGATTGTTGCAATCAATTCTCAGGAATGATCTTGACACTCATAGATTTATATGTATGTAGATGCATTTTTATTTGTATGAAAAAAATAGAAGTAGAAGTAGGGGGGTCACTTCAGCCTCACAAGACCCCTAACATAATCCACAGCAAGAAACATTTAAGGGGAATGTTCACACCTTGGACCCATCATCCACTCTAGGAACACTTTCTTTCCTTAACATCCTTGTTCCTCTCTTACCCGGTTTTCAGGAAAGACAGCTCACATGCAAAATATTTGCCAAAATATTATTGCCCTGCTTTTTTTTTTGGGGGGGGGGGAGGGGGATACAGGAGGTATATACACCATTGATTCATTTTCTTTTCTTTTTTTTTGTTTTTTGTTTTGTTTTTTGTTTTGTTATTTTGGGGAGGGAGTGAATTATCGAGGCTCATTTTTTAACGAAGTTGTTGAATTGTTGCAATCAATGTCTGAGAACGAACCCGCCGCCATTGAAGTTTCTGTATTGGCCAAGCAGGACGGTTTGAGCGCGACCTTGGCCCAGACAGTGTGAGCAATGTCTGGCGATCCAGGGATGAGCGGCCTGACAAGTAGCGCAGCCGACGCGCTGGGAGACGATTGACTGCTGACATCTGCCGCATTTTGCGGTTGTGGCCACACTGCTGAAGCCCAAGTCATGAGAGTTGCAGTGTGCACTATGCTGGATGGAGAGGGGCACCGGAGGACAGTGGGAACAGCAATCGATTTGGGCATGTTCCTCTTCAAAGCAGCCGTAGCAGAACCGAGTGATCCGTGCGTTGCGGATGAGGCCGTGGCTTTCACACTGGCCATCCGATAATCTCAGGCCAATATGTCCAGGACAGTTCACGTGTCTGTCCGCGAACTCCACCCCCATCGAAACTCCAGCGAGTATCATCATCAGAAGTAAACCTGCGCCGCCGCTCATGAAACCCATCCTGCCGGAGTCCAATGGAGGTGTGTCGATGGATAACAACTAACTATGTAGACTTGAGCCGGGGTTCGAACTGATAACCGTCAGGCTTGTTTGAAATACGTATAGTGGTCTATAAACGAGTGCGTGTTTACCGAATGGGAGAATGGAGCGTGATGTGAGGGGCCGAAAAAGTCGTATTTATCCAGCTTGCCAATAATCATAGACAAAAGTATCTTTTTTTTTTTTTTTTTTTTTTTTTTTTTGAAATTCCACGCAAAATTGGATGAGAATGGAGAGGAAAGCGAGCCGGGTTTGCTGGCAGACCCGGCTGCTCGGAATTCCCCTGATGTAAATACATAAAGCTGCCCTAAGCTCTTGAAGAGCGGGACAAGACCAGCAAGAAGCCGATGAGAGTCAAACGTGCCCTCCAGATCATCTGATGAGCGCTCCCAACCGAAGCTTTTCTCAGAAGATAATCAAGTAATACTAATACATACGGGGAAGGTCTTACTTCTTAAGTTGACAGAAGCTTGTACACAAACTTCAACAAAGTCCGGCATGCTTAATTCATGGCTCATTTAATTCCTCATAATTCATGATCATGATGACGAAGCAAGCCCTCAACGCCAGGAAAAAGAAGCACAGAACCCCGCAGAAGTCCACATTTATTACCACCCCCCCCCAAAAAAAAAGAAAGAAACGATAATCGGATAGATAAATATACAAAAAAAAAAGAAGACTACACACGAATAAGAGGATACGACGAAGTAGTAAGTAGTGATACAAGCTGATAAAAACGAGTTGAGAAAGAAGAGTGGGCCGAACAGAGACGAGGATAGACAAGTAAGATAATAAGGGGAAGAATCAACGGCAGATATCAGCGAGCAATTCGAGGCGATCGGAGGGAGGAGAAGAAGAAGAAGAGACGGTAGTAGAGGGGGGAGCGCGATGAGCGCGGAGGAGGTGTTCGAAGGGGTCGCAGATGCCTGAGGAGAGGGAGGCGAAGAATCCCCGATGATGGAGGATGTCGAGCGACGCGGGTTCGGCCCAAAGATCGAAGGATGTCAAGCTCGAGAGAGACGGTAGACGAGCGGGGAGGCGGGATCCGGGAGGACTCTTAAGTCCATCGAGAAGAGAGTGGGAGCGGGAGAGAGGCTTGAGTGGGATGGCGAACTCGCGCTTGACTTGGGCGGCCGTCAGCTCGGCTTGGATCATCCTCTGCTGCTGCTCTTGCTGTTGATCGTCCCCCCGCACCATCCATCCCACGCCTATCGACTCCTCCCACCTCGTAAACCGTAGCTTGGCCCGTTGGTGTTGCTGGTACTGTAGCTTGTGACTCGCTTTCGCTCGGTGCTGTCGGTGGTGGACATGTGTGCCAATCTCCAGATGGTTCGTCGACAGTCCCATCGGTACTAATCCTTCCCCCTCCGCCCATTCAGCCTGCTCGGGATGATCGGAGTGGTTGAAGTGGTGGTAGTTGGGATAGAGCATCACCAGGCCGCGCAGATAGACCCATTCGATCAGGTACTTCTTCCAGCTCTTTGGCCAGCGGTTCGAGCGGATCGGACTGGGGATCACGGGCTGATGGAGCTCCAGCCCGGAGAGCTGGTTAGCCAGTCTGAAGGTCAGATAGCGCTCGAAGGCGGTCCAAGTTTCGGGGAAGAAGAGCGCGCCCCAGGAGCAGGGCACCTGAGAGGCGTAGGGCATCGTGGAGGGGTGGATGCCGAGGCCGGCGAGCAGGGCGGGTGCATGGAACGGCCGACGACCCTCCGGGCGTAGCTCGCTATGCTGGGGCTGGTAGAGCGAGATCCCGTAGATCGCCCCTGCCGGTCGACCCGAGTATCGGTACTCGAGCAGGGCAAACTTCAGCCAGCCGTAAAAGTATCCCGATACCTCCACATCATCCTCCAGTAAGACCCCGTACGAATCGTGCGCAGAGGACGGATACCATGACTCGACCACCGCAGGTAACAGACCTCCCTGGATGATCCGCTTCCGTACCGTCTTCGACCCGTGCTTCCATTCGAACCCTTCCACTAACTTCCTCGTCGGCTGGTCCGCCGTTTGTTCCATGTTGATCACCAGATTCACAGTGTCCCCATAGTACGCCGCTCGCTCTAATGATCCCAATAGTCTCGATAACGATACCGATCGATCATTTGTTATCACTGAGATATCGATCTTGGGCTTATGCCATTCTTTTTTTTTTTTTTTTATCAAATTAATAATTCAAATTAATACAAAGCAGTCAACAAAAACAGCCACGACTCGGATAGAGAGAGAGAGAGAGAACTGAAAACAAAACAAAAAAAGAGAAAGATATACCACACCTTTTAACGCTTGTAACTCGAGGCCCAGGATCCAATCAGCAGCGAAGATGTGATCAGCGGGCAATCCGATCAAGACGCACTCAAGCTGGGCCCCATGCTGAGAGTTTTTCAGTTCTTCGGATTGGTCAGGGTCCTGTGGCTGTTGATGAGGACCAACAGGTTTCTTGGAGAGTCGGTGAGGGAGTTGGAGAGGGAGATGATGGGGAAGACGATAGAGCAACAGCTCGAGACTAGGTTGGGTGTGGATGAGCTGTTGGACTTGTGCATGTGCAGAAGGATGCGGGAGTCCAGTTGAGGCGGAGGTGTGGGAGAGGAGGTGGATGATTAGACTGTCCGCACGCGAACAGCTCTTCATCTGCGCCCGCATCCTTTCTTCTTCCTCTTCTCCCCCTTCCGCATCTGAATTGCCCTCCAGTGGGTCCCAAGAGCTCATCAGATAAATCTCCGCATCGAATCTCTCGATCAGCTGGCATGTCAAGGCCAGCCAATCCGTCAGGTCTGTGGAGGATGATCCTGCAGGTGGGTCCAGGTCGGACTCACTCATCAGGATCCCAACGGACGGTTGAAGATGGTCACGCAGTATTTGATTCACATCATCATCATCATCCTCTTCTTGTTGTGGATTATGGGAGGCGATTCTGATTTCTGAGAGTTGTCTGATCGAATCGTGGCAGATTTCAGAGAGATAATGGTGGTCTGGTGTATGATTGTCAAGAGGGAAGATGAGGGTAGGCCATTTGAGAGTGGTAGCGAGAAAGAAGGCGAGCTGGAGGGGCTGGGAGATGTGTTTGAGGGCCGCCGGATCGTTATGAGGCCAGCGTCTGGTGGGAAGGAGGAAGGGCGGCAGAGAGACGGAGGCGGGTCCGGGACGGGAGGAGCAGGCCATAGCGGGAGGAAGGGGGGTGGGAGAGGCGCCGAGGGGGGCGATGATGCGGCTCCGGCTGAGTGCCAGCTCGGCGGCGGCTGCGAGCCAGGTCCGATCGAGGCCGTTGTAAGGCAGAGATGCGCCGTCTAGGACTAGGATCGTGTCGGCTGTCATGGCAGGCGTGTAGGCGCTCAGAGAGTCGATCAGCTCGTGGGGCGATAGATTCCCTGGCTGGGGACATTGCTGGGCCGGCGAACAGACAATCACCAATGAATACCTCGGGAGGCCGTCCAGGAAGGAAAGAATCTGGTCGAGCGATCGCGCAGGATCCAGCGAGGGGACGCTGAAGAGTAGGATGTTCAGGCTCACGTGTCCAGTCTGGTTTTTGTAAGTAGATGATAGATTTTTGAGGGGATCTAGTTGTGAGGCAGCTGTTTTTGAAGGAAAATGTCAAATTATTAGCTTATTATAAGCGTGTTTTTGAATAGAATTAATCTCCAAGCAGGATATGATCAGAGACTTACGGTGAACTAGATTGGGTTGACTAAGACGATCTGAAGAGATGATAGTATGGTTATGAGCTTGAGATTGGAGGATAGTATAAGATGAGGGATGGATGAGGAGCAGGATAGCGAAGCAGGTGAAGGGAGTGAGAAGGCTGATGATCAGACACCAGTGTCGAGAGGCAGACGAGGGATGGTTCCTGGTTGCATGGACCAGACGAGACTTCTTGGGCCAGCGCTCGGGATGAAGTGACTGGTGGTTGAATGAGTTCTGGAAGGAGGATGCGGATAGGGGCAGTTTGATATTGTTGGATGAGCCGGCGTTGGGACTGGGAGAGGCCCATTGGTCGTTGTTGTATTCGAGCAGCCGGTTGGCTGATGATTGGTCTGAGTTGTTGTTTTGCTGTATGTTGTTGATCTGAGTTGATCTGTCTCTGACTTTGAGGTTGTTTGAGAATGAGATGGATTCGGTGCTGCAGGTGGGAGGATGTCTGGTTGTGTATTGTTGCTGTTGTTCTTCGGCTGTTGCTGATGTTGGATGGTGTTGGGATGAAGGGCACATGCTAATAGGAGAGGATGTTCTAACTGTGAGCTTGCAGCTGTCGAGGTGAGCATGAGGATGCAGGTGAGGTTGATGATGATGGGATGAAGTCCAAGCTCCAATGCTGCTCGATTAACTTTTGCCTCTCTTTGCTCCGTGGAGTTAATGCTTCGAAGGCCTTCACCACCCAAGGAAAACATTGGTGATCTCTTTCAACCTTGCTGTCTCCAATCTCGATCACTCACTATAGTCCAGAGGACACACACCAAGCTTGCAGTTTTCAAGAGCTTTAATGAGATCCCAAATCAACAACAAGATCTTTCTCTACATACACAACCCAGTAATCTCTAGACATAGTGTGCTCAACTAAAGAGAAATTTTCGAATCACGAGAAAAAAAAAAAGGCAAGATTGGCAAAAGCACTTGTAAAGAATTAATAGGCCTTAAAAACTGGAAAATTGAAAAAAAAAAAAAAAAAGACAGAAATCTCTCTAAAATTAATCTCAATAACAATAAACAAAGAATTAGGGGGTGGTTATATATAATCAAGACGATTGTGTCAATTTATGATACGGATGATTGCTTTTGGAGGAGTTTTTTGAATTTCTCATCAAACCATTGATGGATTCTGTCCGATAGAAAGTTTCTGTTTGCCATAGGAACACTAGCCCTTCCGAAGTGGTGATCAAACTGGGAGATCAGATAATCCAGCCGGAGATAAGGCACTGAAGAGACCGGGAACTCTGGAGGATGATGATGATGGAGGAGGATGTTGAAGAGATGATCGATCTTTTTCTTGAGGCTAGGTGGGTATTTGATCAGATACTGGCACGCTTCCGGCCCAAGTACAGTCGCCCGACAATACACTTTATCCCACACATTCTCCCGCATCATCTCCCACTTCCCTTCCTTCGACAGCCTCTTTTCCATGCCCTCAATCTTCGATGGCTCCGGAGTGATCGGGAGGGCTTTGTCCTTCAATCTGTCGAGGACCCACATCCAGGGCGCAGGTTCTGAATCCGTGGATTCGATGTTCGAGTTGGCGTTCCCGGATTCGGATTCCTGAGCGCGTATACCCTTGAGGTAGTCGATTGCTTGTAGTTGATTTTTACTCAGATCTCTTAGTGGCGTTCTTCCATCTGATAACAGTTTGACCATCCTCGATTCATGATTCGAGAGATGGAACACATGTTTTGCTTTAGTAACAGTACTTCCATTCCCATATTTCGACGCGACATCCCTAAACAATTCAGGGATCGTTGCTTCGCTGATAAAATCCGAGATCCAGAGGAACTTTTTCAAGACTTCCTCGCGGCTCGCCCGTCTAGTCCGATCGACATCAGTTTCGATGCTCTCTTCTTCCTCATGCCAAAGGTTACGCCAGATCAACAGGATTAGTGACCAGTTCTCGGTGTTCAATGGTTTCATCATCAGTTTGTAAACGAACGGAATCATGATCCGATGAGTTTGGTGTAATTCGTTCAATTCACTGTTGCAGGCAATATTCGATAGTGCTTGCTGAAATTCAATCGCCATGAAATGGGTAGCCAGAGCAGCAGTCTGGCTGATCACGGGTGGGTTCCAATCGCGAGTTTGCTTCGACAAGGCTTGCCAGAACTACAATTGGTCGCGGAGGTCAGACCAAGCATACATGATTTCACTAAAACACTCGATCAGAGAAAACAAGAATCACCTACTTCCTTCTGTTGATTTCCTGTCCCTGTGGAGGTTGCTGCGGCACTTGCGACCTTCTTATTATACGGATGCATCGGAGACGCGTCCGAATGAGAAAAACCCTTAGCTAATATATGATTCGTGCTACCGCTAGGAATCAGCTTAGTTCTTCGGATTTCACTGAGAAGAGTCTCCGCTATATTCGAATTCATATCAGGCGCCGCTGGTGGTAGGCTGTTCGGAGACACCGTGGCTGGCATTTGGTGGTCTTCTTCTAAAGCTAGACTGGGCTTATCAAACCGGAAGGTTGCCCGCGCTGGGAAGGTGGAGCTTGTGTAAGGTTCATTGTCGCCATCATCATCTTTGCGGGTTTCGGTAAATGTTCGACGCTTTGTCACAAGATGATCTTCCTCGCGAGCAAGAATGCCCGGCACCCGTTTCTTGTTGGTGCTTAGTTCCCCAGGAGTGACGGGAAATAGTGGGAGAGCCTCGGTGCTCGCAAACGCTCTCCGCTCGCTGTCCTCTGGGCACGCTAGTTGATGGAATTCGATGGTAGAGCCGGCTCGGTCGGTGAGAATGTCTGGATTGCGTATAAGCTCAATCGGAATCCCCAGATCTTCGTGAGTTGAAACTTTGGCAATCAGAAACCAAACCAATGGTTGTAGAACCGAAGCACAGAGTCCACATCTCATCTTTGATGGTGCGATATTTCAGTTGGACAGACCACCAGGACCTATCTAAAAGGGCTATGTAGCATTTATCCATTTGACTACTTCCTACAGAACTTGGGTTGAGACTACGACGCGCAACAGAGCCCAACTAATGAATCAATGAATACAAGCTGAAATTTGTTTCACGTTGCCCAAAGATCGAACCCATGGTCGGAATAGTTTTGAAGATCCTTGGACTACATACATACATACAATACCAGGTTAAAATGTATCCCCCCCCCCCCCCCCCTGCACCTCGACACAACCAGAGCAGTCGTCACCATGTTCTTCGTGAGAGGATCAGAGGGAAAATCTAGGGTTGATTTCAAAGGCTCGCCGGACCAAACACATCAGTGGTGAAATGTTTGGCTTGACAAGACCTTTGCAAGCCGGATGGGCCCAGACAATGTGCTGTATTTCAAGCAACACAAAGAAACAAGACATTCACATCATGAGGCCTGTTCTAGGGGGGACATGTGCCAAGGATGGTGATGCAAGTGATTCAAAAAAAATTCTGCAAAAGACAACAGAGACTTCACAACATATGGCAACAGAGGACATGTAATCCATAAGATGACCCTCATGAGGATCAAATTGAAATTCACGGATGTTCAGTTGGGATCATAGAGGATCTCCTTCCATGGAATTTGACAAAATTGCAGCACACACATTCCTTAAGCTTTAAAGATGAACTGGGTGAACTTGATGAAGAGTTGAGTTTGGTGTGGAAAAGATTGGATGCATAGAGTGAAGATCTGAGGCTGTAATCAGAGATCCAGAAAATCCAGATTCTGTTATGGGTGTTTTGGGGAGATCTAACAACTAAGGTCACAGCAGCCCAAGACACGCAAAAGAGGAGATGATCCACAGCACAGCTAGCTAACTTTTTCTTCAAAATAAGGCAAGGTTGATCTTGTTACAGAAATTTGATGTTTAATGATAAAACAAAAATTTCGCCATGAGGAAAGAGACCCTTGAGGTGAGTACAAGCTCTTAAATAATTTCACCTAACTACAACCAAGTTAAACTTATTTTGTTACTACCAGATTAACAGAAAAATCTTCTTCCTCCTTAGATTGTTATTTTCTTAATTCTTTATCTAGAAAACTTCTTCTTTGCAGATTAAAATTAAGGTATCAAACCAGATTTTCTTCTTACAAGAATACCAATATCTTGAATTTTTTTCTTCTTAATATCTTACCTGCTTCATCGGTCCCTTCTCTAACCAAATTCATTTTCATAATAATTTTTTGAATTTTGCTGTGTGTTGTGCCTGCTTGTCATGAAAAACATGCCTTGCCTTACCTCTGCTTTTTTGCCAAAAAACTGGCACCTGGCACCGCCTGGCGGGTGCAGGGCGGGTGTGAGTGGTGCTAATTACCTAGCAAGGAGTACCACCAAATGATCTCTACCTCAGCTAACTGCTTGGATATGCCGGTCCAACAAGTCATCAAACCGGCCTGGCCAAGCAGTTCTTAGACATAGCCATCTGACAAGTTGTCAACTGGCTTGTCTGAGCTGTTGACTGGCAGAACAATCTGCTTGAAAAGGCAAGTCCGACCTCTCATTGGACAACCATGCCCAAAAACTTCTCAGACAGGCCGGTCCAAGGATTTGTTGGGATGGCCAGTCTGAGCAGATAGTTTATGCAGTGAGTAGAACCTACCCCCTTGGAGGGGCAGGTTTTATTACACTCCCCTCTTTGTGCTAATATTTGTGAGATTTATGTTTTTATAAATCAAAGGTTGGCTCCAAGTTTTGTAAAGTTGGGTTAAATTTTACCAAACTTCCACTTTTGTCTCAGATTGTTTGGGTTTTCCTGATTTAGCCATATTCAGATGGTACTGCATTCAGCAATGGGTCTATACTATACTTTACTATAACTGGCCCTTTTCAGTATAGTAAAGTTTCTTCAAATTTCTGTTTACTATACCAATACTATAACCAGTGTGTTTCCCACCAATTGTAAGGGCCTTAGCTTTATCAACCATGAAGTGAACTCCAGAGAGCCCTTCTGTGGTCAAGAGACTCTCATAAGTAGCCGTAGATGTTTTTATCAGCATCCAGGGTAGTTTATAGTTGAGTAAATCACCCAAAAGAATTTCCTGTTCTCCTCAGTTATAGTAAAGGGCCCTGAAAATCAGACTATAACCACACCCTGTATAAACTGTAAAGTATAGACCCAGTGTTGCTGCATTGAATGTGTTGGAAACCTTGTTTGTTGATTATGTATTTCTGGAATGTGCTATCTGAAAAACAACTTTATCTAAGTTTTACATGGCCCTCCTCATTCCAAAATTTGGTGTTTCCATAAGAATATGAACCTTTGGCAGTGGGAGCTTGCGGTCTCAATTACTTTGCTGAGGAATTCCAGCACTTTGAAAAAGTTTCACCAACTTTGTAAACATTACATAATTTATTCCAAGGTATTGTACATGGACTTATCAAAGCATCAGCTAATAATAGGGGGTATCAAATATAACCAAATCCACCATTATTTAATTGACTGGTTTGAAAAAATCCACCCTTTTTTAAACATGTTGGTTATCCATTTAACCCCTTTTTGGGCCCATTTGTGCAAAAAAAAGTTTTTGGAAAAGTGACTGGTTTCTGATGGTGGAGTTCCTATATTTGATACCCCCTAATTTTGTTGAGTTCTTGTAATGTCATGAACCTGTTACGCAAAGCTCTGCACTTTTTGCTCTGATGAGAAACTAAAGTAAGACTGCAGACTCAATGAGATTGATGAAAGGAATAACTCTTTCTTTCCTTTCTAAATCAGTCTTCTTCCTTCCTAAAAATCCTCTCATCTCTTGGAATAGTGATCTCTCTCACTATAACTTGCATTGATTATTGGTATGCCTTATTTCTTTCTCTTCTTTCAGTTGCTGCTTCTTTATTTTTTCTCTTTCTAATCTTATTTCTTTTTTCATTTTCTCAGTTCTGGTTTTAGTTTTTAAGCAATCAAATCAATTTTTTTGTATTTCCTGGAACAATCTGATGGTCAACAATATACAATATACATATCTCATCTCCATTATCTATTGATATCACCCCTTCTCCTTGGTGCAACTTGGTACATGCCATATACACCTCTTGTCAGATTTTTCATTTCTTGATTCACTAGTAAGAATCAACATATCACAACTAATCATTTTGATTACCAGCTCTACATTATCAGATGTACAAATACCTGCAGAAAAGACTGCCACTGGAGGACTTCCTGTTGACCAAATTCTTTAACTTAGAAGGATATTATAAACATTATCTGCTGGTGAAAATTTATCAAGATCAAGTTGCACCAGCCAACAGAGTTGAGGACCCTTTTTTTAAATCAAGCAATTTGGGCAACAGGAAGTCCACCACTAGTGGAAACACTGGGTCTATACTATAATTTACTACAACTGGCCCTTTTCAGTATAGTAAAGTTTCTTCAAATTTCTATTTACTATAATCATACTCTAACCTGTGCGTTTCACACCAAGCTTGGTATAGTATAGGCCATTTTTGTGGCTCCAAATTTGAATATATTGTGAGGGCCTTGGCTTTATCAACCATGATGTGTATCTATGAACTCCAGAGAGCCCTTCTGTGGTCAAGAGAATCTTATAGGCCCTGTTTGGCAGCGTCATAAATTTGAGTGTAATATTGCCTCGAACGGGAGTTGTTCTTCCAATTCCCGGGAGTTGTCGGCCTAATTCCACAGGCAATTTTTTATTTTTTTTTAATTGAAAATTCGGGAGTCGTCCGCCTAAAAGGCGGGAGTCGGGCCCCAAATTTGATCCTTAATTTTCTTGATTCTTTTTTTTTTTTCCTTGGGAGTCGTCAGGCTAATTTCCCCAGACGGAAAGGGAGTCAATGGCCCAATCATCCAAACTGACAACTGGGCTTTTTTCGTCTTGCAGAAGTTGTCGACAAATCCCTAGGAGTCGGTATGAATTGTACAATGAAATTGTTTGCCGGCCTGATTGGTATGGAAACGTGTTCCACAAACTCCACGGCGCTTTGGATTGTATCAAGGTTGATTCGCCATCACCTTGTTCAAAGCCTCATTGGATGTCCATGCCTTTGACGGGTGAGGTAATGACAAATGCCTTTCATGAGAGGCCTGTTTGCTTTTTTTCTGACACCTTTTGCCAGACTTTTCTTCCTTCTTTCTGCCCCCCCCCCAATGACAACCCCCCTATTTCAATTGCTTTTCTACATGAATTTTCTCATTTTGTCCCCTTGCAGTTACATAACCCAAGACTGTTTGCTGCCCCTCAGCTCATGAAGGAGTGGAAAGAAAGGGCGTCAGAAGAGGCTTGGGGATGAGAAGCCCAATTTTCTGATTCTTTTGAATTGACTGTAGAGAGGAAAATAGAAAATCCAATGAAACACTACTAGGGTTTTTTTTATCCTGTGTCTTTTTGAGTTTTTGATTTTTTTCCTCTATGTCATTTTTTACCCTTTTTTTCTTCTTACTTTTCTGATCATTTTTGAATATTTTTGGCCCGTTTGTCATCTCTTTTATCTCTTGCAATGGTTTTTCTCAATCAATCTAATTTTTTTATCATTGATAAATTGCCTTTGGGGTGGGGCCTCAGTGGCTCAACCTTTTTTTGGAGTCTCTGAGGGTGCCATATGGTGACGACTCCCATTTCTAGTTGGACGACTCCCGTCTTTTTTTAATATAGAAAAAAAAGGCAAAACATTTGGCGGAATTGGTGCGACGACTCCCTCGTATTAGGTGGACGACTCCTGTCAATTTAAATATAAAAAAGGGCGAAATATTAGGCGGAATTGGTGCGCCGACTCCCGCACTTTAGGCGGACCACTCCCTATTTTCTTAATAAAAAAATAAAAATTCTCCAGGTAAAATCAGTGCAACGACTCCCTATGTTTTTTTGGGAATTGGAAGAACGACCTCCCGACCGAAACGGGAGTTGTCGACTAAAATTTGGGAGTCGTTTTTCCAAGCCCCTTTATTTAATAAAAATTAAACCACTCAGAAATATGTAACAAAGTTTATACTGAGGCAAGTTCAACTACTGATTTAAAGGTTAGTTTGAACAAAGTTGAGATAATGGGCTACCTTCAGCACCATAATACCAATATTACATTTTTCACCCATATACAGTGTAATATTGATATTATGGGGCTAAATATGGCCTAAGATAGTTACCAGCATTAATGAAACCAGTAGTTGAACTTGCCTCAGTAAAGTTTTTCTTACATATTTCCCTTTTTTTGTATTGAATTAATCAGGCAATATTATACCTGAATTTATGATGCTGCCAAACGGGGCCATAAGTAGCCGTATATGTTTTTAGCAACATCCAAGTTAGTTTATAGTAGAGTAAATTACCCACAAAAAAAATCCTGTTCTCCTCAGTCATAGTCAAGGGCCATGAAAATCAGACTATAACCATACCCTTTATAGTAAAGTTGGAAATATATACCATAACAATAATATACCAATAATGATAATGTATAGACCCAGTGTTGCTGGTGGTACTAATCTGGACGTATGTTTTAATGGGGAGCTGTAAGATTTGCATATCTAAGCTCCTATTTAAGGCCCAGAATTACCCAGTATTCATTCCTGTGACGGGTGGGGATTTGGCTAATCACAGTGCTGCAGGAAGGGAATATCAGCCTATGTATGTAAATATACAGGCTTTCACCCACAAACCATTGTTGATGGCCATAAGGAAATAAATAAGTGATTGTAACAGGAAGATTAAGCATTATTTCTGAAACATTACCAAACTCATACAACAGAACAATTCTCCTCACTGAATTCACCTTAAGTATTGAGCTCTCATATATAAATCAGGCTTGCAATTGGTTGCCACTTCCACATTGAAAACAGTGGCTGATCAGTTCTTTTTGATCAAAAAAAATATATTTTCCAAACTCCAACACCATGGCAATTGGTCTTGGATTCCAAAAATTAGCACTTTTAATATTGCCTTTGTTACAAGAAAGGCAATGTATGGAAGAAGGAGGTGCCTCATTTTGACATACACCCATTTTTATATATCTTAAATGTTGAAGACTGATTTTTATTCTTATGTATTTTACCTCTCAATAGATTCCCACATTGCTTCTGAAGTCAACAAAGCACAAACAGGATTTCTATCTAAATTTTTTCATGGAATATATTCAGTACCTTCAACTTTACCAGATGAACTTATCCCATTGATATACACAACATCTGATCAAGAGAACATGCATGATGGGAGCATTGCAAGTTGTTCCAAAGTTTTCAAAGATAGTGTTCTTCCTGGAGAAATACTATCAGAAAGCTCCATGAATAATTTGGGAAGTCCTAAGAATAACATATTGCCTGAATCAAACCTCTCAGAAGATGAGAAAGAATTTGAAAAACACCTGTGTTCTATATTCCACTTCTAAAAAGAAGAAACTTCAATACCAATTTGTAAGTTAATTTTCTCTATTCAAATTAATATAGAATAAAAGTTGATTTATGTACTGTTTCTACTTCTTGAATAAATCTTTCTCATCAATACATTCAAAATCAATAATTTCATATTTTATCAAAGATAAAGAGAATTCAATTATGGATGACAACAAATTTATCAAGAGAGATTTGGATAATTGGAAGATGTCTCTGTCAAATATCAGAAGGAATCCCAAGCTGAAGGATGCTGCCATTAAATTAATAAAGCAGCATAAAAAATTGGCATTATTTCGCTCTGCAACTTCACCCTATCGATTCTTTCATGTGGTAGAGGTGAACTCATACAAAGGTTCCATACAGAGCTTAGGATGGCACAAAAATGATATCTATCACTTTGTTGAAGGAATGGATCTTTCTTTGTTTAAATTTTTCAAATTTTTGAAACTTGAAATCAACGACCAAAAGTTTCAGACTGGTCTAATTGAATTTCTTGACAGAATGCTACATAAAACTCCCACATTTTTCATTGATAAGAAAATTGATCTGAAAAATGAAGTCAATAGGAATGCATTGAAACTACAAAGAATCATCTTTCAATTAGTTGATTACATGATCAAGTATGAGCTGATTGAGGAGGAACATTTACATTACTTCTTTAAGGAATGAAAAACTTGGGAGATTGCTGCATAAACATGGTCACAACATTGAAATTGAAAACAAACATGATATTGATTTTGGATTCAACAAATACTACAGCAGTAAAGTTTTCCCTAGAAGCTGGCATTCTTCACATTTCAGGAGCTTGTCTGGATGTCAGTCAGATTTTATTGTTATCTCCTTCCAAAGGCTAATTGCTTTTTTTTTTTGTTTTTTTTTTTGAAAGATTTTGAGCAAAGAAAAAAGACAAAGTTTGAATATTAAGCTCTCAAAGCACTTTTATTTCAAAATTATCACTTGAGCATTGATCCACTAAACAAGTTTTGGTTAGAAGTCCCTGATGAATTCAAAGTATTCTTTGATGAGAAAATTTTCCTTGGTGGATTGGAAGAATCTCATACAGAAGGCTTTTTAGATAAGAGTAAAGTTAATAAAAATATCATAGAAACAATTCAATCACTTAGCAACTACTTGCTGAGCGATTTGAAGTATGAATTTACCAAAAGATATTTATCAGTTTTGATTTTTGAATTCATTCAAGACAACTATGGCGAAGAAATCTTGATGAATGAAGATTCAGAAAGAAATGAAAAATTGAAGAATAGATTAAGTGTAACCTCTTCAAGCTTGAAAATACTTGAAGAAATGAATAACATCACAAGGTATCTTAAGTCTGATGAATTCTTAAATTCCTATCCCAAAAGAAAAACATTCCTAATCCTTAGGAAATATTTTGATATCCTACATGAAAAAATTGAGAATCTTTCAAAGAATAGTGGGGAAGACTTTTTACTGAATGATATCTTATATGAATCAAAATATCATTTTGAAAATGAAATGGAAAAATTGAAGAAAACCTATTCATTAAGATGTTGAATTAAATATCAAATTTTTGTCCATTTGACATTGATGCAAAAGGAGAAAAGCAAAACTCAATGATTCAAATGCAAAAAAGCATGTACTGCAGTCTGCAAACACAGATTTTACATGAAAAATGTGAATTTTTCCTTCTTTCCAATTTCTATTTCCCATATCTCCCTCTGGATCTGAAAAAATCAACAACCAAGTCAACTGAATATTTTGAAAACCCACCCAAATGAGTGCTACTCAAGAATTCAACTTCTGGAATCCTTTGGACACCAAACAACTTCCTGAACTCAAATATTTGGAATCATGTTTGCATGTCTCTTATTCTTACTAAATCTGTGTGTATGGTTGGCAACATGAGACACAGATAAATCAAAGCCTGATGACATACAAAAAAAGCAAAAAAATGTAGTTTTTTTTTCTTCCTTCTATATTCATCAAATCATATTCACTTTCTCTATTTTCTGCTACATTTACAGCAACTTATTCACATCTACTGTTTTACCAAGATATCTCACTTGGATAACATCCCTTAATTGTCTCTTCACATTATTTTATCACCCAAATTTCAACTGCATCTCCTGCCCCTCAGATCTCCTATGCAAATTGCCTTTTTGTTCATTTACCTTGGTGCAAAATCATAGATTTGGTATTCAAATCAGGAAATGGAGTATTAAATTTTACATAAGACCTTATTCTAAAAATCTTCATTCACATCTTGCTTGGAATTTGGTGAAGTTCCAAAATCAAACTGAGTTATTAAGGCCACCAATCTGCTCATTTTTTTGAAAAAAAAAAATGATTGGTTGATTGAAACATTGAATGGAATCAATATCTGATGAGATTTGTGTTATTCAATCAATCCAGTTCTTCAGGGAATATTTGATATTGCTTGCTGAAATTTAATCACCATGAAATGTGTATCCAGAGCAGTGGTCTGGCTGATCACAGGTGGGTTCCAATCTTGAGGTTGCTTGGAAAAGTCTTTCCAGAACTGCATTTGGTTGCAGAGGTCAGACCAAGCATACATACCTTGCAGGATTTCATTAAACACTGGATAAAAGAGTCACATACTTCTTTCCGTTGATTTCCTTTTCCTGTGGATGTTGCTGGGGCATTTTGGAATTTGACCATTCCCACCCTCTTCTCTGCTCTCCTTTTTCTCTCATTTTTGTTTCTCTCTCTCTTTTCTCTCTCTACTCTCTCCCACTCACCCTCACCATCTCTTCTCTATCTCCTCTTCACTCTTCCCCAATCTTCCTTCCACATTTGCTCTTTTCTTCTTCAACTCCTTAGGATGTATCAGATAAGTCAACCACAACTTGATTGCCTCATCCCTACATCAACCACAACTCAATCAACTCAGCCCAACTTGTCTACAAGTTGAACTCGTTGACTATAAAAAGACATCAAATTTGTCAACTCTTCCCTTTGCCCTCAGCAGCAGCCTTTTCCCATCACGTTCTTTTGGCTTGTCCTCTCAACAACTTTGACTTCTGATCAACTCACCTCTCAAAACAAACTCCTTCAAAATTCAAATCATCAATCTACCCTTCCGCTTCCACCTCATTCCACCCTCATTCTATACTCTCTGGTGCTATTCTACCTCATCAAACAATTGTATTGATCTTAACATCATCTGAAAATCTGATCTGATTTGCTATATTTAAAATCTAAATGTTTGTCTTTGTATGATTTTATTTGCTATATTTAAAATCTAAATGTTTGTCTTTGTACGATCTGATTTGCTATCTTCAATTTGCTTTGTGAGTTGTTTGACCCACTGACCAAAATAAAAGTGAATTTTTTCAGGCAAAAAAATTTTTTGTTGTTGATTTTGAGATAAATGAGTGATGGCTTGTTTAAAGCCACCATCAAAAATCTTAATAAGTTGCTCCTCTCTCAAATGAGAATTTGAAGAATCCTTGAATTTGGTTTGATCTAACATAAGAATTCTGAACAAACTATCCAGCCCCCCTTTGACTGAAGTAGGATAATTCATCAGATAGAAGCAAAGACCACGGGATGAAGTTCCTGGCTTTAACACAGTCTTTTGCCACAGGTTGTCATTCATGAAATGCCAGCCCCCTTGTTTGAACCTGATATCTTCCAAGACCGTTTCAGGAAATTTTTGATTGATCCATTGAGCTTGAGATTTAAAACGTTCTAGTATCAGATATCGAGTATGTACCAGATTTGTGGATTCGTTGTATTTCTGACTTCCATAACTAGATTCTTCTTTTAAGATACTCTTGATTGAATTCAATGCATTCTTTTGGATTTCCTTTAGATGACCTAGTTTACTTCTCCCATCTGAGAGAATTTTGATCATTCTTGATTCATGAGTTGAAAGTTGAAACGGGTCCTTGCACTTATTCCGGGATACAGGTCTGTCATTGTTCTCAAATAATTCGGGCAATGTTGATTCTGAGATAAAATCGGAGATCCACAGAAATTTACTTAAAAATTTGTCAGGAGACCGCTTCGAGTTGGCTTCAAGCTCTCTTGTTAATTCATCTGGATCATGCCATAAGTTGCGCCAAACCAGCAGAATTCTCGCCCAATGCTCGGTCGTAAGTGGTTTCCTCATCAATTTATATACAAATGGAATCAAAATTGAATGGGAGGTGTGCATGGCTGCCAACTCCGAGGCCCATGGAAAGTTCGATATTGCGTGTTGAAATTGAATTGCAAGGAACTGAGTAGCCAGACCAACTTGTTCATGATCGTTTACAGGTGGACTCCAATCTAGAAGTTGACAGGAGTAGCATTCTCGGATCTTCCTGTTCTCAGTCAGATGAGACCATGCAATTCCGTTACGATTCTCGAATTGACGCTGAAGAGATGCAAATTCTTGTTCTTGAGTGCTTCGCGGACTTGTGCTTGGTTCCGGCCGACTGTAAGCAGTGAGATCGGCTTTTTGAGGGCGAGTTGGGGTTGACAGAGCAGGGCTCAAGTAAAGGGTGGATGCATGTTCCTCGTCGGCGCGAAATTCTTCAGGATACCCGTCATAGACTGTGCGTGTGTTGATCGGTCTTGGGTGCTTTGGGACATGACCTTGCTCGGCTGGAATGCTCGAAACTCGTTTCTGGCTGTTTCTTTCTCCTTCGGGTTTGAGAGGAAATAAATCCAGAGGTTGGGTCGCCAAGGTTTTTCGCTCTCTATTCTCTGAGTTCGACAATCGTTGGAACGCGAAGCTGCCGCCGCCCTGTTCAATGCTTGACCTGAGCTCAAATGGAATGCCGTTATCCTGGTAGCACAACACTGTGCCAAAGCACTGCAAACACAAAGGAAGTAAAGCGCTAATCCCAAATCTCATCTTTGGTTTTTTTATTTGAACAGATGTCCGGTACAGAAACCACAAAGGCGAGAAGGGGATGAGGGAAATTCTTATGACCCAAGTCTGCCAGAATGAAGCCTTATAACTAAGGCAAACATAAAACAGATACGGAGTTACTGCTTTGTGCATGAAGATTCAGGTATGATGTGTTTGGTTTGACCTCGCCTGGGCCCTTATCACGCACACTGCATAATTATATTGCGATGGATGCGTTGTGAAACTGGGCGGTAAAGCTTCCTATTCATCTCCTTGCTATGTACCGTGTAGGAGGCTAAAATGGAAACTGCTTACCGCCTAGTCCCGGCGGTCGGCCGCGTCCTACACTACCAAAGTATTTTCACTTGCACTGTCCAGCCCCTGGACTCATGGCGTCTACGCCAGCTCAATGGTTCCACATCTCTTGGCCACCTTCTAATTCAACCATGTAGGTGCCGGGGGTGGAAAGGCTCGATGACCTTGCCCGTTTTCGCTGACAAACGCTTCAAGTCTCTCTGAAGGGAGGACCTGATGTCCGAAAATAAGGCCTCTGATCTATGAAGTAGTCACATATGCACAGGTATACAAAAACAGGTCAGATAATCTTCATAACACCACCGAATGTTTTCTACAAAGAGCCCAGGAAAGCTGCATTCCAATTTGCATGATGGTTGGCCAATTCACTTGGACACCACTCACAAATTCCCAGGTGCTATTTCCTGATGGGGAGAAGGTTTGACCACAGCAGGATTGTAGAAGACTTGTGTGATTTCAACAACTTGGTCCAAAAAAATATTTCAGGTGAGTAGCAGGGTGCAAACCTGGTTTAGCTCGGCTCTCTGTACAACTTACAGGTCTCTCTTGGACCACCGACCTTTTCATCATTGAAATATTGATCGGTGTGTAACTGCCAATTTCTCTTATCCACTTATGGTGGGCTGGAAAGTCACCATGTAAGACGTTTTATGTACCTTAAAAAATCAAACACAAATCACACTAAAAGAATTACACTTTATACGACTTATAAGATTCATTTAAACGGTCAAAAAGAGGTTCAAGTACGAGATGGATAAGTTGGATTATATAACGATTTAATTGTAAGATGTTAAGAGATGGCTCAAGATGTACAATTTTTATTTTGTGAGATTAATCGGCGATGTGTCGCTTATATAGAAGTTCTTGAAGTTGTTCTTCTTCCAATTTTACGTTGGACATTACACTCCAGTAGCTATCAGGATGATCATCTTCAACTGATACTATGGATAGCTTCGACGCAGTCGATTGATACCAATTTTCCAATAGAATGATAGCAATCTTGAAGACCTGATCAGTGCAAGATTTTCCAGGAGCAACCAAGTAACTAGATAGGTAATACTGGGTAAGACCAAATAAATCATCGATTTCTTGGTCTTTATCAATCTTGAGTTTCACCCAACCTAGAATCGGCAATCCGTTTCTAGTGTTTCTGAACAGGACATTTTTGAACCAACGAATCAATTTTTTCTGCGATGTATCCGGTCCTGTGACCAACAGCTTATCCCACACTTTGCTAAGATTGGCAAGTTCATGAAACGTGAGTAAGGCGCGGAAGATGTTGAGGATTAACTCCTTGATTGATCCCAAATTTCTCCAACAGCCCGATTTTGAGCCTTCGACATTGATCGGTCTGATAAGATAAATTTCCTCTTCGTCATCCTTCACTCGTTCTAATGATGGAGTCATGGCGATTGGTGAGTCGCCTGCCCTTAACCTTCGACGAGGACTTACTCGTAGTAGCAAGCCTTTCGGTTCTAGTTTAGCACACTTCTTTGTCACATATTCTTTGAATCCTTCGACGATTTCTGGATCATTTATATCCGCCTGTAAGCGGTGAACCAAGGGAAACGATCGAACCAACTCCGAATTTGAGGAGAAAGTCTCATATTTTCTTTCAAGACTCAATAATTTGACCTTCCATTGCTTCCCTTGATTTCCATGGCTAGTACCGGTGTGACTTTGAATTTGAGAGTTTTCATGGCTGACTGGAGAAGTTACTTCCAGACGTTCAGCATTTGATTTTTCAATCTGTACATCTCTTGTGTTTGGTTCTGTGAGGGAGTTGTTGATATTCTCAATCGGTTGAGGATCTAGAGGAACATGGTTTCCTGACGGCCCAGGCTGAGTGGCTTTCATCGGTACAACGGCTGATGATAACATCCAAAAATTAATTCATGTTAGTGAGAGAGGTAATTTCGAGCTATTGCCAATTTGACTGACCTTCTTCCTCCACTGAGTCTTCAAATACTGGCCTGAGTGAGTTTTTTCCTGGTTCCAAGATTAATCTAATGGAAGAGTTAAGAGGGAAAGATTTCCACAAAGGGGCAAAAGAGTCTTGAAAGAAACGCCCGTATGTAGTTGGTTGGTAGCTCAGATATGAGCTCGCCGTCTTACTACCATGCAGGCAGCACCGTGGTGGGATTTAGGAATGTGGATTGTCGATTATTGGCTTACCTTTCTCATTCGCGGAAAAGTTATTCAACAGGTCCACGAAATCGCTAGGAAACTCCTCCGTGATTCTCCTCTTCTTACTATCCCGAGGTGATTCCAACGACTCTAGACCCTGGAACATGTCCAAATCGGCCTCTGAGCTTTTGCCAAGCCGAGCTTCTCTCAGGCCTTCCGATTCGACATTGAGTAACTTCGGAGGCGCGGCATTCGAGAGGCTGAAATAACAAATCGTAACCCAGTGGAAGCCAAGTAACCAATCAAAGAATATTCTAGTCATATGCTCTGATGTTGCTGTGAGTTTGAGGTCATCTGCTAATGTCTGAGTCGATTTCGGTGTGGAGCTTCCTTGAATAAAGCAATTGAGGATAAGCCAGAACCTCGTCCTACTAGACTCCAAGGCCACAGTTATAAAGCAAGAGCCCACCTTGGATCACCGTGTGGTTTGCAAAGAAAAAAAAAAAGAAATCTTATCTGTCGTTATTGCAAACACGTCTTGAAAGAACATTCGTCTCCTTACATAAACTTAGGGGAACAGATTCAAATAAGTGTGTATCATCAATTTTTTCTTCCTAATTATCTATGCATATATATGAGATAGCCAAGAATAAATCATATCGGTTGAGAACTGGGGCGAGCATCTTTGGTTTCCACTGGAGTGGAGCGCGCCCGGTTTCATGTGCTGTAGGCGTCCAAACTTCAGCTCGCTCTATGGAGTTCGGTCCGGCGGGGGAAGGAAGAGGAGAACTCCCACCCAGTGACCCGGTCTCCGGCCATCTCATTCTGGAAAGGAGCGCCAGTCATCTGATTCTCGAGAGGCGCGCATCCCTGCGGGACGTCGGTGTCCCCCCCCCTCCACATTCAGACCTTGGTAAGTCAGAGAGGCGCGCCCACATAATCACTCAAGACATCTACCCATCCGCCGGGTGGTTGAGGCCGGGTGCAGCCGGTTGGAACATGGCGGGCTGTTTGATCCTGTCGAATACATGGGACTAGTTAAGGACTAGTCATTGGGGGCCACGTTCCCCACATTATGTGGTGCATCATCATACCCCTCATTATATTAGGACATGCCTGTTAATAACGATTTGTTACCCGCTGCAAGTGTGAAACCCGTGACAAAGGTCAAGCAAATGAATATTGTAGATCTACATATGTAACGTAGCGGCTAGCCTTATGTATGCAAGATGGATAATGGTGTGCAGCGTAGACATAGCCCCTCGAGATTTGGGGACAAGAAGGACCCTATAAAGCCGAATAGATTTTTGGCGAAACCAGGGGAAAGGAAGCTTTGCCCATTCAAGAGCAGTTATTTACACAGCAGTAGTGGCCCCCATTGCTTGATGGTTTTCCAATGGCAAAAGGAGTCTATATAAATCAGTATATAGAATTGTATAAGAGCATCTCCACCGCGGGTGGTAAATCCGGGTTGTAAGCCCCCTTTACCACCCCGATTTTCAAAACGCCCCGCCACCGCGGGTGCTATACAGGGTTGTAAGTAACAATTTCGGTCCAAAAAATGTATCAAGGTGGTGGATCTACCACCTCTGTACCTCCCTTGGCACCACTCTGGGACTCGTGAAATCCGCCCTCCATCTTGTGAAACTTCAGTCATCACAACCCTTCCACCCCCGATATCAAACATCAAAAAAACAAGCACTTTTCCTTTGTCGACACGGCCACGATGGCAACTACTCCTACTCCGACTCCGACTCTTGCATTGGATCCGATCCTTTCGATCACCACAAACGACAACGATGGTAATAGTCATCAATTCTTTCAATCTTCACTTTTCTCTTGCTGATTTTTTCCCCTTTTTGATCCAGACCAAACGAATGCCGCAGGTGAAAAGAAAGAAAAAAGAAAGAAGGGACCGACCTATCAAGAACATGAGGATGCTCAGCTCTGCTGCTCCTGGATTGAGGTCTCAGAAGATCCAAGCGTCGGGACCGATCAAGCAAGTACTCGGTTCTGGGATCGCATCTCGAAATGCTACCACGATGCGATTCCACAGCCACCTCGACCAATCGGCAGTATCAAGGGTCGATGGCAGCTCATCTCGCATGGCGTCAGCAAGTTCACCGGATGCGTCAAGCATATTGACCGCTTGAATGCCAGCGGGGCCACCTCCGAGGATCGCTTGACACAGGCTCTCTCGCTTTTCGCCGAGCTTCAAGGAAAAACTTTTACGTATCTTCGGTGCTACAACATTCTCGTCTCCTCTCCCAAATGGACCGAATATTTCCAGGACTTGGAAGCGAGGCATGTGGATGGGTCAAAGAAAAAGAAGAAGCGAGCGAGGAGCCCGAGCAGTGAAGCACCCCCATTGAATTCTGGACAAACATCCGATACCGAGACTCCGACTGAGACTCCATCTGCCACCCCTGTTCAATCTGAGCCCGAACGACCAGTTGGAAAAAAAAAGGCCAAAGCCTTCGTACGAGAGGCCACTCAGGAGGCGCGTATTATGAAGGATATGGCACTCGCTCAAGCTGAGATCGCAAGCCAATCGAAGAGACAAAACGATATCTATCAATCTCAGACTCAAACGATGCAGACGATGGCCAACGCAGCGATTATGAATAAAGACCTCACTGGACTCGATGAGGTCACTCAGGAGTTCTATCGACTCCAGAGGGAGCAGATCATGCTCCAGCTCCGAGAACGATCTAGAGAGGCTCAAGTGGAGAGAGCTAGAGCAACTGCTGAAGGCGAGCAAGCAGGAGCCTCTTTGTCCAATACTCAAGCGACTCAATCAAACACTCAAGCAAGTACAGTCACATCTACATCTACCTCAATCGATCTCCCTCAGTCATTGATCTGAACAGATCAATCGAATTTTCATTTTCTCTTATTTCCTCTTGGACTTGCCCTCCTTGACTGTTCTCTCACATTCTCTTTCTCTCACATTCTCTTCTCATTGTCTCCTCTAAAACAAGGATTATTGTTCAAGTGCTTTTCATTTCAATTATATATCCAAGTCTTTTTGAAAATGAAAATAAATAAGTTTTATTCATCAGATCTTCCTCTAAGCTCCCAAAGGTGCTTGATTAGATTGTTCCGCAACGTAATATGAGTAGCCTGGCATCGTAAGGCTCTAAAATTAGAAATAAATTGAGAAAAATTGTTCCTATCGCCTGACCGTTCCAAGTTGACCTCGGAAACAGTTGCCGAAGTCTCGTAGAAGTTCTCAAGGTTTACACCGCGCTCATCCTCCACAATCATGTTGTGGAGGATGACACACGCTTTCATGATCACCTGCAAGTTTCCGTGTCTCCATCCTCGAGCCGGTCGTGAAACAATTGCAAATCGAGATTGTAGTACACCGAATGTTCTTTCGACATCTTTACGACAAGCCTCCTGCATCTTCGCAAAGTGTTTCCTCTCGAGACCTTGAGGCTGCGATATTGTCTTGACTAGAGTAGCCCAGTCTGGGTAAATCCCATCGGCAAGATAATATCCTTGTCGATATGTGTGCCCGTTCACAACAAACTCGCATTTAGGAGCCTCCCCATTGAGGAGGTTTTTGAAGAGAGGCGACGTATCCAAGACGTTAATGTCGTTATTCGATCCTGGCAGGCCAAAATAAGCATGCCATATCCACAAGTCTTGCGAAGCCACAGCCTCCAAGACAATTGTCGGCACCTGAAATAATCATCAGATTGATCAACATATTGACAAGAGAATCATAGATGAAATTGTACACACCTTCTCTTTCCCTTGAAATTGCCCAGCCCAACCGGATGGGCAATTTTTCCATTCCCAATGCATACAATCCAGGGATCCAAGCATCCCTGGAAATCCCCTCTGTTCTCCAATTGAAAGGAGTCGCTTGAGATCTTCTGCATTGGGTTCTCGAAGATATTCAGCTCCGTAAACATCAATCACCGCCCGGCAGAATTTGAGCAAGCTTTCATTTGATGTCGATTCACCAAGGCGGAGGTATTCGTCATTCAAGTCCGAAGCGCCACCATATGCAAGCATTCGGACTGCTGAAGTGATCTTTTGCAGAGGTCTCAAGCCAGGTTTACCCAACGCGTCAACCTTCTGCAAGAAGTAGTCGTCGTGTCGTTGGACATCTTCAACGATCCTCAAGAAAAGAGAGCGCCGCATTCGGAATCGCCTTCGAAAGATGTGATCCGGGTAGACGGGATCTTCAGCAAAGTAGTCGGTGAAAAGCCGGTTGTAGCCCGATTCAAAATCCCGTGGCAAGTTGGGCGTACGTCCTGGTTTGGATCCACCGTGAACCGGCGACTCTTCATCCTCTCTTTCTCTTCTCATTCTGAGAAGCATGTTTGTTGAATTGATTATTGACATTCGCTGAGTGAAATTGTTTGAAAAAATCATTTGCTGCGTTTGGAGGACAACTTGTAGGTGTGTGTCAAAGTCAAGGTCTTCATCGAAGTCTATGTTCATCTTGAAATAATTTTAAAAAAAGGAAGTTCTGTCTGGGGAAAAGTGACAGAACACACTCGGGGTTGGTGGATGGCACCGGGGGTGAACCTTTCATGAAGGTTTACCTCAAGGTTTACCACTTTGCGCTGTTGCACATGGCTGAACTCAGGTGGTATATCTGGAAACCGGGTGGTAAATCCAACTTTTACCACCCCGGATTTACCACCCGCGGTGGAGATGCTCTAATGACGCACCTTTTAATGGTGTCCAAAGAAGAAAGAACAACCACAAAAAAGGTAAAAAATAAGCCTTTAGATAAATGGCAAGAATGGAGAAGGAAGTTTTGGCCTAGGGGCCTGGTAAAGGATCATCAAGTCAAGAAATTTGGTGAGATTTTCCATGAGTTTGTAGAGGGAAGTGTTTCTTATGGGTTCTGGAAGAGACCTAAACTTGTGGTGTTCACTACTTACACATCCATCGGTCAGGATGAGATCATGTGTTTTGCAAACAAGGCTGGAGTGAAGCAGTGCTGAGATGGAAAACTGTCTATTCAGAAAACTCATCCGAACCAAAAAAAAGATAAATAAAAGCCTTGTATTATATAAATATAACATTTTTTGGAATAGATAGATAGAGATAGAGAAAGAAAGAGACACAATAACTTAAAAAGAGAAACTCATAATCATACAGATATATAAGATAGGATGAGATTAGGAAAATGTGTGAGAGAGGGAGAAAGAGAATGGTCTCGACAAGGACCGACCGACCGACCAACTAGATGAACGATGAAGTAAAGAAGAAAGCACAACTACTACTACAAAAAAAATCAAAAAGAAAAGAAAGGCATTAAGAAATGAAGGAGGGAAGGAAGGAAGGACTGAAAAAACACATGATGTGATTAGTATAAGGCTTCATTTCAATCATCTTGAGTTGGCCATTTGTTTTTCTCTCTTGTTTCATTCTTAAATGGTGATGCATCTTTCTTTTTTCTTTTGAGTGTCGATTTGATCTCATTTCAATGCTTGATTTGATTTTGTGTGTGTGTGTGTTGAGGTTGGTTAGAAAAGTCCGTTAATCGAAGAAGAAAGAAAAATAATAAAATACGGAAATTCTGGATTCAAGAAAGTCTTCGGATTCAGATCATCTTGGTCTTTCGGTTTTTTGCTTCTTCTGCTTTCTTCGACCGAAAGAAAAGAAAATTGGTTTTCTTGTGTTTTTGGAATGGTGAGAGAGAAAAATGATTTATGGGGATTTGGAGAAAGCGGATGCTTTGATGCACCGTTTTAGCGTTTCTGTTTGCATCTTTAGATCGAAGGGACATTAATGGATCATCTACATAGAGAGAAGATGCCCAAGGTAAGAATCATAGAACCACAAGAGGAAACAAAAAAAACCAGTTGACTGACGTTACCAGCCCCGCCTCTGCCAACATGAACGGTATCGAGTTTATGACGATCGTCGTACAAGGCTTCGATAGCTTTCTCTTCTTCTTCCAACTCTTTGATCCGACTTTGTTCTTCAACTCTCGTTTTAAGATCCCTATTTAAAGAAAAATTGGACAGACGTTAGAGTTCGGAGGACTAGGGAATGCTAGTTGAGCAGAGAAGCGGTGGCTACAAAACTGACCGACTTCGACTCCGGATATTACCCGCGCCTCCACGCCCATGCGAGCGGGGCAAGTCAGCATGTTTTTTGATGAAGCGTTCGCCGACCTCTTCGTCCTGTTTGTTCGAGATCTTTGCGCCTTCGCGACTTTTAGAGGAGACCATATTGCCTGCCCCACCGCGACCGGTCGAGGCTGTCCGACACTCCTTCCTATCTGGCGATCGACCCCGATGGGATGAATTGGCTACAAAATAATCAAAATTTCGGAATACATCAGTTTGTGTGTATCAATGAGAGAGAGGTTTTTGAGTGACTTACGGAAGCTGGTCTCTGATGGTGGTGGACTGATGACTTCCTTGACTCGATGGACGAGACCATTGATGGATTCTTTGATCCTCGATCCACTTGGCGAACGCTGTTTGGGTTGAGAGTGGTCTTTCATCGCAGATGGTAGATGACTTTTCTTTAGTATTCAAGGTGGTTTCTGTGTTCAATTGGCTATTCGAAGTATCTAGTAGAGGGGATCGAGAGAGGAAGATGCTTGTTTCAAGTGGAAGTGGGCGAAGTTGACTGCTTATTTAAGGTAAGGAGCAGGATACAATTAAGCAACTTAATTTAATTTAGTTTAATTTAATGTTGGCTTGTATGCAGCTACATAACATAACATAACATAACATGACCGCAGATAGTTTATCCCCGATCGCCACGGTTTTCCAGTGAAGCTTCATTAACAAAGATGGCGCCATCTGGGGTAGCACAGCACAGCATATTGTAGCATGGTCATCTGATCAGCTTGGTCAGTTGGTATGATCACTCAAGCAGGGAACTACCCACACCCACCCTTCCAACAGCTTCGAACTCGTGTCTCATGAAGTCACCACATCCTATTCTATTCTAGCTCCGAGCATGACCGTCATCAGACCGAGGGATGAGGGCGGACATATCAGAGGCGTGGATGGATATGTAGCTTGGCCAGCTGACCAGCATGGGTAATTCAATAAATATGTAACCATCTGACCAGCTCTTCTCCCCCTATTCCGGATCACAAAGCTCAAACAGCCGAGCCATCATTACCCAGACCGGCACCAACAAGTCAACAACAACAAACACCAATCTCAGAAGGGAAGATGTTCTTCAATCGACAACGGATATGCACTTCACAACTGAATCGAAAGTGCAACAAAGAATGTGGGTGGTTCCGAAAAGCAAAATTTTTAAACGTTATGTCTCATCAGTCCCTGATTCACGACGGAAAGCCTCGAGACGAGTGAGTGCGACTGCGGAGTTTTCTTCTTTTCGAATGTGCCCAACTTGCTCTTGTCGATCGGAAAATCTAACCAACCCCGCAAAAATAGATTGGTCATGCCCATACATAGACTCCAGTCCAAATCCTTCTCACCCTCGCCTAAACATGAAGATGGGCATCAGGCAAGGTGAATAAGGAAACTACATATTCGATCAACATTCTTATCACTTCAAATCCGAATCAACTTGTCTCAACTCCCTCAACAAGCAAAAATCAAGACGAAAATCGAACAATCGCTTTCTTCGAAGTAGTACTAAGTATCAAGTCTACATACACTCTCATTAACAACCGTTCCAAAAACAACAAATAACTCAGATGCGCCTTTGCTTGATGGGAGATCCTTTCATATAAAAAAGGTGAGAGAAAGAAAGAAGATAATCGTATTTTTCCCAATCCCGTCGTGATCAGTCCGAGTTAGTATATCGGCTAGTATATCCGCCTTTCACTTCGTCATGAAGGGCGCGGAGGAGACGGGTTCGATTCCCGTACTCGGAACCTCTTCTTTTTGGAACATATGTGTTTTTTTCTTTTATTTCGTGTCTCCCTGCAGAGCCAATGTTAAGGAGAGAGCCATCCATCTTACTGTAAAGGTTTTGCAAAACTTGAGTCACCCCAACTGGCAGCTACTTATAAGAATTGAATTCAATAATAAGCATGTTTTCTGTTTGTGTTCACACAGTCACTGCAAGAAGAGTTGTGCAACTCTTAGCAATTGACATGTGATTTTACAAAGGCACCTTTGTTATATCACACTAGTATATGCCCCCAAATTTGGGGAGGCGGTTTGTTATTTTACTTGTTTGAAGTCCTATGGTGTAATAGCCTTCTGTTTTTTTTTTTTCTTTTTTTTTATGATTGTAAAGTCTTATGTCGGAAATGACATTGAAATGTGCAACATCGATGCCGGCGTTAGAAGCCGCATGAGAAATCAATACAAAGGCTGACAGTTTGTTTGGCCCTCTGAGGCCATTTTTTTAGTTATACAGTTGCGGACGGCAAAAACCGACCCTGGATTTTGAGGATGTCCGAATGGTCGAGCCGAAAATTCAGATTTTTTTTTGAAATTTTCAGCCTTTTGAGCTGTTTGTAGCCTCCAGATTGTAGAAAAAATACACTAGAATAGAAGATTAACAGTGAAAGTAGATGTCAAGGGTGTACAAGTAGTATAAAGCCATGATTATTTATAACTTAAAGCCATAACTATGGGTTTAAGTATTGCTTAATCTGTGATTGTCCGATTATCTGTATGTGGAAATGAAAAAAAAATTGAACCGCTCACTCAAAAGCTTAGTGTTTACAATTTTGAACTCTACACATCTGTAGGAGTTCAAAATTGTAATAAAATTAAGTGTCGGGGCACATGCCCCACGGGGCATAGGCCCCGCGTGTCCAAATTGGATTTTGCGGGCGGGGCATGGTCGGTCTATGCCATACGCAACTGTATGTAGATGTCAACTGCTAACAGTTGCCTGACTTTTTCTTGGAGTTGGAGTGTGTTATATTGTGTCACCTCTGATAACTGAATGGCCATATGAGAGAAATGAAAATACAACACAGATTGATCCAGCATTTTGGACACCAACACTACCCACTACCATACATAATAATTGAAATCTGAATAACAATGAACATCTCACAATCAAGGATGTCTATCTGTCTGAGGTTGGCTAACGGTTTTGTTTTTTTTTTGTAAAAAGAAGGAACAGGTGGGGAGGGGGTTGATCAAAGTATAACCAGCGGTGGGCCGCTACGCTACACTACGCTACGGGCCCATGTAGTGTTAGCGTAGCGGCGCCAACCATTGCTTTTTTTTGTGTAGCTGCGCTACGCTAATTTGTAGCGGCGCTAACACTTGCCCATTTTTGGTGTAGTGTTAGCGCGCCTCTGGCGCCGCTACGCTGTGTTACGCTATGCTACAGCGTTTTTAGCGGCAAAAAACGCCTAAAAACTGCTGTAGTGCAGTGTAGCGGGCGGTTTTTTGCGCCTTGTGCGCGTAGCGTTAGCGCAGATGGGCGGAATCGCGCTAACGCTACGCTAAACGTTAGCGCCAGTTTTTTCCCCATGCGCGTAGCGTTAGCGCAGAAAATGAGAAAAGCGCTAACGCTACGCTAATTTGTAGCGGTTTTTCGCTACGGTTAGCGTAGCTGGCCCACCGTTGGTATAACTGCAATCTACCCTCAGTGATGCCTGAACCAAATGATGAACTAGGATGGAGATCATTGCTCAAACAGTCCAGTACCATTGGATTGAGATAAGGATGAAAGCCCCCCTCCTGTCCACTTTATTTAGCCAGTAGAATGTCACATAGTCAAAGTCAGAGAAGAAACTGACTCAGCTCTTTGTCTCTCTTCATATTCTTCCTCCACCCTCTCTGAGAAGTCAGTACTATCCTTTGAGAGGAAGGGAGAGGAAGAGAGAGGTAAGGATTTATTTTATCCCATGTCCAGAAACCCAGTTGGCTGCTAGATTGTCCATACAAATCGTTCCAATTAAATAAGAAGGTCACCAAACTTAAAGGTTGGAAGAGGGTAGACTAGTACTTTGGTCTTAGCTTCCACACTGTTTGTTCCTTGCTACATTGCCATCCCAAAGACAATCATGGGAAGACCCCCTAGAAAAAAAAACATGTTCAACTTTGTGCAAGTGGGTGGCTACAACAACAACAGAAAGGGGTTTTTTGATGTGTGGGTTCAGCCATGACATTGACACTGACTGTACTTGTCAAACAGGATCCTTGAGAATTCCAATCTGATGAGGGATTGTATTTTGCTACATACCCTAGTCAGTGATAGTAGGTACTTCAGAATGTTGTACAAAGGGTGAATGGCTGTAGAATGATTTATTGTGATAATTTCAATACATATGTAATGGGATTCAAATTTTCCTGTGTGCTTTCATGCAACAACTTTGATGTTGTCTTTTTTGGTTATTCTTTTCATATCAATCAGCCCAGCAGAGATTGAAAAATGATTATGCCCAATTTGTGTTTCTGTTGTTGTTTATAAGATGCTCTTTGATGGGATACAATGCACTCAGTCCAAATTTGTAACAGGTACACATATCTGTCTGGATTTGCCCAGCCTCACATTTCCATCTAAACCAAGAAGCACAAGAAGTGCCATGATCCCATTCAAACACCTAGAAAAAAGGCAACATTTTTCGATGGTGATTCTCAAAAACATGTAATATATATGTAAATTACAACAATCCTTGTCTTTGTAAATCTTCGTAAGTCTACACACGAACCATCCGAATCAAGTCACCAATCAAATACCAAAAGGCAGAGTCAGTATATGAGTCCGAAAAAAAGGGGGGGGGGAATAAACAAAAACGCAACTTTACGATTGTAGACATTCCCTTCATCGTCTTCCAGTTCTTCCATCGTTTCGTCCCGGAAGATTTCGGCCCTGCCTTCAGACTTGAGCTTCTCAGCCACTGAGAAAAAGACATCATTTGATTATCCCAAACCATGGAAAAAAACAATCAGTTTCTTTTTTTTCTGAGAAGGATCAATTGATCTGGGTGGGGAGGGGGATTGTTTGGGTGCTTACATGCAAATGCATCCTCGATCCGAGTGATCTCGTGGAAATGTTTAGTATTCGGTAAGCCTAAGGCTCTCATCCCGAAAGCATGACGAGATTCCTGGAAATGGCGCTCGAAGTTTTTCCTAAAAAAACATAAATCCCCAGTAATTACACCATTTGTTTAATTTAAGGGGGGGGGGGTCGAAAGAGATAGTCTAGAGGCCTTTTTTAAAAAAGAGAAAGAGGACGCACCTGCCCATGTAGACAAAGTCGCTACAGATCTCGCACTTGTACTCTACCCCGAGTCCATGTAACTTATAGAGCCAATACGGGATCGGTTTGCCGTCCCATCCCAAGGGCAATTTCAACGGGTTATAGATCCGCGCCTCGTCGTCCTCCTCATCATCGCCAGCAGTCTCACCACCGGCAGCGCCACCCGTTCCGTCCCCATGGGCGGCCAGCTCGGCCTGGCGTTCAGCCTCTAGACGTTCCTTCGCCTCGCGCTCCTCATACTCCTCGATCTCCTGTTGCCGCTCTTTGTCCGTCAATGCAGCCCTGCGCTCCACATTCGCTTTGGTATCTACCCTGAATGATTCTAGGAGCTTGCCTAACAAGCCGATCTCTTGTTCTAGGAAAGCGATCGGTCGGTCTTTGGCTCGTCGTAACTCCTTCAGATTCTGTGCACTGGGCGCTTCGCCCGAGCTCGTCTCTCCAGATCCAGTCCCGCCCTTCAGCTTTTCGATCGCCTTGAGATGGCGCTTCGATTTCAGATGGGCATCATAGACGGTCTGTTTCGAGTACAACTTCGTACAGGCTTCACACCAGATCCCTTCGCTGGTCTCGGCTTCCTCGTATGTCCATCCAGACAGTTCCCCTGAAGCCCATTTCTCCTCAAATTCTTCGTACAGATTGTTCAGATCCGCATCCAGATCGTACAAGGGATGGGTACGTCGATGAAATGATTCCAGATAATCACGAAGATCCTTGAGATATCTATACATACGCACAATTTAATTTTGAGCGTCTCAGCAGGTGAATAAAGGTCATTCAAATGAACCACGGAAATCGGGGGCTAACGTGATATATTCTGGTCGACTCTTGGTCGTCCTAGGGATATTATTAAACTGATCGAAGGTGTCGATATACGAAATGTACGGAAGTCTTTTGGAGGCTAGGTTTGAGGTGGAGGTGAGATTGTTGTAGGTATCGTGAAGGATATGTAAGTCGAGATATCGTCCTAATAGTTCTTCCCCGGTAAACATTCGATCGATAACTGCCACAATAGAAGATATGGTTGAAAAGGAGTTAGAAATCAAGATTTTATTATTTCGGAGAATTATGTCGAATAAAGAGAGTGAGAGAGAACTTACAATCACGCCCATCGATCACTTCTCCCTCTAATCCACTCCAATCAAAAGTGGCGGAAAGATCCGAGTTGAGATGATGATTGGGATATTTACGATGGAACTCATTAAGCGACCCGAGCCGACTATAGAACTCATTCAAATCGCCCGCGTTAGTCTGAGAGAGTTTCTCGATCTCGAGTGCGCGTTCTTGGTCTCTATCGGCATAAGATTCGAGCAAGTTTCCGGCCCGGAGAGTGATCAAGTCGCTGAGGTATTTGGCCCGATGCGCTTGGACCAGCTTCTCGCGATGCGAGCCTCGCGGTGGGCCCGGTAGAAGGAGACTGGTTAGATAACTCGTCAGACGGTCTAGCTCCTGTGATCATGTGTTCAACAAATTAGATGTTCTGTTAGTTGGTGTTTTTTTTTTTTTCGATCGGTTGGTTATTCAGTTCGTTCGTTCGATTGCTAACCTGATGTGTTCCTCGGACGTCCTCCAAGATCGAGAATGACATTTTCGGTGGTTGCTTGTGCTGAGTGGTTAACTGCAACACAGATTTGTAGGAGGACTGTATCAACTGGCAAGGCTGGGCGAGTGCCCATCCACGCCGCAGTAGGGGGGTCCATCCAATACAGTCCATCATCCATTCCTCCCTTCAAAAATTGGCAGAGTTGGCCTTGTTCCTGATGGTGACTGTCATCCAGAAGTAGAACAACAGTAAGGAACTTCCATCAGTATCTTGTGAGATCCAGTATTGGTTCACCAACTGAGAATCAAGCCTGAAGACATGATGATACCAAGGATCGAGGCTAACCATGAATTATGATAATCCTCCCCCACTTGCATTCTTCATGAGAGCATCTCCAGCGGCAGCGGTCCGGGGGGCAACTCGCCCGGGTTCCGCGGGCCGCGACCCCATGTCACAGGGGTCGCGGGTCAGTTCCAGTTAGAGCATCTCCAGCAGAGCCGCGACTGGGCGATTTTCAGCCCAAATCAGCGGCTCGCGCGAGAATTTCGGGGTCCAGCAGAGCCGAAACTAGACCCTCAACCGATCGCCCCTCACCTCGCCCCCGGCTAGAAGTCCAAGGCAATAGCCGCCTTGGAAGAGACCGGCTACTCCCCTCTTCGCCGTGTTTTCCTCAAGTCACACCACACCCCAACACACCAACACCACGATGCTCGACCCAATGCTTCAACAACTTGCTACGCCTCCTGCACAGGAATCATCAACCCTGCCAGTAGATCCTCTCCAAATACAATCCAAACGACCTCGCGCGAGCCCGATAGAAGAAACGAATCGAAAGAACGACAAAAAACAAAAGAAAGAAGACAACGCACCAAAAAACCCCCACTGGAGGATTGAAGAAGACAAACACTTGTGTATTAGTTGGCTCAATACAAGCAAGGACACCGACATTGGAACGGGCCAGAAATTGAGCGCGTTTTGGGAACGAATCCATGAATACTTCGTCAAGTTGAACGACTCATACACCAAGACACACAAAAACGATAAGCATTTCAAGCCCCTTCCCAATCGAGCCGTGGGTGCTCTTGAATGTCGCTGGGCCACTGTACTCCATCGGGTGAACAAGTACTGTGGTGCCTATGGGCAAGTTGAACGTCGTCTTGGTAGTGGGAAAACACGTGATGAAATTGTGGGTTGTTTTACTTCAAATCATTTCTTTTCTGTTGTGTTCATTTTGGTTTGTGTTTTCTTTTTTCTTTTCAGGCTGTTGAAGCCAAAGAACTTTTTAAGGCCGATCAAGGAATCAACTTTACTCTCGATCACTGCTGGGCAATTCTCCATAATTCACCGAAGTGGCAAGAGACGATGGACGAGATCGAAGCTAAGCCTAAAAAAGACAAAAAGAAGATTCAGATACCAACTTCGGAAGCGAGCTCCGTTAAAGCGACAACGGACGATGAGAGTATCGATGCGGAGTGTCTTGGATCTGACCGCCCCGAAGGACGAAAGGCTGCTAAAAAGAGAAAACATGAAGAAAGCGAAGCTCTTGAAGGTCAAAAAGAACTCATCAAGATTTCACAACAAAAAATGGAACTGATGCAGACTGTTGCTGATGAAGCCATCATGGGAAGAGACTTATCGAACTTGGATGATCTCTCTCTTGCGTACTATGCGGCTAAAAAGAAGGATATTGCCAAAAGAAATGGCTTGTTGTAATGCATTTTTTTTTCTTAATCAATCACTGCTTGTTTGCACATTTGATACCAATCCAATCATTCTCTTTGCTTTTCTGATCGATGCCTCTCCTTTGCCGATTGTTCTCTTTTCTTTTCCGATTGATCTCATTCAATTTCCGATTGATCTATTTCATTTTGTGATTGTTCTGTTTTCTTTTCTGAGGGTTGTCTTTTTTTTTGTCAACTAACATCTTTCCGATAAGAATTGACTATCATATTTTCTGATAACAATAACATTACTCTTTTTTCTTTTTGATTAAGATTAATCAGTGTTTCTTTTAAAGTTAGATACACCGATAGAAGAAAGACTTCTGATATGATGAAAAATGTGCAAGAAAAAAAAGGGTAGAGAAAACAAATTGATTTCTGATTAGACAAACAGTGAACAAGCAAACACATCCAAGACTTGAGATAAAGGAGTAATCGATCGGAAACTATCATTGATAGATGTTCAAGACTTGAGATAAAGGAATAAACGATCGGAGAGTATCAATGATAGATGTTCCCCTCATCTGAAGTGTCAGATTCATCCAAAAGTGTCGCGTGAAACCTGCTATTGCGACGTCTAACCCTTTTTCATGTAGGATCCACTGGTGCTCAATCAAGTCTTCCTTGAGCTTCGTATGTGCGGAGGTACTTCTTATAGCTTGGTAGCGCTGAAGGAAAAGTTGGAAATCGTCTTCGGATGTTGTTGTCGTCTGAATTGTTGAGGCTGTGGTTGGCTGATCATAATCATGCATATACTCCAATTCTGTGTCCCTTTCGTCTTCTACAATCATGTTGTGCATGATAATGCATGCCTTCATGATGTAAGAAAGGTCTTCATGTTTCCACAGACGGCCAGGTTGCTTAATTATTGACCATCGGGCCTGTAAGATACCAAAAGCTCGTTTGACGTCTTTTCGGCAGGCTTCTTGATGTTTCGCAAAATTTCTCTCCTTGTCGTCACCTGGGAACGGTATTGTTTGGATAAGCGTTGCCCAGTCGGGGTAGATTGAATCGGATAGAAAGTAAGCCATGTTGTACTCGGTTGAATTGACCTTAAATTTGACCGGAGGTGCTTTTCCATCTTGAAGTTGTGAGAAAAGAGGCGACCGATCAAGTATGTTCTTGTCATTAAGTGTTCCAGGCAATCCAAAGAACGCATGCCAGATCCAAGTGTCGTATGACGCCACAGCCTCGAGTACAATCGTTGGTTCTTTCTCTTTCCCTGAGTATTGACCGGAATAGGCTGTAGGACAATTCTTCCACGTCCAATGCATACAATCAAGCGACCCAAGCATTCCAGGAAAACCACGCTTCTTGGCAATCGAAAGAAGCCTGGCGATATCGGATTCGTTTGGACTTCGGAGGTACTCATCTGAGAAGATATCGACGACGGTCCGAGTAAACAATTTTAAGCATTCCAGAGAGGTGCTTTCTCCCATCCGAAAGTATTCATCAAGTGAGTCAGCACTTGAGCCATAAGCAAGCATCCTCAAAGCCGAGCTGATCTTCTGGTATGGTGAGAAGCCAAGCTGGCCAGCCGCGTTTCGCTTTTGAACGAAGTAGTTGTTTCTCTTGACAACCGCTTCCATGATTCGCAGGAACAGGTCTCGTCGCATTCGGAATCGCCTTCGAAAAAAATGTTCAGGGTATGTTGGATTTGGAGCAAAGTAATCATCATAGAGTTGTTGGTCTCCTTGAAGGCGTTTTCGGCTGAGGGTTTTCCTTCCTTTTTGAGATCCACCCCATTGGGGCCGTCGAGCATCTAAAATTTTTGAGGTAAGTTGGATGGCAAGATAATCGTCGTCATCGTCCATGATATTGAGTCGATCCATCGGATTCATCGTGGTTGGCAGAGATGTCTAGTTGTCTACCAAGGTTGGTGTCTTGGCCAACCGCCCCCTGCTACCTATTGCCAGTCTGCTGTGGGAGCAGTGTGACAGGCCTGAGACAGGGGTGTGAAATGTGGTCCCAGGCCGCTATTCGGCCGGAAATCCACCCCGGCTCTGCTGCTATCCAACATATCCTCCCATACACCACGGGTGCACGAAAACGATTCCAAAAAAATTGGGTGGAACGCCTGGCAAACGTCTCACACCCAGCAAGCTGAAAACGCCTCCAGAACGTTTTGACGTTTGCGCCTGGAAAACGACTCAGAGGCGGCTAGCTGAACGCCTTGGAGCCAAAGCGCTGTCGCCTCCAAACTGACTCAGAAACGTCCTCTGACGTGTCGATCTGGAGGCGACTTGAAAACCCTCCCCATTCGACTTGTAAACCATGCCCTCAAACGTCTTCCGAATGGGAGACGTTTGCAGAACCACAGCCAGGTCGACTTGGGTACCTCTTAGCTCGTTCCCAAGTTGACTTGGAAATGCATGCAGCCCGAGTCAATCCCGGTCGGCGGATTTCACAGGGGCCTTGCAAGAGAGGGTGGCCAGCTCGCTGATGATATGTAAGGGACATTTATTGAAGATCATGTATTTCTAAGATTGTATTGAAGTGTAGATCGTGTATTTCTAACATTGTATTGAAGAATTGAGATGAGAGAAACAGATCGCGAGTTCATAGTTGAGGGAGGCCAAAAAATTGATTGAGAGGAAAGCTGGAACAAGGTAACAAGAAGTGATTGAGAGGAACAAGATGTAGAGAAGTAGAGAGAAGCGATCGAGAGGACCAAGATAGAGAGAGGTAGGGTTAGGGGAGCGAGAGGAATAAGATGTAGAGAAGTAGAGAGAAGCGATTGAGGGGAACAAGATAGAGAGAGGTAGAGAGAAGGGAGCGAGAGGAACAATATAAAGAGATGTAAACATAGAAAGTGAGACGATGGATAGAGGCTAGACAGGGAAGCAATTGATAGAGTAGGGCCTTGAAACTAAGCAGATGGTCTGTTACACCACCGGGCCACCCAAACGGTTACTCAACCGAGGCCTCGAGGTTTGGGGGGTTGATAAGCGCAAGCCAACCCCCCTCGCGCACGCCAATCCGCACGCCAGCTGCAGATTGGCGTGCGCGCCTGCACGCCAACGAAAATTGGCGTGCGGGGCGGCACGCCAATGAGTGACCTGCAGGTTGGCGTGCAGGCCTGCACGCCAAAGGTGTTTGGCGTGCGAGGCCGCACGCCAAAGCTGCAGGGGCCTAAACGCATATGTATATGCGTTTAGGATGCAGGCCAACCCATACGACCCAACCCTGGGTCGTATGGGTCGGCCTGGGGCACATCGCTCAAGGTTTTAACCTTGATCGATGACCGATCAAGGTTAGAACCTTGACCGGCCATCGATCAAGGTTAAAACCTTGAGCGGCCGCCTTGAATATCCGCGTAGGACCCAGGCCTGGGTCCTACACGCTGACTCAATCCCCGGGGGCGGGGTTCGGGTCCAGCCCCGCCTGCTGGGTTCCTTGCCTTCGATTCCTCCCCCCATCCAATCCTAGCCTTAACCACCACCTCACTCCGACCGACCGATTCGCATACGAGACCCCGCCGGACCCCACGCGCCCTATCCCACTCGCCGACCAACCCGACTGGACCCCAGACCCCCCGAAACCCGTTCGAAGCAGGAGAATCCACGCACGCCCGATTTCAAGCTGATCCGAACCGATCCGAACCGATCCGATCCGATCCCGCACACAAAAATTGGTACCTGGGGTGAAAAATTGTAAGGATTAATTTTTTTTGGGTTCCCATCCCCCTAAAGGGGTCAAATTTTAGGTTTTTAGGTTTTTTTTTTTGGGGGGGCTCAAGCCCCCTAGAGGGGCCAAATTCAGCCTGGTTGCAATGTATCTTGCCCTCCTGGGGTGCCCAACGCCTGGTTGCAAGATCTCTGCCCGACAGGGGGGCCCAAGGGGGTCCCCCAGGAACCTAAGAGCCACCAAATCGGCCAATTTAAGCCCCCTGGCCAGAAATCCAGCCATGTGGAGAGGCCCAAGGCCCTATGCAACTGAAGGGCCCCCATTTGCCCCCACTCCTCTCAGTCGACCCTAGGCGTAACCACCCAATGTGCCTGCAATTTTTGGATAAAGCTGACTTATTTGTTTGATCACCGTTTCAGACCAGCCGACCGCCACCCCTAAGACCTTCAACCCCCACCCTCAACCTGGATATTTCAACCGGGAATGATCAATCACGTAAGATCCGCTTTTCATTTGAATCTGGCCCACTGGTCATCCACCCCAGCTAACACACTTTGCATTATCTGTTTCCATAGGTTTGGACCTTTACATCAAGGCGCAGGAGCTAGCAAGTCACCCGGCGTTGAAATCCAAGGAGCGGGCGCACCTGCAATCCCTCTTGGCACTTATCAAGGCAGATATTGAGAATTCGGATGACGAGGGTGAAGAAGAGCTCGAAAGTAGAGACATTTCCAAGGTTCCACCCTTCTCGGCGGACAATTTGGCTGGTGCTGGTGCGGCTCATCACATCAGAGATGATGCAACAAGGCTTCCTGCTCCCGATCACTCCCTTCGATCAACGACACCCTCTGATCGACCCCTGTGGATTTGTCCTTGCCAACCCGTCCCAACTTCAATTGTCAACGCCGACCCGTGACATCATCGGGAGGCGACTATTTTGCATGCAAATCGATCGACCCCTCGCACCGCATGTCCCTCGTTTTCAATTCTCAAGGGTGATCCCCCATCGGTTGTTGACAATGGCTTACCAAACGTGCTCAACCCGGCCTATGCATACATCTCTGATGACCCGCCTCGCCGAAAGAATGCCAATGGAGAGACCTCTTTCTTGACAGCTGATGGGGATCAATTATACGATTCAATTATGGCCTCAGTCAACAAGGAACAGCTACCGCCTCAGAATATTCCAGCCCCACCGGTGCCCACCCCTTCAATCAATAAACAAGTGGAGCCGGCCCCACCGAAACACCAGACGCAGCGTCAAGAGGTCATTCACGAGCGACAAGAGAGGCACCCAAAGTACCACTTTGACAATGTTAGACTAGAGGGTGTTGAAGATAACAACACTGCGCGTGCCAAAAAGACGAGGATTGACGACTCTGATGACGATGGCGTTGTGGGAGGAGCTCCCAGGCATTCTACTAGAACTAGGATTGAAGACTCTGAAAGCAACACGGACGCAGAGGGTTCTACCGATGAAGAATACGTCTCAAAAGAACAACCTCGCCCAGTTCCAGACGTTCTCGACCATGGAATTGGTCCGCCTGGCGTGCGGATTGGCGTGCGCGAGGGGGGTTGGCTTGCGGTTATCAACCCCCCGAGGTTTGACCAACCATGCAATTTGGCTTGGTGACCAACGTCGAGGCTTGAGGTTAAGGTCGTCATGCAAAAGCTGCATGGTTGATCCAACCATTGACCGACGAGCGCACACTAGATGCCCAACCATCCTCCGACTCAAGACTCGGGCCAGTGTGGTCCCTCGGTGTAAGCCACTGTTGGTCACAGTTGGCCCAACGTTGGTGGCACTTCGGCACACTGTAAAAAGAATCAACCTCAGGCTTGAACCCAGGTCGATAGCCACATGTCATTCGCATCACTCGATTGGGCGACAAGGTAAAACCAATCGGCAACATCACCTTTTGTATGTTGCCAACCAAGTGAATCCAGTTTGCAACTTTGATCTGGGACAAGGATGTTTTTTTGTCCAAGTCTTTCAAGTTTTTTTTTTTTTTGTCTTGATAGATCAAGTTTTCTGGAAGAATCACAATGATTCAACCACGATGAGGATACTTTTTCATGGCAAAAAAAAACACTCCCCTACGTTGGCCCAACAAGATGGCAACATTGATAGAGAGTTTCAGTTCCAGCCTGACTGGAGCCGGTTTGTCCAACTTGTTTTAACCTTGTTGGTTCAACGTTGGGCTAATGGAGTGACTGGCGGTCGGTTCAACCTCCGCCAACCATCGACCTCTGACCCAAACGTTTGCCCAACCGAGGATGTCGGTTGTGACACCCAGGGTTCAACCCAAGGATGGTTGGGCAAACGGTAACGGATGGGCTCTGTTGGCTGGGCCCTTGTCCAATCGTTCCCGCAACCCCATCGTTGGGTCTGAGTCGCCCGAACGGTCAGTCACCTCTACATTGGCTCTACCAACACCGATCACAAGAAGTGACCCGGTGGTGTACCTGCGTCTCGTGCGATCCGTGCATGGACCTCCTCATCAGTTGACAGTTGAACGTCAAACTCGGTCCAGTCGTCGACTGTCTTTTTGCCATCCCAGAGTTGGCTGTCCTTTTCAAGGACAAGGTGTCCAAACATGTTATTGAACATTTGGGTTTTTGTTTGTCGTAACTCAAGATCCGAATCGACATCTTCCCAACAGGAGGGTAGGTTGGTCTGACCTGGGTTTGCAATTTGGTGCAGTCGATTGAGGTTAACAATCGCCCTTATATAGGCAAGTCTTGCCTGTCGGTGTACGGTGATTTGATCGTCTGAAGGAATTTTTTCATTTGGAATGGCTTCAAATCGAGGGTCCATCCCTTTGTACACATTACCAATGATAGTGGTCAGTTTTGGGGGGGCAATCGGCGGGTTTGCTCCTCCCAATCCAGTTCAAAGGTAGGTCGCGAAGTTGCTCTTCTCTGCCTTCAGAATATTTGCAAGAAGGGTGTTGAGTTCCTTTTTGAATACTGCATTCCGGTGATAATCAGCAGGCAAATACTTTTGCTTGAAAGTATCACTTTGCTCGTAAATGATTCCCTGAAATGTTGAGCAGTTAGCATAAGTAGATGAGCTACATAGATCAAAATGGCTCACCTTGACTATGGTAAGTGGCCACATGTCTATCTGGTTGTGCTCAGCCATTTTACGAGTATAAGCAGCGATATTGGGCCTGAGTAAGACCTCGCGGATCTGGCTGCGACAGAAGAGTCGGAAGTTTGGGTGGAACTCGTATCCAGGCTCGGGGGGTGTGGTTACTGATGTTTGTTCGACAGTGGGAGTGGAGGTGCTCGATGGGGCAGGGGGGATTTGACTGTTGAGGTTGATGAGGATAGACATGAGCCATAGCTCCTCCTGAGGCATCTGGCAAATTTCAATGGAGGTAAGCGAGTGAGGTTAGTTTAGGTGAGGTAGCTGAAAGTTACTTACATCCATAAGGTTTTGTGCCCATTGCTCAACTTGTTCGCTGAGTCGGAATTGATTACCCATTGATCGCAGGCAAGCTTGAACAGACTGAAGAGCTTGAGGATTGATCGATCGAACTGAAGTCAAAGATCTTGGGAATTCACCAGTTGATGCACTGACCGAGAGGGAATCTGATCGGTCAGTTGCATCAGAGGCCTCCAGGTCAGATTGAGCTGGGGAGGTGCAACTGGCAGAGCGATGAACTAAGGGAGATATTGATAAATGTTGTTGAGGCTGCCCCCTGATGGGTCCAGCTTCTGTTTCATAGGAATAATGTGGGGTGAATGATCATCAAAAGTGTTCAAGATCGGAAACTGACTCACGCAAAGGTAATTGATTGTGCAGTCGTGGTTGACCTGAGTCTCCTCCGACTTGAGCGGGACCATGCGGATCAATGTCTCGGATATTGGGAACTGGGGGCTGATGGGGATTGGCCAAGGTGCCACTAGCTAACGATGGGTGATAATCACTGCCCATTTCGGCCCATTGGGTTCCTGGACGTGAACTATGATGTGAGGGAAGAGGCCCACTATATTGATTGTTCAATTGATCACCCGCAGTTTGTGGGGAACCCGCTACATTTTAATGGGTGTTAGCAGAGTGGTACAGTTGAAGATTGGGACCGGTCTGAGCTGTGCCTCCTGCAGCGGTGCCGGTGGTGGGGTGGTACTGGTATGGCTGTTCGGTTTGACCGTATGACGTGTGGTGGGACATGTTTTAGCTTGCGTACAGGGTCAAACAAGGCTTTAGCTTCATGTAATGTAGAACATTTCCGATTGTGTTTTGATCGTATTTTTTGTGACTACATCACTTACCGGTTTGTTTGAGTTGAGGGGAAGATTTGAAACAGGGCCTTGCTGATGATGATCGAAGATATTGAAAATAAAAACTATAGAACTTAATCAGTGAAACTGATGAATTTTTTTTTCTTGGTTGTATGTACAATACCTAGCTGAGTTTTGAGGTGATGATTGTTGAAGCGATCAGTTTGGTTGGTCAGAATGAGTTGGTGGTGGGGAAAGACATCAACAGCCGATTGAAGATATGTTGATCTCCGAGTCGGAAGTCCGAAGGCATGAAACAGGCAGTGCTGCGGACTTCTTTGGGCCCCTGTCCCCAAAAATTGACTTCACAGCCTGAAAGTGTAGCCCCTGTCCCCACAAAATGACTTCACAGACTGAAATTCTAGCCCCTGTCCCCACCAATTATGGTTTTGCACAAGCCAGAGACTGAGCAGGGACCCCAATGGGTGAATTTCAGGTGTTAGATTCTGTCCTGTCAAGGTGTAAGCTGCATCCTTAAAAGAGGCCATCATGTGCCTTGTCAATGTCAATTTTCTTTTCTGCACCAGAATCTGGTGAATTTTATTAGTCTACTTTCATGTGCCACAGAATCTGGTGATTCTTTTACTCTGTTTATCATTTCACCTGTTCAAGATGGCTATTCAAGGTGAGATTGCATGTTTTTTGCATCTTTTGTTTGCACATCTGCATGCATTTTCTGACTGAGGAGTATCTATTTAACCCCAGGCTTTACATCTGTGCCCCAGGCCGATGGACAGGACAGATACATATGTAACACTTGTGGTGGCAGAGATATGAATTTAAATTATCTGACCCGGCATGTGAACAGCTCTGTTCATCAGAGGAATCTGCTGAGCATAGCTCGTGGGCAAAATCAGGCATCACAAAGTACTCTAGTGGGAGGTCAGCCTGATCAAATTACACAAGGTGACCTAGGGTCCAACAGGTTTCAAGCATCAATTATTGAAGAAGGAGATGCAGGTATACAAAGGGGTCAACAAGCAAGAGATTATTCCAGAAGAGACACAGTGATGAATGATGGAGAGGACCTCTTCATCCCAAGATCATCTCCAGAAGACCATGCAATGCCTTATCAGGCTCCTCCGCTTGAAATGAATGATCAAACTGGGATGGGATTTGGTGGAGTAGATACTTCATCAGATGATTCATCATCTCCGCAACCTATGGCTGTGGGCCAATTTGATTTGGAGAAATGGAACATGGTTGAGAATTTTTCTTTTGTCAATGATTATGTAGTGTTACCTGGGAATGCCCAAAATAATTTTGATGTGGAGAGTGATGAAGGTCTTAACCCAAATGATCTTTGGTATCCATTCCCTGCCAAAGAGGTATGTTCTCAATTTCTGTGTGCTCCTGGAACAGTACATTTACCTAATGAGTGGCCATTTTTCTGTTGCAGTACCTGATAGCTGCCATGATGCTGGGCCACTTGCACTACTTATTGCCACGCAATATGTATCATCTAATGCGATTGATATTAAATCTATGTTTTCTGAATCTTCCTCATTGGGCTACTATCAGGAGAAGAAGACAAAAAATCAGAGAGATGTTGGACATAAAATTGCTTGAAAATGTTTCAGTTTTGAATAACAAGTGTTTCTCACTTGACTTGAAAGACATCATAGCTCATGTGAGTTACTGTGTTGATGTGTACGGGAATGACTGACTGAAAACTTTAACTTTTGATTCAGGAAATTTCAAATCCTTATGTGAATAAACACATGGAATTTTACCCACATGAGTGTTATGGAAAGGATATATATGCTCTCCACCAAAGTGCCAAGTGGCGAGAGTGTCTTTCTCGAGAAACGAGGGTGCAAATGGTTGAGAAGGCAAACAAACACTATTATATATTTGAGCCTGTCACTCTCAAAGGTCCAGCACAAGACATTGTGATTCCGATTTACTTCTTCAAGATCAAAAATTCCTTATACGCAAAATGCATTGTGCCAAAGCTGAAAGATTTCCCAACAACTGAATTGAAAAATGGGCAGCCTCAAATCCAACTGATGATTCCTCAAAATATAGATTACAACTCAAGCAATTTGTTTGACATTCCTGTGGAAAGGTTTGACTTGATATGCTCAGAGATGAAATGGGGTGATGGTACACCATTCATGGATAAAATTCGCCACCAGCTAGTAGGTGTGTACAATCTGGTTCAGATATACTCCCCATGTCATTGGAATCCTCAAGCTGATCGCTTTTAACTTTCAGAGGTTGCAAATGATGCTCAACAGAGTTGTATCAATGTTCCAAATCCATGGAGACACAAGGCCAAAGGGAAGATAATACGACATGTTCCCATCACTCTCTATGCGGACGACACCTCCGGGAACCAGTCCAAACGCTGGAATAAACACATCTCATATTATTTCACACTAAGTGGACTACCTCCTGTTTTTTCAAACATGGAGTACAATATACACTTTATTAGTACTTCCAATGTGGCAGGTGCCTTGGAATTAGGAGAGTCAATAGTGAATCAGTTAAAGTACATGTTTGAATGGAAATAATTCCATTTTATGTCAACCTGGTTTAATCGAATACCTCTCCTCTTGTGTGATAACAGTCAATTGGCTACAGATGGAAGTTGTGCATATGATTGCACTCTTCAACAAGAAGTTCTGTTTATGACTGTGCCACTCTGTTTCCTTGCTGACTCACCCATGGCGGCCGAAATCACAAACACCCCAATTCCTGGGAATTGCAACAACCCATGTCGAATTTGCAAGCTGAGGGTGGAGGCAGCTGAAGACCGAAGAGGTATACAATATATTCAGGATTTCTTTGGCATTCCCAAATTACCTGAACCAAGGAAGTGGAGTGAAACAGTTGAAAGAACAAATAACTCATGGAATATTCTACTTACTAAGACAAAGAAAGCATATGATGATCACCTGACAGCAGGTGGACTGACTGATAAACTTCAAGAAGAACTGATTGCAAGAAAATCCATTCCACAGGAAAGAGAAAGAATCAAAAATTTAGAAGTGACTCAATGCGGTTGATTAGCCAATCCCATTTCAAAGCTAAAAGGGTTTGATGGCAGTCTGGATACCCCTGTAGAAATATTGCATGTGTTATCTCTAGGAATTGTCAAGTATATGGTCAGAGACTTCATGGGCAAGCTCACAGAAGACCAGCGTCATGAAATGGAGGCCCGTTTGTCCTCATTCAACTCAGATGCATTGCACATTCATCCCATACAAGCCAAATACATGCTGGATCACTACAAGAGTTTCTTGGGAAAGGATTTACGCACCATTGTCCAAGTGGCACCATTTATATTTTTCCCATTCATGAACCAAACAGAATTAGATATCTGGATCTCACTGTGCTACATCTGCAGCATGGCGTTTCAAACACACATACAAGATATGGATGCATACTTAGCAGAATTGGAATCTCACATCAAAATTTTCATGTACAATGTAGTCAAGATGACTGCCCAATGGAGTAAAAAGCCCAAATTTCACATGCTATTACACCTACCCGCATCAATCAAGAGATTTGGTCCAGCTTCTTTATTTGCAACAGAGAAGTTTGAGTCATTCAATGGGGTGGTTAGGAATGCTGCAATACAAATCAACCGACACAGTCCTGGGCATGACATAGCCATCATTTTTAGCAATTACCAAATTGAGCAGCTATTGGTCTCAGGCGCACACTTATATGATTCAACAGTGCAAGAATACTTTAAGCCATCTGATAAAGTGACGGATGTATTTAGCAGGAATCCTCTCATTCAACAGGCCATGGGTTACAATTCAACAGCCTTACATGAGTCACAATATCCAAGAGTTAAAGATACACATGTTGTACAAGCCAATCTTGAACTGGTACCAGAAGATATCAGGGAGATGTATCCGAATCAGCAAGTTTGGCAGGTGTCCAGTCTGCAATTGAATGACAAGGAAACAATCCAAAAGGGATCTTTTGACAAATCCTAATTTACTGACAAAAATTGGTATTTGTAGGAAAAAGCCCTGTCCCAGAACCTTGGGAACATATCATGTGTGCAATCAATTTGGGAAGTGAACTCAAAGTATGCATATTTTGTACAGGTGCAACCGTGTGTGGTCCGGGGAATTCAACCAGATTGTATGTTGAGAATTGTTGAAAAACAAAGTTATTCCAAAAACATGTCTGTAAGGGTCAGTGCATTAGGAAACATAATCAAAAGTAAAGCCTTCACCTTCACTCATCTGATGGATATGTTTGAATTTTGTTAGTCAATCAAATGCTGTATCAATATGCAACACAATTGCTTTGATGGAAAATGTGAAGCTCAAACATCCACATGCATCAAACGCAAACGACAAGAAGGTAATTCAATAACCAGACATATGGTGCACACAGATAATCACAGCTTTCTATTGAATGCCTTTGCCCATCATGAACCCACAATCCACCGTAAATTAACTCATTTTAATCTCCAAACCATTTCTGATCAAAGTATGGTTGAGGCATCATACACTGGAAAAATGGTATGGGATAACCATGCACCCCCTGGGCAGCCAAAGAAAAAAGGAAAGAAAAAAAAAATCCAATGCTGCATCAACATCAACATGTGTCAATCACACACCAAATGATACATCAAATTTTGCATCCACATCTACATCCACTCAAATGCCATTCCAACCTCCACAAAACAACAGTCATTTCCAACCCAACACATTTAATACCAGCCACATGCAATACTATCCTGCACACTATCCTGCACATTATCCCTCACACTGGCATCCGGAACAGCATCCCCATTTTGCATACATTCCATCAAATCCACACCCAAGCCAATTCTATCAACCACAAACCAACAGTCTATTCCCAAGTAATGGCCCAAATTTGGAATACACCTCACCAAGACACTCATCAAATTATCCTCCACAGTATAGGCACATGTGATCACATCAGTGAGCAAATCACATACCTCATGCAAGTCTTCATGTAAATTCAACCCAGCAGTAATGTGTTTTTCTGAAATTTCAATGCAACAGAATACATATATGTATATAGCATCTTTATTGTTTATTCCCCTTGTTTGTGTTATCAAGAAGCTATTCCATCTTTATTGTTTATTCCCCTTGTTTGTGTTATCAAGAAGCTATTCCAAATATTGCAAAACTACCCAATATTATAAATCTCAAATGACTGACCATTTACTTTTCTTTGGATTGAGTTCTTGATTTGTTCTTTATATTCATTCAAGTTCAACTGATAGACTGCCCTCATTTGGTGTCCCAATTAACAGTCACTCAGCCCCTTGTTCCCACTCAATTATCACTCACAAGGTGTTATCTTCCTCTTCTCCTATTCTTTGTTTCCTCTCAATTCATATTCATAAATTTGTATGTTTTACTTCTCCTATTCCACTACTGCACACACTTTGCATGCAAAATCAGGAGAATCCAGAAAAATCAAGAAATGAGAGATGCACAATGATGAGTTAATAATAGATGTGATTGAAAAAATAGAAGAAAAAGTGTAGGGCTTGAGAATGTAGATTCTTTGAAATCAAGAACTATGTTTTTAGGGATCAAATTCATGTTTTCCATGAATTAATCGATCCACGCCTTGTCTGAAAAGCAAGATGGGGCCTCGCCTAAAACCTAGCTCCTTAAGATCCTCGTGGGATAGGTCTATGAACACCGTCCAATGGTGAAGTTTGTGATCCTGTATGATTGAGCGGGTATCGTGGTCATCCAAAGGAATTCGACAGAACTGGAGGAAATCAATCATTGAAATTGCTGTTTTTGGTGATGACAGCTCGGTTTGTTGGAAGGCCTTGAAGCGTTTGAAGACCACATCCCCAATGTCATCATCGGAATGGAACGCGCGCTTGATTGAATTTGGAATTGTATCCAATCAATCGGAAATATCATCGTCTGAGTTACTGTTCTCCTTGCCAGCAAAACGGACAGCTTGTCCAGAGGCCGTTGATAATTTCTTTGATTAGGAGGCACATCGGTCAACAACTCTTTTTACTTCATCAGTTCAAACTGTAGTAGCACAAAAAACTTACAAATTGATTGCTCCTGCATGGTTTATCCATAAAGAGGAGAAAATTACATGCACCAAATTGAATACCGGCCACAACCACAAACGATTTGAAAGAAGCGTCGTCGGTTACCACACGTTCGCAGTTCTTGATGCTACAGCACCATTGCAACTGGTCGGCCTTGTCAGCATTGGTTAATGCCTTGACGAGGTGTTCCGACTTTAACAAAGAATGATCCGGAGTGGCGGCCAGATGATTGTACACACGGGTCTTGAAGTCACTGAAAGACATGTCGGTCACGGACATGCGTAGCTGACATGGAGGCTTGGCAGGTCGAAGATTATTGACAAGAGAGGTGTTTCCGGAATTATTGACCCAGATCGAGTAATCCAGATCAAATTTGCAGTACAGCTCGCTGCCGTCGGGTACAGGTAAGGATTCGGGGAAGTCCTGCGACTCCAATTCCTGACTGTTCGGTATGTATTCGGAGCCCTGAGTTTCCTGAAAGACGATGGGGACCTGACTTTCTTGAAAAGTATCCGGAGGGCTGGGGATTGACTCGGTCGGTATTGTCATAGTCGCTATTGAGGAGGCTGTGCTGGCGGTTGATGAGGGACTTTGCAGAATTTGGCTCACCCCCCCAGTCGTGTTGCGCCGTCTGCAAGCTCCAAGAGCTGTTTGGTTCCAAAGTCGACTTGAGAACCTTGATCAGTTCTCAAGTCGACTTCCAAACCACCATAAATCATGTTGGTTTTCAATTTGACTTGAAAGCCATGTTGGTTTTCAAGCCGGCTTGAGAACCAACTGAAATAGCCGGTTTTCAAGCTGACTTCAGAACCTCTTGGTTTTCAAACCGACTTGAAAACCAACATGGTTCTAAGGTCCACTTGAAAACTAATGCAAGTTTTTAAGTCGCCCTCAGAACTACTCTGGTTTTCAAGTCGGTTTGAAAACCAGTGGGCTTTGAGTTTTTTTGGACCGAACCTTATAATGGTCTTGAAGTCGTCCTCAGAACCAATTTGGTTCTGAAGACGACTCGAGAACCCAAATGGTTCTTGAGAACGACTCAAGAACCATTGGGTGCACCCGTGGTGTATCCCTTCGACCAATTCCTCCTCCACCATATACCAACCACACATACCACACAAACCATGGACCTCGACGATAGCCTCCAATGGATGGATGACGACAACGATGCCCTTGCCTCACTTCAAGCAACACTAGCCTTAATACTCAAGAACAAGGAGCCAAAAAAGCGAGGTGGTTCAACACCTGGACGAAGAGAGATACAACGAAACCGACTTGAAGGCCACCAGCAGCTATGCAAGGATTACTTTGACGAGGATGCCACTTACCCCCCTGAGATTTTCCGTTGTCGATTTAGGATGCGAAGGACTCTTTTCCTGAGGATTGTCGAAGATATTGAAAAAGCCGATCAATACTTTGTACAGAAGCGTGACGCCGCTGGACGATTGGGATTTTCTACCCTTCAAAAGGCAACCGCTGCCATCCGAATGCTTGCATATGGGTGCAGTGCAGACTCAATTGATGAGTATCTGCGTATGAGTACGTTCCATTTTGTTTTTTTTGATAAAAATTCAGATTCTAACATGTTCAATCGACTCTGCATTTTTTTGAAGGTGAATCAACCGCAATTGAATGTTTGAAGAAGTTCTGCCGCACTATCGTCAAAGTTTACGGACAAGAATACTTGCGAAAGCCAAACGAGAACGATGCTGCAAGGCTCCTGCGAGTTGCGGAGGAGCGAGGATTTCCAGGGATGATGGGTTCTCTTGATTGCATGCACTGGTGCTGGAAGAATTGCCCAGTTGCAGATCAAGGGACCTACACTGGAAAGGAGAAGGAACCGACCATTGTACTTGAGGCTGTCGCGTCGTACGATCTCTGGATTTGGCACGCCTTCTTTGGACTGCCTGGGACACTCAACGATATTAACAGGGACTTGGTCAACCGACTCCCAAAAATTGGAGAGTCAACTCCCAAACCCGGGTTTCCCCAAAATTTGGGAGTTGATTCCCCAAATCCATCCTTGGGTTTGGGTGTTGGTCCCCCAAAAAAATTTAAATAAAAAAAAAGAAAAACCCCGGAGGGGTTGGGTGTTGATGCCCCAAAACCAAGTGGTTTTGGGGGGTCGGTGATCAAAAAAAAAAAAAACCAGTGGCCGGGAGGATTCCTCCCGGCCGCGGAGAGTGCTCTCTTGACGGCGGAGAGAGTTTCTCTCAGCTGTCGAGGGTCTACAACCTCAACGGCCGAGAGGGTTTCTCTTGGCCGTTGAGTATAACCCTCAACGGCCGAGAGTTTCTCTCGGCGGTGGAGGGTGTACACCTCAACGGCCGAGGGAAACTTCTTGGCCGTTGAGACCTCTCGGCCGTCGAGGGTGTACCCCTCAACGGCCGAGTAAAATTTCTCGGCCATTGAGGGTGTACACCTCAACAACCGAGAGGGTTTCCTCTTGTTTGTTGAGAATGTAAACCCTCAATGGCCGAGAGTGTACCTCCCGGTTGTTGAGGGTATACACTCTCGACGGCCGAGAGGATTCCTCCCGGACGTCGAGGGTTTACATTCTCAACGACCGAGAGGAAACCCTCTCGGTCATTCAGGTGTACACCCTCGATGGCCGACAGGTTTCACTCGGCCGTTGGGGTGTAGAGCCTCGACGGCCGAGAGCTTTCTTTTGGCCGTTCAGGGTTATACCCTTATGTAACTCCCAAGAGAAACTCTCTTGGCCGTCGAGAGAGCACTCTCCGCGGCCGGGAGGAATTGTCCCGGTGGGGGGTTGATAAGTGCACGCCAACCCCCGTGGCGCACGCCAATCTGCACGCCAGCTGCAGATTGGCGTGCACACCTGCACGCCATTGCAGAATGGCGTGCAGGCAGGCACAGGCAGGCACGCCACTCGCCTGCAGGGGGTATACCTGCAGGTTGGCGTGCCTGCCTGCACGCCCAACTTTAGGTCCTAAACGCATATTTATATGCGTTTAGGACCTGAGCTGTCCCATAGGACCCAGGCATGGGTCCTATGGGGACGGCCCCGCCATTGTTTTTTTTTTTTTCCCTTTTTTTCTACCCCCCTCTTCTCCAGAGGCCGAGGTAAAATAGCCCTAAGGAACAGCTCCCAGCGAGCCGGTTTTTATACCACCTCGTCGGAAGGAACCCCTTCCGACGAGCTGGTACATAATCCAGCTCGTCGGGAGGGGTTCCTCCCGGCGAGCTGGTTGTGTTATATTTTAACTGAGAGCTGTCTTTGAGAGAAATTTTGGATAAGCAAACTGTGAAAATGGTGGGAGGTTTTAGTCTGACTCGGCTTTTTACCAGATCGACGGTTCTTCCAGCAATCCAGCCAATTACCAGAGCACAAACATCGATGAGCCACCACTCCACGCCGTTCTCGATACTCCGGACAGTTGAAGAGGTCAGAGAATGGCGGAACCATCTGCCGGATCCGAGCTCGATTGGCTTTGTGCCCACGATGGGCGCCCTCCACGAGGGACACCTCCAACTGGTCCGACATTCGCTCTCAACCCAGCAAAACACGATCGTCTCAATCTTCCTCAATCCAGCCCAATTCGGCCCTACGGAGGACTTGTCGAGCTACCCCTCTACCCTAGAATCCGATCTCAAGCAGTTGTCCGGTCGGCCCTTGATGTGAAGCCCGGATCTCATGATATCCCGCACGACGGCTTCGATGGACGAACGGCATCGGGTACGACGGAAAAGGCCGACAGCATTAGTACATCTGCAGCTTAGAAAGCCAGCTCGTCGGAAGGAACCCCTTCCGACGAGCTGGATCATGTACCAGCTTGTCGGGAGGGGTTCCTCCCGGCGAGCTGGTTTTTATACCAGCTCGTCGGAAGGAACCCCTCCCGACAAGCTGGTACATGATCCAGCTCGTCGGAAGGGGTTCCTTCCGACGAGCTGGTTCTCTAAGCTGCAGATGAGCTAATGCTGTCGGCCTTTTCCGTCGGCGGTGTGACCTCGGCCTCTCTAGGCCAAGGGGGTTTGAAAAAAGGGAGTATATAACATCAAGGGCCGACCGGGCAGTCCCATAGGACCCATGCCTGGGTCCTATGGGACAGCCCAGGTCCTAAATACATATAAATATGTGTTTAGGACCTAAAGTTGGGCGTGCAGGCAGGCACGCCAACCTGCAGGTATACCCCCTGCAGGCGGGTGGCGTGCCTTCCTGCACGCCATTCTGCAATGGCGTGCAGGTGTGCACGCCAATCTTCAGCTGGCATGAAGATTGGCGTGCGCCATGGGGGTTGGCGTGCACTTATCAACCCCCGTCCCGGTGTGGTCATTATTCCTGTGTATGAAGGAAGAAAATTCAAAATTTTATTATTTGTCAATGAAGGACTCAAGATATGGACAAATGGACATCAGAAATGGACTCTACGGCCAATTTAACCCCTAGTCACTCACTGGAACCACCTTCATATCTCTACTGGATCAGAAGTTACGCAGAATCAAGGATGTCACACGGAGAATCACAGGATCAGAGGCACTCAGCTGGAGGGTATATTGCATGGGGGTATATTGCATATTGCGTATTGAATTCCTTTTATTCATATTGAATTCCTTTTATACTTACAGAACCACAAGTTGGCCACCAGTTGTACCAGTTAAATTCCCATTTATTCAGCCACAGAACACATGAATTCCTTTCTTACAGCTTACATATAAAAGGAATGCGTTGTAGATAGTCTAGCCAAAATCCCTCAGGATTTTCAAGGATAGGGCAGCTAAAATGCCTCACTTAGGGGGTCCCTTGGGGCTAAAATCCCTCATAATTTACTGTATAAGGAGGCCTCTGCCTGCCAGTTGTTTCCCTCCTCATCCCACTCAGTACACATTTTTTGGTGGGACACCTGTCACAGATATTTATTACACAAGAAGTTCACGAGTAGTACAGTTCACAGTTGAAATATATACACAGTTTCACAAACATTACACAGAAGAACCAGTCCTTTGTTCCAGTCCTGGTTGAAGCATAGTGCTCCCAGACCCTTTGGGTTCAAGAACCACCTCTATTACATATACAGCATTAAGGAAGAACACAAGTATCAAGACATCAACACGAGAAACAACATCACCAACTCAATCAATTCTTTGGACAACAAGATCAACCTTCAACAATTATACAACCATCTTTGAACATAATCCATTATCACCAACCAAACTGCCAAGCTTACCTTGGTGGTCTTGTTTTCTGATAATATAGAAAGGCAGAGTTTGCAGCTCATTTCATCCCTTTCTCCATTCAGCAAAAAGGATCTTACAATCACTTTTTGAGTCTTACACCGGCCGCTTGGTTTTTTTGTTTTTTGATCACCGACCCCCCAAAACCACTTGGTTTTGGGGCATCAACACCCAACCCCTCCGGGGTTTTTCTTTTTTCTATTTAATTTTTTTTTGGGGGCCGACTCCCAAACCCACGCATGGATTTGGAGAATCGACTCCCAATTTTTGGGGAAACCCGGGTTTGGGAGTTGACTCTCCAATTTTTGGGAGTCGGTTGACCAACTCCCTATTAATATACTCGATCGATCACCAATCTTCGAACAGCTTCAAGAGGGTGAAGGACTGTCGATTTCTTATGAGGTTAATGGAAATCAATACAATCTCGGCTACTACCTCACCGACGGCACTTACCCGCCATACGCTACCCTTGTCCAGTCTATCTGGGAACCTCAAGGTGCAAAGAAGAAACACTACGCAAAGTGGCAAGAGGCGTATAGGAAAGATGTTGAACGTGCCTTTGGTGTCCTTCAATCTCGCTACGCCATCATCCGCTTCCCTGGCCGATTTTGGAGACACGAGGACCTCTCCGATATCATGTCGTCCGTAATCATACTGCACAACATGACGATCGAAGATGAATCCGGGAGTGAGCTTGAGGGTGACTGGATCTACGATCAAACACCTCGCACGCAAGCCAAGATAACGACAAACGGGCCCAACGACCAATCTTTTCAGCAGTTTCTTTTGCGATACCAAGCAATTAGAGATCACACCTCACATTCACTACTCCAGCAGGATCTGATCAATCACGGTTCCGAAGGAGATATATAGTTTTTTTTTTATTCTACACCTGTTCACTCTTTTCCCTGATTGCTTGCCACCGGTCTCACTTTTTTTTTTTTTACGGTCTCACTTGTTTTTTTTTTTTTATTTTTATCCTAAGCAAAAACAATGCAATTGATTTTTTTTTGAAGTGCAATTGAATTTATAAAAAAAAAAGGGCGTCAATAAAAAAACGCGGTAAATCCGTGTTTACACGCGGTTTCTGCTGCGCGCAGCACACGCGGATTCCGCGTTTGCACGCGGTTTTTAATTTAATTTTTTACCACTTATTTTTCGAGTTTTTTTGAATTTTTAAAACTGTTTCCTATGTTTCAAAGTGCGTAGAATTTAATGGTAAAAAACATTTTTCATAAAAATGAATTTTGATTATTAATTTTTTTTTCACTCATTTTTTCAAATAAATGTTTGCATTAGGGGGTATCAAATATAGGAAATCCACCATCAGAAACCAGTCACTTTTACAAAAACTTTTTTTTGCATAAATGGGCCCCAAAAGGGGTCAAATGGATAACCAACATGTTTAAAAAAGGGTGGATTTTTTCAAACCAGTCAATTAAATAATGGTGGATTTGGTTATATTTGATACCCCCTATTAATGTTTTTAACTTATTTTTAATGTTTTTTTGAAATTTTGAATTTATTTCCTAGGTTTCAATGTGAGTAGAATTTAATGGTGTAATCCAAATTACATAAAAATCAATGGTTCATTTTAAATACTGCAATCAGACACATTTTTCACTTAAATTTCTACAGCTTAATTTTCATTCTTTTTTGAAATTTTAAATTTATTTCCCACACTTCAAGACATGTAAAAAATGATGGTAGCAACTACTTTACATGAAAATCAAAGATTGTTGTTGAATACTGTGTTGGACACGTTTTTTTTATGTTTTTTTAAATGATTTTTACTGGCTTAATTTTGATCATTTTTTGAAATTTCAAATTTATTTCCTGCATTTAAAAATGTGTAGAATTTAATGGTGAAGTCCAATTTGCCTAGAAATAGAATCTTCAATCTTAATAGATGAGTGTTACCCGTTTCTTGCATAATTTGTACCGTATAAAAATTTAATTTGAATTCAAAATGAATAAAGCCATCAATTTGGAAACCTTTCAAAATGTAGGAAATGAACTTAAAGCTCCAAAAAATACGGATAATTAAGCGTGTAAGAATTAATTAAAAAAACACGCCAAAGGCATTATTCTAGATACAATTTTTATTTTGATGCAAATTTATTGTTACCATCATTTTTAAAATGTCTGAAAGTGTAGGAAACAAATTTAAAATGTCAAAAAATAATGAAAATCAAGCTCTTAAAAATCAACTGAAAAATATGACCAATTACAGTATTCAGGATGAACGGTTAAGTTTTATGGAAATTGAGTGTTACCATTGAATTCTACACACTTTTAATTGTAGGAAACAAATTTAAAATTTCAAAAAAGCATAAAAAATAAGGTACACACATGTATGCAAACAATTAAGTGTGAAAGTGAAGAATTAATTAAAAAAACACGTCAAATGCAGCATTCAAGATGTAGTTTTCATTTTGATGAAAAATTGTTGTTACCATCATTTTAAACATGTCTTAAAGTGTAGGAAAAAAATTTAAAATGTCCAAAAAGAAAGAAAATTAAGCTCTAAAGGTTTAAGTGAAAAAATGGGTGTAATTGCATTATTAAGAATGAACCATTCATTTTTATGAAAATTGGATGTTACCAATAAATTTTACACGTATTGAAACCTAGGAAATAATTTTAAAATTCCAAAAAAACATGAAAAATAAGGTAAAAACATGTATGCACACATTTAATGGAAAAAATGAGTGGAAAAAAAAATTAATAATTAAAATTCATTTTTATGAAAAATGGTCTTTACCATTAAATTCTACACACTTTAAAACCTAGGAAACAATTTTAAAATTTTGAAAAAAACTCGAAAAATAAGCGGGAAAAAATTAATTAAAAAACCGAGTGTGCTGCGCGCAGCAGAAACCGCGTGTAAATGCGGATTTACCGCGTTTTTTTATTACTGCCCCAAAAAAACTGCACAATTCCTTTGAAAAAAGCATTGAGTTGATTGAAAGAGAAAAGTGAAAGAAAACAACAATGTTTAATTCAGTGGACTATTCTTCATTGTAAGCTTCCTCCTCCTCATTGTCCTCCATGTCCTCCTCCTCCCCGTCGCCGATAGGATGGAACAAATGACTGATTGCTTTTATTTGACGGTACCTTTATCTCAGGGCTATCTAGCGGTAGGATTTGTAGTTCATTCGGCACACGTTCAATTGGGGTTTCAATCAAGCTCGATGGAGAAGCGCCTTCCACGATAGAGTTGTTCTGGGGAGAATTGTTGACCATTGGTTCTGAGAGTGCGATCACGCCTGTCGATAGACCTTTCCTTTCCAAAACCGTCGTGAGGAAACCAGGCAAAAAATTGCAATTTTGACCCCAACACGGGGATATAAGCTCGACGTATTGATTATCCGCTTGGCCGCTTGGATCACTGGATTCATATGTAGCACTATGGCGGCAAACAATGTACACAGTTTCTGGGCACAGCGGTTCTGAGAGTCTAGATTTGATAAGGTCGTACGATACAATTGATGCTCGCACAAGCAAAATCAACCAAAGCTTGGAAGCAACGAGGCTATAAGATGACCTGTCCAAAATCTTTCTGTGCCTCCACATATTTCCGTTTTCATTGTGGGGATCGCATGAGCATATATCGGTTTGAGATTGGTCAGATATCCACCAAAAAGATTGATGTTTATCGACCTCCGGCGTTACTCAAGAGTCAATGCCAAGCATCTGGTGCATGGAAGGCAAATTCAGGCGGGGTTCTCCGGTTTTCCTAATGTTATTGGGATTGAAGGTTCACAAAATTATGACACTGGAGCAATCACCAAGAAAACATGATTTTTATTCAGTGAGGAAAAAGAGAGTGAAAACTCAAGTTTGGGTGATTCTAAATTGCTAGAAGCATACACTACTGAATGTAAGCATCTCACAATTTTTCTCACTAAATTTCTTATCATCCAGATTTTAAACAGGTTTGTATTAATGGATTTATTCCCCCATCCTTCCTTCATTTTGGACTTAGAGTATTTCAAGACTTACCTGTGTCAAAAAGAAACTTGCAAATTTTGTGTTGAAGTTCCAAAGCTCCAAAGAACACATATTTCACTATGTGAATACTGTTTTTGGTCAATGAACTTCTACAGAGCCATATTTACAAACTTTTGATGACATTATGAAGAAAAAAATCAAACTTCTTGATTTGACAGTGTTCCTATGGAAGGTCTTTATTTCACAGGCATTTCTTTTAAAAAATAGTGGGTGGAATTTAGACATTTAAATGAAGAATGGGGGTTGATAACCGCAAGCCAACCCCCCTCGCGCACGCCAATCCGCACGCCAGGCGCAGATTGGCGTGCGCGCCTGCACGCCATCCCGGGAATGGCGTGCGGGGCCGCACGCCAATGACCTGCAGGGATATACCCTGCAGGTTGGCGTGCAGGCCTGCACGCCAAAGGCGTTTGGCGTGCAAGGCCGCACGCCAAATCTGCAGGGGCCTAAACGCATATACATATGCGTTTAGGCCCCAGGCCAACCCTGGGTCGTATGGGTCGGCCTGGGACCTAAACGCATATACATATATGCGTTTAGGCCCCAGACCAACCCATACGACCCAGGGTTGGGTCGCATGGGTCGGCCTGGGGCCATCGTACAAGGTTTTAACCTTGAACGATGACCGATCAAGGTTTAACCTTGATCGGTCGACCCAGGCCTGGGTCCTACATGGTTACATACATACGTGTAGGACCCAGGCCTGGGTCCTACACAATTACGTAATACCCCGGGGGCGGGATCGGGTCCAGCCCCGCGTCCGGGGCTCCATCTGAGCTCGGACAGCCGAGCTCGATCTCATCCCCTCCTTTCCTACCCTCAACCACCATCTCACCGAGGGGACCGACCCAAAGACCGACAAACGACCGGCCACCGAACCCGAAGAGCACCCGGACAGCCGCCACAGGCACCCCCGAAACCCGTTCGAAGCAGGAGACCCCACGCACGCCCGATTCACCCCTGATCCGGTCCGATCCGATCCGGTCCGATCCGATCCGATCCGGTCCGATCCGATCCGATCCGATCCGGTGCCGAAAAATTGTCACCTGGGTTCAAATTTTGTAAGGATTAATTATTTTTGGGTCTCCATCCTCCTAAGGGGCCCAAATTTTTTTTTGTGGGTCTCTCTTGGCGAAAAGGCCCCCCCCCTTGGCCGTCATGAAGTTACTTGGTGGCTTCATGGCCCCTAAAGGGGCCTATTTTTTTCTCTTTTTGGGCCTCTCTTGGCCAAAAGGCCCCACAAGGGGCCAAATTCAGCCCTTTAACCAACAAGCCTGTTTTGTGGCGTCTCCGTCCCCCATAAAGGGGCCAATTTTTTTTTTCGGGGCGCTCTTTTGGCCAAAAGGCCCCACAAGGGGCCAAATTCTGCCCCTTGGCTAGCCATGCAGCTGGTTTGGAGGGGCCCATGTGGCCAATCATCCCCGTTGGGGGGATTCCGCCCCCAAGTAAGGTGTCTGTGACCAAAGGACCTCTTTTGCTATCCACCTCTAGGACCCTTTTGGGTCTATCCACTTCTGGTGTTTGTTTGGGGTCTTCAACAGCCAAAGACCCGTTGGAGACCCCCTTTTGGGCCTGTGCAGGCTTGTGCTCAGACACTGCAATGGCCCATTTGTGCCCCACAGCCCAATGGGATCAGTTGGAGAGGGGGCTCCGGACTGCCCCTGCACTTATTGAATTATTGGTCTGACCACAATCCTGTTTCTCCTACAATCCAGGTCTAACCCCTTCCTCACCATCCAGTGACGATTCATCACAATCACTCAATTTTTGTGGGTACGTTGGCTTGCGTACTTTGCCCCCTCATGGTCACCACAAGGCTGACATATTGGTGGTTACTTATCTAATTATACCTTTTGGTTCAGATTCATCAAGATATGTCTGACAAGTCCTCAAACCGCCCAATCCCGGCAGGCCACAGAGGACACATTCCCTCCCTCCCGCCCAATCTCGCGGGCCCCCCACCTCACCATCCCTCTAGGCAAAGAGACCCCTCTTGGGCTCAAGCACATGATGGGCGGCAAGACACCCCTGTGTTCCAAGGTCACCCTGGTGCAATGTCTGGAAACCACTCCTGGCAGCCGATGTTGGCCCATTCCAGCCATCATCCAATGACCTACTCTGGCCCCCCACAATATATGAGTTACTCTGCGCCGATGACCTACGTGGCACCAACATCCTACCAACACTCGGGCCCGGTATACACTGGCCAACCTCATTACCCCTACTCTGCGGCTCCACAATCACACTTCCCCCCCATGGGCCAACCTGGCCCCCCATACTATCACCATCCGTCAATGCCGATATACGCCCCCCTCCCTTCTCAACAAATGTTCTTTCCTGGTCACTCGGAGCCAACCCATTGGCCAATCCAGACAAATGGCCCCCATCCACCAGTAAATTATGGGTCCCGCCCCTGTCCAGCCGCCACATCTGGTCAGCCCAGCAACCCATCTGCCGCTCCCCAGCCATTGACTAGGGGGGTAAACTCCAATGGATCTGTCCAGACCTGCGAGCGCCCAGATGGTCAACTGAAAATGGACTTACCCGATCCCGTGCCCAACGAACTCAAAATCGACACACACAATCCTGTGTCCAAAGAGGTGCCTCAGTTCCATGAGCCAAGGGAAAGCGGGGAACTTTCGGGTTGGGACTTGGGGATCGAAGACAGCACCGATTTCCACGAGCTGAAGTCGTCATTCCTACCGCACGGTCCAGCCGAAATTGAGCCCTTGCCTTTGGAAGGCACTGCTTTGTGGCTGTTGCCCCCCTCTGGGAGTACCCCGGTCGAGAGCACTTTGCCGGTTAAGCCTGATTTGGCTGTTGATCATCAGATTTCCATGCAGCTGGATTTTGAGATGGGGGATGGTTTGGTAGATGTGGAAGGTGGGTGTTTATTTGATGAACTTCTGTGCTCGTATCATGTGCAACATGGTTTTGACTAATCTTATGTGGCCTGTTTTCAATAGGGGCCGGCCCTGTAAGAGATGAGGGTCCAGAGCCCCCACCATCAGGGATGGAACTCAATAATCCCAAAGTATCAAGCGCCGATGGGGCCCCTGCTCAAGGGGTCACCGCCGAAGCTGAGGGGGTCCCTGCTGAAGGGGTTCCGCCCAGTGGTCGTGTGATGACTTCACTTGATGTGGACAATTTTGACTTTAGTGTGGGGAGTAAGTGGAAGAGGAACCTTACCTAATAATCTGTCAATGGGCTGATTTGGACCTCTGTGCCTTCAAGATCCGATGGATCCCCCCCCCTCTATACAGATTCCACGAATACAAGGACCTGAAGAGGTTTGCCGAGATGTGGGCACGCGCGCATCACTATAAACTTGTAACAGGCAGCTCAAAGACAGGGAAGAATGGGTACTTGAAGTGCTCGTTGGCCGGAGAGGATCGAAACAAGCCCGATACGAATCTACAGCGGTTGGCTCGGAACAAACGTATTGGTTGTAGATTCAGGATCTCTGCTCACAAACCGACAAGCAAAGACCGCTCGAATGAACCTTGAGTGGCGAGATTCAAGGAAGACTTGTCTTCATAATCAACGGCCCAATGGAGACTCATTATGAAGTGCTCAATCAACGGCTCGATCCAGCACTAGAAACGGAGGCGTTACGGATGGCATCCTTGGGGATGCAGCGAGGGCGGTAGCAATGATGCTCTCCAAAGAGGCTGGCCATCACGTCACATGTAGGACAATTTACAATGTGACTTCGGGGCATAAACGAGGGAAGAGGAAAGGGGACACCCCAATGCAGTACCTCCTTCGGTGCCTCGGCGAGTCCAACTGGATACACGACGAGGCGTATGACGACAATGGCCAACCCCTATACGTGTGGTTTGCTCATCCTGGCTCTGTGGCACTGGCGCGGACGTTCCATCATGTGGTCTTGATGGATTGTACGTACAAGACGAATGTCAACAACTACCCTCTGTTGCATGTGGTAGGGCAGTCAGCAACCAACAAGACCTTCTCCATTGGTTTTTGCTTCATGAGGAACGAGTCTGAGGTTGCATATTCCTGGGTGTTGGACAAGTTGAGGTGAGTTGAATGGGTTTCTTGTTGGCACCAGTTCTCACATCAGACAGACAGATTGATTGTGGCTATTCTCAGGGACGTGTGGGCACCCGAAAGACCACCCAAGGTGATTGTAACGGACCGGGAGAAGGCCTTACGAAATGCGATTGCCAAACACTTCCCTGAGGCCGAGAACAATGTGTGCTTATGGCACA